ATTTCAGTTCTTTCAGTTTATCAAGTGTAGTAGCTGAGTTTCCCATTGTGAGGCTTGCTTTCTGAATCCCAGCCTTGAAAGGTGAGAACGGGATGATGTAAAACATGTCATAAAGTAAGAGATGGTTTAAATAAATTTCCTCGTGGAGGAACATCTATCATGCTAATTTCAGTTCTCAAGTGTAATGAACTGGGTGATAAAGATCATGTTTATCCGTAGAAAGGTAATAGGAAGAAGTCCCATTCCAAGTTTTTAGGGATTGGATTGGATACTGGTGTCAAAGAGAACAAGGGTTGACCTCATGCTTAAAGTTCAGGCTGGAAAGTTGAAGAGCAGTAAAGGGAGGGATCTGTACCCTTGAAACATCAGGGGGGCTGAAAACAGTTGGGTAGGGAAATTTATCTTGCTTTTTAGAAGGTAAACAGACACAGTGAATGTGGGAGAATAACAGGGAAGAGCTCTGAAATCAAATGATTGAGATAAGAGAAATGAGAATTCTTGTTCGTGGATTACAGCATTCCTACATTAATTATGTTGTTTTCATTTTAACTGACTGCTCCTTTTGAAGCTTTAGAACAAATACTCAGAATACAATAAATCATGTTCTTCCAGCTGTGCCACTTGTACCTGCTATCATTTGGTTATTAAGGAGCAGCAGTGGTGCAAAGTACCTGCCATTAGGTTTGCTTGGTTGTTTGGTGCAACAGAGTCATCTCCTGTATGTGTATAAATGGCTACCTAGGTTTTTTTTCTCTTTTTCTCTCTATTTAAACCTTTTTCACAACGGCAGTTGACCTGCTGTGAGGAGAAAGGAATATGTATGCACATGCACACACATCCCACACTTACTCTCAGAAGGTATAATTGTGTGGGTTTGGGCAAGTTTAGCTGGAATTTATATTTTCCTGTTGCACTAGGAGCTAAATGAAGTTTCTTCACTGACCTTTGAATTGTCACACTTATAAATACTGTGAATTGAAATGTCTAGCTTCCTGTGCCCCATTATCTGAAGAACTTCAGACGATCTCCAGGGTGGAGACTGCTGTGGTTAATTGTGGTCTGCAGGTGTTGGGGTGTTTTTTTTATTGTAGATTCTAGTTTGCAGTACAATTTGTGGGAATTGGAGCTTATGCAGGAAGCAGGCATCTATAATAACTTGAACTTCCACAAGGCAATTTTAATCCAGTCATCTTCAAATGAGAGAGGTGGCAATCTCTGACCCATAATACAGCTCGTGTAATGAGAGAATGAACAAAGCTACTTGAGGTAGATGCTAATCTTACCACCTGATGCAAATGGGAAAGGTGCTTAGAAACTGGAGCAGTAAGGGAAGAGGCCAATGAGAGGTCACACAGGTGCTGCTAGGGTCTATTTTTCTGTGTCTTTTTGGGGTTTTGATCATGTTACTGACTCTGGATTTGCATCAATTTTCGTGTAAGAGGAAGTGTACGGGTTTGTGAACTTAATAAATCCTAAGGAAACAAATGGTTATTTGAAGGTAGAGCTCCCAGAACACTTTTGTTATCTGTTTGGCTTTGGAGAGGACAAAACATAGTGAAACTGAGTGTTCTCAGTCATTTAGAAGGGTTATTTTAAACAGCTGGGTTAATCTTTGTCTAGGCCCTGATAAGGCAATTAAGTGTGAGTTTACATACACAAAGGTGTATGTTTGCACATCTAAGTTATAATCTGTTCATAATAAACGTTCAGGACAGAGAGAATGTCTGTAACCCCTCCCTCAAGCAGTGCAGCTGATCTGAACGTGAAAGATCTCAAGTCAGAGGCATCTGCACTTGTGATGTGAGAAGAGAGGTTGTGTTTAGTACCTGGTTAGGCATTCATTAGTACCTACCTACAGCTGATGGGGTGCTATGTCAGTGGTTACCTTGCTGCTTCCAAGTGTCACCTTCATAGAATAATGGACTAGTTTGGGTTGGAAGGGACCTCAAAGATCATCTAGTCCCAACCCCCTCACATTCTCTGAGTGGAGATACCTTCCAAGTTTTCCAAATTGCTCAAAGCCCCATCCAACCTGACACTTCCAGGCATAGAGCAGCCACGGCTTCTCTGGGCAACCCGTTCCGGTGCCTTGCCACCTTCACAGTGAAGGATTCTTCCTTGTACCTGATCTAGTCCCACACTCTGTCAGTTTAAAGTCATTCCCCCTCATCCTGTCTCTGCATGTCCTGATGAAAAGTCCCTTTCCAGCTTTCCTGGAGGCCCTCTTCAGGTACTGGAAGGTGCTGTAAGGTTTCCCTGAAGCCTTCTCTTCTCCTGGGCTGAACAGCTCCAGCTCTCCCAGCCTGCCTGCAGGAGAGGTGCTCCAGCACTCTGAGCATCTTCATGGCCTCCTCTGGACTTACTCCAGCGGGTCTGTGTGTTCCTGGTGCCAAAGAGCCCAGAGCTGAACATGGCACTGCAGGGAGAACATCTTTAAAGATTGCTGTTTTCCTGTCATTATATTGTTCACTGCATCAGCCAAAAAGCTGATTACAAAAAGCTGAATTTCTGTTCTGAAAACAGAAATTACTGTTTTCAAAAGGTGAAACTGAAGGACTGATTCAGATGGATGTAGGGCTTTTGTTTTTTTTTTTCCCTAAATGGGTTCTAATTTTTACATCAAAATACTTTGAATGAAAAGTTTTCAGAAATAATGCCCCTGCGCTATTTTTCCACTTTGTTGGGAAGTCATGTATTGTAGAAGTGTAGATGTGACCAGAAATGTGGCAGGTGTCAGGACATTGCCTTTTTCCCCCCAGAGTTCTGCTGGAGGGAGAGAGTGCAGCCTGAGAAACTAGAAAGGGCAAAGAAAATAGAACCTACTATTACATTTATCCGGTGGCTGTGAGAAGCTGTGAGATGCTTTGTTTTAAAGTTTGGCAAAGTATACATTGATCCAACAGGCAAGTGGGCAGATGCCATTCATGTTAGCTCTTCAGAATATTTTATATTTCTGAACAAGCATGTTTACCATGTCATCTGGAAATTTCAGGATTTTGGAACACAATTTTACATATGTGACTGATGAAATTTTAACTGTTTGAATATGGAACATCACAAAACAAGATTTTTAGGACTAGTTTTTATTCTATTTATGCAGAAGAAACCTGGCATTTGCACTCACAGTTACCTAATCAGGGTGAAACAAGAGGGTGGGTATTTTCTGCCACTTGGTAAAAAAAAGCTGGCTGTTGAGGTCTTCAGATTTTTTTCTGTAATATCTACACCTTTTAGTAAGAAGTGTTTGACAAAAATGTTACAAGTTATTTCAGTGATTTAAGTAACTTATCAGTTGGTGGTAATGTTATTTATATTTTTGCTACAGAACAGAAGTAAAATAAAAACATCTTAGTAAATTTCATTGTATCGTGAAGGCTTTATCATGTCTTGTATGTTGACATTTTCCATAATGATGAATAATAATAATGGCAAATGGTTGATGAAAATAATGCTTTCAGAATGTACCTATGAGCTAGTGTGATTGACTGGTGGATTTTTATCTTGCTGAAATCCTTCTGTATTAGGTGATGAAGTACAGCATTGGTGACACTGGCTGCTTGTTATATATGTTACTAATTTTTGGTTCAAATCTTATGACCAGTTATTTGATATTTGAACAAATACTACAAATACATATTGCCCTGTGAATATTTCTAAAATCGATTTACAGTCAGTTGAATACTTCTATTTTCTAGGTTTAAAATCAGGTGTATCCACCTAAACATCTTTTTCATTGTAGTTATCTGTGTATTAAGCGTCTCCTATTGCTCCATTTTATTTTTATTTACATTTTCTGCTTTGTGGAGAATGGGTGACTGTGTTGTCTTTGGAGATTGTTAACAAGCAGAGTTGAGCCTCCATCAAGGTGAAGTACCCAAGTACTCCAATTTTCCTTTTGATAATTGCCTTTCTAGTTCCTGTAGGAGGTACATGGTGACTCAGTTTTTCTTGGATGACTTACTGATCTCTTGCATCTCTCTTTGGTAGTGCAGTAGGTTTTCACAGTTCTCTTTGCTGGCAAACATGGCTCGTGTTCACTGTGGTGGAATATGAGGGCCAGTGACCTGTTTCTGTCTTCTGTTAGTTATTAACCTTGTTCAGTGTCTGTTGAATGCAGACATGAGTCTCTTGAAATAATCCTACTGTTGTTATTTTCAGATACTCCCTTGGAGAGCCTTATTTAGTGAGCTCAGCGTAGGTGAAATTGTTGTTCTTTTAGTAGCATGTACATGAAAAAAAGCAACACTAATACTAGTATCTTCTGACAGAGCTTATCAATTCCTCAGAAAATTCACAGGTTCTGCTACTGGCCCACTACTGGTCCTAGTAAAACCAACCAAGCTAAACTTCTCCAGTGTCCAGAATTCACATGTAGACCTGTGAGAAAGAGTTGTGATGGATGCTGTGCATCCATAATTGTCATTGTCAGCACAGAGTTGTTGTGTGTGCTAAGCACTTGTGGACCTCTGGAAATAAAGGTGTCCAAAATTAGTCAATAATAGATTCCTGGTTTATTTAATTTTTTTTTTTTTAATTCTGTCTGTTCTTTCTTGGGCATCTTTATTTGCATTTAGTAATACTTTATAAGAAAACTGTTAGGGTTCATTCATGAATGCTCATAATGTTCTTTTTATTGTATAAAAACAAAGAGTTCTGCTCTTTCTATGGTAATGATGTTTCCTGAAGTCTAATGGCAGAATAATCAGAGCAAAGACAGAAACAGTTCCTGATTTTAAGAAATTTTGACTTCTGGACTTTGACTGTAATTTAATTTCTTGGCAATAGGCAATGGAAAATCCTGGCTGTAGCCTATCTTGTCCTTACATTGCCCCTTCAAATAGTGAGGAATTTTAGAAGTATTTTAGAAATCATTAATGTTATGAGTAAAATAAAAAGTGTCAGAGATTGGGCTTTTAACTCTGAATGCTTTCCAGCCTTCTCTAGTTCTCTACATTGGGGAAAAAAAAAAAGGGAGTTCTAATCATGTTTCTGTGTTTCAGGACTTAAAATGGCAGCAGAAGATTCCTATATTATGGGAGTATCTGATCCCCAAGTAAGTGAATTTCTGTGTTTTCAGTATCCCTGTATCTTCTCCTAGCTGTCTGTTTAGGCCTTCTCTCATATTGTCTTGTCATTTCCTAGACTTAATATGGACATAGAAAATCATTCTGCATTGGCAGAAATCAGGGCTTTTTTCCCTAAGCTGGTTTTTATGTGACCTGTGAAATGCCTTTACTGGTTAAATGGCTGAAATGAGAAGGAAAGCTAGACCTGCTGAATTAAGCAGTTGAAAAAAACCTTATCTTTATGCCCTGTGTGCCTGTGACACATGCTCTGGAATTTCTTCTGTGGTGGATGTTGGTGTATTTCTGAAAATAAAACCCCTCATGTCCTAAAAGGCCATTTTGTATAAATTTTTGTGATGTTGGCATCGACAGTGATGACTGAAATGTTCCTTCACTCACACAGATCCATAGGCCTAGCTCTTCATGAGCTTTTCCTGACCTTCTTAGATCATTCCATAAAATACTTGAACTGTGAGAATGGTGCTTGGGTAAAAAGTGAAGAACAGGTCATTTCTACTGACCTTCATTTTCAAAAAGAAACTCTTCTCTCCTTTATACTTGCTTCACTTTGGAAAAAGATATATTTATACCTGACAACAACTACAGTATGTTAAGACATATCAGTGTTTAAAAAAAAAAAAAAAACAAAAACAAAAAACCACACAACTTTCACCTGGATGTACTGTTTTCTTGCATTAGAGCTTGTAAATATATTTACATAAGGAATGTAGTCTGGTGGGGTTTAGTCAGAGAAGTGGAAATGAAAACTCACAGGTTCTTAGCAAGGCCTTGGGCAAGACATCTAGGGTTAGATTTTCAGAATTTACTGTATAAGCTGTTTAGGATTTATAGTTGTTAGTGCAGGTAAGCAAAATGTGTGTTTAGAAACTGTGCTGAGGTTGGTGCGGTCTCATGATTCTGGTGAAACTCGGCTCAGTGCTGTCAGCTCTGCTTGCAGTGCTGTTGCCAGCAAAAATAAAATAGCTATAAAATGTTTATGTAATTCAACGAGGTGTTGGCAGTCTCAATATTTGCAGAGAACTTTAAAGTGTTTTGCTGATGGATGTTTTATGCAACTGTGTATGTATGTAATAATGAAGAGTGTTTTCCTTCACTGTAGATGTTTGCGGTGGATCAGTTCATGGGAATGAATGCTTTATTTAACAGTACAAATTACATCACTGCAGACTTACCACTACGAACAGGTAGGAACCCTTACTATTTGATGGTGCCGTTGTCCTGCTGTTTTGTTTTCTTTTGAGTTCTTTTCAGAGCCTTTTTTGTTTACCAACTTGTGGGTCATAATAGTAGATTGCAAGCTGTCAACTAGTTTTTTTGTTCCATCTTTTTGCATCTTTCTTCCCCTCATGAAACTTTCAGCAGTGAGACAAATCAGATTTTCTTGTGGCTTGTACAGAAACTGAAAGTTTCAGCAGTTTCCCAGGTGAAACCAGGACAGTGACCAAAGAGCTTTGAGTGACCCGATTTTATAAATTACTTTGTTGAGGTATTTTTCTGAATTTGAACCTTCAGCGAGTTACATGTTGCTATTGCCAGTTTGCAGACTGCACCATGTGCTTCTTTTCCTTTAGAATGCTGTTGCATTTGTAGTAGTTCTTAAGGTGCTTGTAGTAGGTGTTGTAGTAGTTCTTAAGATGCTTGTTTTTCAGTAATAAAATGCAGAGAATATTAACTTCCTGTACCATTCAAATGTGTTTTTCCTTCTTGGTGACTTCTCTGTTTCCTGTGAAGTGGCAGTGTGGCATTAGAAGCACCTGACAGTTTCCTGAACAATAATGCTAGTTTGAAAGCTCAGACAAATTTTGCAACAAACTACTGAAAATAAGTAAATAGTGTTCTGCAAAGGTCTGATAGCAGCTCTTACAATATGCTTCCAGAACAGTAAGAACAGTTAGAAGTCTTTTATACCCAGTCAGTATCGGCAGTTTGATCAACCTTGGCCTGGTTTTGCTTATTAAAGTTCTTTATAAGTATTACTTCTTGCATGAAGAAGTAATATTTCCTGGTTAGTCTATTATAACAACTGATACAGAAGGAAGAAGAAAATAAAATTTAATTTAACTTTAGGAATTTTTTTCTCAAAATATAGCTCCAATATAGCTGTTTAAATCTTTTACCATGGCAGCTTTCTCTTATCTGATTGACTCTGTTGTATTAGGATGTAGCTGGCGTGTTACGTATTCCAAATTACTTTCTTCAGTTGAAAGTGCAAACCACTTCTGATTGCAGTATTTGATACACTTCACAGCAGTGAAGGTGTTAAGGGTAAAATAAAATAAGCATTTAATGTTTTCCTTCATAGGTAAAATTCCATCCTAAAGTAACAATAAATGCTGCTTATAGAATAAGAATTAAAGTAAGCTTACTGTTTTAGTGTTTTCTTGTTTTCTTAAAAGAGTAGTAGCAAGAAAGGATCAAGAAACACATGGTACAGATAATTTTGTTTCAAGATAAAATGTTCTCATGAGCAAAGCTCTTGACAAATATGGAAAAACATCCAGCAAATGAATGTTGCAATCATTTGTTTACAGTGTATTTTTATTAAGGCAGATAAAATTATTCAGTAAGATTCATCTGTGTTGTATTAAAGGGCTTGTGCATTATAGACCAAGGGATTTTTTCTCCCACTTTCTGTTGAACAAATAAGGCTATTGAAATTTCCCTGTAATGAGCTCTTTTACATGTACCTTTTAAGCTTACGCTGTATTCTTCATGGCAGACTCATTCCATACAAATTATTCAGATACATAAAACTGATTTTCAGATAACTATGTCTCATCTAAAGTAGAAAACAGCTGTTTTCAAAAACATGTCAGGGAGTCAAGGATTCACTGAGTTCTGCAGCCGCAGAAAACTCATACTGGGCTAAGTCTAACTCTGTCCTTTATTTGAAAAATTGTTTCAAAAAAGGCCTTTTTTTTATAAGTGCCACTGCTCTTGTCTACTGCTGCAGTATATGTGACAAGTTCCTTGTGCACAAAATGGGATTCAATAAAGGATCATGGATTTCAGCTTATCACAAAGAAAAAGTTAATAAAAAAATTTCAGAAAAGGTTGATCATTTCAGCTGCACCTGATGATGCCACAGTTGGTTTGTTTCTTGAACAGTATTCCAGTAATGCTTATTTCCTCCCCTTCTGAAAATATTCTGCATTGTTACTATGGACTGGCTCTTCAGTTAAAAGATAATATCATAATTTTTATGTTCTACTTTAGTGGCTTTCAACCAGGGACTAATGATTTCTTTCTACTCAGCAAAGTCAGTTAAAGTCATATGGGGGTTTCCAGAAATACTTCCAGCTGAGATATGGAGAGGGTGAAATAAACGGATTTTTCTCAAGGACAGATGGATGATTAAGGCAGAAAGAACCAAAGACATTAATTATTCCTCGTGATCTGGCTCTGGTGCCTATATCTTTCAGTCTGTGCATCCATAAAGGCACAATGTCAGACCTATCACATTGGCAGACAGGTTTAATATATAACCGTGGATTGCGGTGTCGTGCCAGGGGCTGAATCAACAAGCAGCTGGGGAATTTGGGGACTTTCTGGTGATAGATGTTCTGCTGCTACGTTAACGTTTACAGTAATAGTAGAAAACCTTTGAGATGGTGGGGCACTGATTTTCTCCACATCATTGTTAGTGCTCAAGTGTTTTTCCTTCTTTTTCTCTCTCTCGTATGTCTGTTTTAAATAAAAATCAGGCTTTTTTGTTACTTTGGCTCTAAAGATGTAGTAGTTACATGGTTCAGGTTTTGCCAGGAGAAAAGGGAGTACCTCATGAAGTCAGCCTCTTCTTTGGCTTGCTGGGAAGAGTCCTGCCTTTGTTTAGGTAGATTAGGTACTGATCCTTAGTGGCATTGGGGATGGAGGAAGTATTATCCACAGCATGTATTTCGGTAGAGTAAAAGCGGGTGCACATCAGTGGGACATCCTTTGTGTAGTGGAGAAGCAAAGTGAGGCCTTACATTGGAGAGGAAATGGGCAGAGGTCTGAGCTAAGGGGTTTGTAATTTTGGATGTCCTGTACTCCCTCATGATGATCCAAGGCCATCTACAGCCATGTGACATGCCCCAGTTAGAGGTGGGTTTGGGAACTGTGTGGCTGTTTTGGCTTCAAGAGGCTCTGGTCTAACTAGCTCTTGGCATTAAGGTGGTGTGTTTTTAAAACTTTGAAGTTGAAGCAGAGCCATCAGGAGCTGAACAGTATTGCCTGGAGGCTGCTAAAATTAATTTTCTGCTGTTTCTTTAACCTCCTCTGTCCAACTCTCTGTGACACTTGCTGTGAAAAATGAGACGGTTATAGAGGGGAAAAAGAGGGCACTTACTTTTTTTTTTAAGAGAGATAATGTTAATGGTTCAAGGAAACCAGACCACTACCAAAAATGAGATGAGTGTTCATTTTCCCTGTTCCACAGTAGTGGCCCTAATACTCAAGAGCTTGGGCAGACTTGCATACAGTTTCTGGTGTTCTTTCTAGATCTTCTGTGCTCGTGTTGGGAAGAGTGAACCAATGGAAGAAGTAAAGTGTCATGTGCCATTTGCTTTAAACACCATGCTTTGAACACTGAAGAGCTGGGATTCGAGAGAGTATTCCTGTGCAGGGGGATCCCTGAGGGGTAGGACATGCAGATGCTACAACAGACCTTCAGGAAGGATAAGGCACTAGGTCTCCAGTCTAAGCTTTTAGCAGCAAGGTACCACTGCCAGGATGGACACAAGAGAGTTGATATGGGATTTAACAATCAAAACCTACAGGCTACGAGTGTTCCATCCATGTCCACAGAGAAAAACAGCAATTACAAGGGTGAGATGCCTGTTCTGGAGGCCCACCAACAGCGAGGATGTGAGGGAGGATGCTTGCCCACAGGTTAAACTGAATGGTTTTAGGTACTCAGAAAGCTGTTAGATACAGGACCCCACTAGTCCAGCAGAGTTGCCAGGCTTGCAGGGATATCCCACCACCCTCAGAGACCTCTTTTTCCTTGACTTTCCTATGGTGGGAAGAAGGAATCAAGAGGCAGCCAAGGATGGGTGCTCCTTTGGAAGTGTGTGTGTGTGTGTGTGTAGGGTTAGGCCTGTCAAGAGGAAGAAAAAATGCAAGTGGTGGGAGTGCCAAGGGGCAGGAGGGCCTCTGACTCAGGCAGGAAGGAAAATGAAGAAACTTGGCAGTTGAAGAAGACGTGGGGAAGTGGGACTGTGACTCAGAGTGGAGTGGGATGCGAGTCGCTCTGTGGCAACCAAGGCGAGAAGACAGAAAAAGAAGCCCTGCAGCATGGCCAGGATGTGGCAAAGCCTCTCCAGGCTGGAGGACCGCGTGTTGCAGCTGCAGTTCTTGGCCTCCCAGCTGCAGCAGTGCCAGCCAAAGCAGCAGGAGCGCTCCTGTCAAAACCTGGCTCTTGGCAGCCGTGAGAGCCATGCCTGTGTAGAGGCAGCTCCATGACCGTGTCCTTCAGCCTCTCTGTAGGGCAAAAGTAGAACATAAGCTATGCATTAAGTAGTGTTCCTTCTTGTGGCTGTTTAGCATTTAAAAGGGGGCTGCTCCTTAAACAAGAACTTAAAGCAAGCACCTTCCAGGCTGGAACAATGGATCATCACAAATCTCCTCATTTTTAGTTCCTCTTACAAGGTGTTCACCTTCAGGTTCCTGCTCTTTGTCTGCTGAGACAAAGACACACCTACTAGATAGAAACAAAGTATTAAAAACTGCCCTGTGCAAAACACTGTATGTGTTTTCTTTTCCCCATGGGAAAGGATGAGAGAAAGAAGGAAGCACACATAGCCAATGTTAGGCTGTGTAATGTGCCTCTGGGAAGTATTCAGAGTTCAGTGAAAACAGCTATATGAGACCTTTCACTAAGTAAAATCCTTTTTATAATCAAAACAATATGCCATTTATGCCTGGATGTTTTCTTGACCATTGTTTATTTTTAAGTAGCATTTCAGATATTATTAAGTGCTTTGCATTAGAATGCTTTCTCTGTACTGTTACTTGTGTCTGGTTCAGATGCTATACCAGAGAATTACTTAGTCACTGTTAAAATAAAACAAGGAAAATCTTTAGTCATGGAACCCAAAGGTTAAAATAAGATCGCAAAAAACTGTTTTAAGTACATTGCTACATTATTTGCATAATGTGGCTTAATGATAACAGACATCTAATTTGGCTTTGTACATTTACACTGCATCTTTTTTGCACTTTTCTAGTGCTGGTATATAAAACATTATGATTTTTAATCAGCATATTTGTATGCTTTTTATAACCTTTTTTCCCCAAGAGGTCAGAATAACCACATCCTAAGTTTTCCATTTTCCCGAGTTTTCACAAGGAAAGCCATTCCAGTGGTATGAAGCATTTTTCGCTAGTTTTCCAGTGTGCCAAGATAGTGTATATGCCTTCCTTAGGAGTTTGAATTTCCTTATGCTGAGGAAAAGCTGTACCTTGGGTATGATGTGTCCTGTGGGACTTCTGCAGCCATGTAGCCATTGGATAAGGACACTTCTTTTCTGGCTAATGTTTGAGAGAAAGCAATAATATTTTGTGCTAACCCAACATGTATGTCTTGAAAATGAATTCTTAAGAGGAGAAGAGCCAAAGAACAGTTACTTGGCAGATCATTCCCTGGAGGCTTGGTTGAAAGTTGAACTACACACTGTTGTATTTTAGGTGCATTATTTCTGCCAATGCCCAGAAAATACATGGCATCTGGATTGTTAAAATATAACTTTTCAGGTGCCTACAGCTTGAGGAGGGTTAGAGGTCTGTGAAAAGACGTTTAAGTGCTGATACATTGCTTAAGCCTAACTCCGCTCATCTTGACTCTGTTACAGACAAAAATTGAAACACAAGGCCAAAGCTAAATATTACTCTGCATCTTTTAAAGTTCCTGAAGTCCAAACTGTTTTTCCTGCTTTGTAATGTAGGATTATGTGTATATGGTCTTCAGGCAATTGTTTTTCAAGACTTCAGGAAGCACTGTTTACTTTTTCAAAGAAAAGTACAATTGATGGACTTGGGAAATAATTTAAATGTGAAATTGTTGTGACTGATAATATTTGCAATATAACTTCAACATGAAGTTAGTTCAGTTGCTGCATCAGCTAACTGCAATAGCAGAATACTCATTTCATCTATTGTGTGTTTTTTCAACTTCCATGTTGATAGAAGCTTGTTCAGTAAAGATCTGTGCTTGACTCCTTAGCATTAATACCTTTAACCTAGTAGAACTGATAATACAGAATTCCAACAGGAATATGTCTGGGAAAATATTATGTAGGTATTCCCAATGAAGCTGTCATTTGGGGTCTACCTTGAAAACAACAGATCTTTTAGCACTGAAGTACAAATCATCTTGACTGCTTGGCAAGGGAGAGGGAAATAATCATAGCTCTTGGAACTGTTATTTTGAGACTCATGAGTGGCTTGAATTTTAAGAGGTATTTCACAGCCATTCACCCAGAGAGCTTTCCTTCTTGATGTAAATAATCTAAATTATTAGAGTTGGAGCTAAGCTTTGATCAGGTGATGAATGCTTAACTCTGGTGGCACTGAATTCTCATTGGATTTAGGGCCTACTCAAAAGCTATATAAACTGGTGAATTTTGCATGAGATTTATAGTATGAAGTAGGCCACTCTATGAGACTGAAAATTGTTTAATGACGCCTTCTTTAAAAGACACAAATAAAATTTTAGTAGAACATAATCCTATGTATCGGCACCATGCTCAAGATGGATTTCAAAATAGAGTCTGTATTTGTAGTCAAATTGAGTGTATTCAGTGTTTTTAGAGGCCCAGCAGAACACTGTATTTAAAAGTGTATCTGAAATTATTAAAAGAATGTAAAGTGTTTAGTCTTCTCAATTCCAGGATTTTTTTTAAAGCAGTTCTGACTGTTTGGGGCATGTTGAGACAGCTTGAATTCCTCCTGTATTCCCATGCCTCGGAGCTTCCCATTGGCTGTCTCTTGACTTTCAAAAGCACCTATTCTGTAGGAAGCCCTAGGGCCAAAAGCTGGTGAGTGTAGCCTCTAGAGCCCAAGGGGTTTAAACACAAAAGTTAACCTTAGCTCAAGAAGCCAGGCTGCTGTCAGTGGCAAGGGCAGGATCCTGTTCTTATTCACTATTGCAAGTTTTAACTGAGTGATCATTTGTCCATTTAGGCTCTCTGAGTAAAATTAACTTTTTTGAATTAATCTTCCTTTTCTTATTCCACTGATCTTTAGTTGGGAGTGACAGACTGCCACATGATTAAATAATTTATTAAAACTTAAGTTCCGAAGAGACTTAGATGCTTTCAAAAATTTTATCTCAAGTCATTCAAGGACAGAATCTTACCCCTACAATCTATATATTCATTATAGCAATGGAAATATAATTTCTATTAATACTTTTCTTTCTTTCTTTTATGTTAGCAGATGGACCATATCTTCAAATCATAGAACAGCCAAAACAGGTAAGAACAAGACTACATTTTGAAAATGTCTAAGGTAGTTATATTACTACATTCAGCTTTGAATAAACTTATGACTTAAATAAAAAAGAGCACATAAAAACCTGAGCTCTCAGAACAAATGTGGTACTTGAACATGAGTTTTAACTTCTACTTTTGTAGTTAAAGCATTTCCTGTTTTGTTCTGTTTTCTTTATCTCTCTCTGGAAGTGTCATAATACAAAAAACCAACCCTAAGGGTTTTAAACATATGCCTTGCTAAGTATAGACTCTTCATCTTAGAAGTGACTGTTATAGTAACCCAGTATTTGGAAGCATAAACTAGTAGATAAAACACAGAAGATTTTTAGGATTTGTTTCATAGGATTTGTTTTTGAAACACAAGAAGTTAAAAATAAAAACACTTAATTTCCAAGTTACAGGAACTTCTGACTTGTGTTTTGTTGTTGTAAAGAAATGCAGTTGTCCTTTGAGATTCTTTTTGTTATGGTTGTCTGTTTTGAATAATCAAAGAAAAATGAAGATAACTACTCAAATGAAACTTTTTTTCTGTTAAGTAGCAAACACTGACCTATGCTCCTGTGACAGCAGAGAAATAATTTCAATGCACTGGTTAGTTTTCATGCAACTGATGTACAAATAATTGTTGGGTAAAGATTGCCCTGAAGGGTGCCTGGGTATTGTTCCCCTTTGGCTGGTGGCATCAGCAATTACAAGGATTCCTCCTGAAGCTGTTACAGTATGGAGGTGCCTTTCCTGTCTGTCCCAGTGAATGCATAAAATCCTACCTTATAGAGCTGTTCAGTAAACAGGGGAAGACAGTGGCTAAAAGCTGTCCCATCCTCCTTTTGGTCTTCTGCAGAAGCATACTGCAATCCAGTCTTCCTGGCTGGAGGCAGTGGAGAACATTGGTTTCAATCACACACCAAAGATGTTTTTGTGCTGGAGCATCCCTCCAGGAATAGGGCTCTTCATCACAGCACTAAGTGAAACTGCAGTGTACTGTGAACTCATGGAAGAATATGCTGCATCTTCCTCATTGTTTTAAGTCCATCCCAAATCAGGCCATGTCTTTGCATGGTGGGGCCTGCACTGCACAGTCCATAAGGAGAAACCATTGTTTCCATGTGTGACTTCTCAGCAAGGGGCTCCTCTCATGGGGTACCCATGTGGCAAGCTGATAGCAGGGTGATGAGGGTGATCCATCACGGAGTGGAGTGTCCTCATTGAGGAAGGTGATTTGCCTGTTGCAGAGGTTGCTTTGCCTTTGGATCAACCTGATCGACACACAGATCTCTGGGTGACTCAGTTCACCTTAGGAAGGCAATTGGTTAGGTCAGAATGAAAGTCATAAAAGTTTGCATTTGCTTGGTAAACAAGTTGTTGCCTGAAAAGGCTTTAGTGAGATAGGTATTGAAACTTCTGCTTATGGAGTAATTTTAAGGCACATGTTGTTCACTTTCAGCTAATATAGACTTTGAATTCAGAGTTGTCTACTACTAGAAAGAAGCTGAATGATACTTGGAAAAGGCTACAACATTATCTGGTGCTATTTGGACGCTGGGAACCCTATATAAGATGGGGATTTTGCCAGAACTTGCAGGACTGGAGGGCAGATCTGAAAGCAAAACTGAGGACCACATGAAATACATTAAGTAGAGTTAGAATTACCAGACACCTTCACTTAAGATTGCATCTTTCATGCTTTATCAATTGTCATGTAAAATAAAGGGGATGTTCAACAATGGAGTCGATGGAGAGCTGTGTTCTGGACTGGTTTTCAATATCCTGCAGTTCTCTAAAGTATATTCAGATGTCTGTTTATGTAGGTGAGATGAAAACCAGCCAGAGTCCCCTGAAGCTTTCGTGCTGTTTCTGGATTTCACCCAGAGATGCAGCTTTCATATGTTTTTCTCAGAAGGAAGAAGTGGTCCTGTTTCATCCCTGTACTTTCCTTCATGGTGCTTTGGACTTCCTTATTATTTGTTTCAATTTTGTCTACTTAGCAGCAATCTTGGGAGAGAATATCTGCTCTTGCATTCTCTACATGTGAATTTTTATCCTATTTTAAGAGTATAAATAGTTCTCTGTTTCAAAATATCTTCACTTAACCAAAAGAAAAAGAGTTTGCTGCTGTGTGTGAAAGTCAAAGTAGAAGAGTAGAAGAGGTCCTCTAGGGCTACAGTTCAGTGATGCTGTGTTAACCAGCACTCAGCATTTCATGGATGAACAATTGTAACTTTTCCATTTGTTTGTGGGTGTGTGTGTTCATCTTTATGTGTGCTATTTCTCTTTTGACTCTGTTTCTGTAGAGCTTTCAAGTTTCTTTTCCTTTATTCCACAGAGGGGATTTCGTTTCCGATACGTATGTGAAGGGCCTTCTCACGGTGGACTTCCTGGTGCTTCTAGTGAAAAGAACAAAAAATCCTACCCTCAGGTCAAAGTAAGGACATACAGCATTAATTCTGTGAAGTCAATGCAAGTGTCATCATATGTATGTGTATAGGGCCTTACTGCATAGCAAGATGAATTTTTATGAAGTTGCTCAAGACAGACTGTATTTCAATCCCAATATTCAAATTAGATTTTGAAAATAAAGTTGTCCTAAGATGCGTGGGTTTGTTTTGGCACTGTTTTTATCTGCCTGCAGTTGAGCAGTAACTTACTGCACCTACTACCTCACTACCATTGTGCAGACTAATGGAGCTCTTCCTTAAGGTGCAGTTTTAGCAAGGCTTGGGCTGCTGAGTTGCTCTATTTCCATTGCAAAGCATGAGTCTGCTTAGTTATTCCACTTCACTCCAGGATGTTGTTTACCAAGTTTTCTCTTTTTTTTTTTTTGTTCAGGTTACTCCTAATTCAATATCTCTAGGGTACTCCATTCTTAGGAACTTAATTCCTTTAAAGTCAACATAGAACTTCTCATTTTAATAGGAGCAATGTTACATTCAGGTGTTCACTGAACCTTTTTTTGTGGTTTTATTTTTTCCCCCTCTGGAAAAAAAAATTCAAATATGTTAATCAAAGAAATGTTCTATGGAGGCACAGTATGAAGATTAGAAAAGTGATTAATCATTATGGGACTGGAGAATTGTCTTTGCCTATGTTTCTGGCAGCAATTTTATTTTCTGTGGAAGTGTGGAAAAGCTACACTGTGTCTTTTCAGTATTCTTTTTAAGTTAAATGCAAGCCTTGGTCTTCTTAGTGCATTACATCTTTGAACTGGTGCACTACAAATTCTCATGAGGAGCAGGGTTAATATAGTCTAATTCTGTTGTTATTTCTTAATGTATTCTAATTCTGGTGCTCTCTTACTCCTTGATGGGGAAAGAAGGGGAGGGAAAAGTGGGAAGCAATAAGCCTCTGCCTTGGTGTGTGCCACTCCTGGTTGTTCTCCTCACAATGTGTGTGTAGTTTGTCCTCAGTTCTTGGGAAGGGCTGGGGTTTGGAACAGTTGCATCTCCTAATGAACCAGTATAAGCATAACATAATGGAAAGTAATCAGCACTGGCTGAGGTAGCCTAGGCTGATGGTTTTGTGAATTGAGAAGAAGCTGGGACAGCTGAATTCATATAGCCTTGCAAAACACTTAGGAAAAAATACCAGCCCAGGCAAAGGATGTACTTGCTTTTCTCTTTTTACTTTACTGTCCTATTTACTATCCTTACTGTCTTTACATTACTGTCCTATTTTTACAGTAATGATGAACCAATGAATGAAATTTCACTGGAATGTTCAGATATAAAATAATTTACTTCAGTTGAGCCAGATCTTTGGATTCTGATCCAATCTGTAATGATAATAATACAAGTGATACTTTATAAAGGTGTGGTAGGTCACGCAATAGCATGACAAGGAGTTATACAGGAAATGGAATTTCTCCTTGAGTAAACTAGAAAGCAGAATGTTCTTTGGCTTTCCGTCAAACCTTCTAATTTCATTGATCATCACTTTTTAATTTCATCTAGAGCTTACACACACACACACACATATCCCTTCCCTTCCCTCCCATCTACTGTGTGCATCTGGGTTTTTTTCCCCACATGGCAACACCTGCTGGGAGAGGCTGGCAAGGGAACACAAGTAAATTCCTCAAGGCTGTTGCTTGTTAGTGCCTGTTCTTGATTCAAGTGGTGCCAGGAAAGACAGAAGTGTTTCACACCTCTTCCTGTAAGTCTTTTCTGTGTTTTGTCAGAATGTGCTCACTTTGTCGTAACTGAGCAGAGCACAGTTGAAAATTGCAATTTTTTGTTGCGTTAGGTTTTTGATTTTGTTTTGGTTGGTTTGGGTTGTTTTGTATTTTTGTTGTGTTTTTTGCTTTGGTTTGGGGTTTTTTGTGTGTGGTTTTTTTGGTTTTTTTTTTACTCTTGTGCCAGTGTTTTCACTATAAAAACTACATTAGTTGATCACAGTGCAGTGAAAGAACAGTAGCATGAGCTTTGGCTGTACTGTAAAAAAAAGGAGGTTTTGTGACAGATCTTTAAACCATTGGCCATGGTGTGGTCACTGCAGTTCACATTGGGATCTGCTTTGTGAGAGTTTGGCCAACTCTCTTGAAATTTACTAGGAGCTACCATGGGATGTCCTGAAAGTAGACATCCTCTGTGCACAAAAAACCATTGCAGTCTCCCTGTTCTGTTTTCATAGGATGATGGATTGGGCCAAAACAAAAACACATTTATGGGGTGTGACCTCTTCCATAATGTGAACTGTTCAATTTCACCCTTTGGTTTTTTTTTCCTTCCTGCACTGTCACTAACTTGTAACTAAGCTGGAACACATCAAGATGTATCTGTTACATAAAGGCTGGAGTTTTGAAGACTTTGCTATGTCTTTAAACAAGGTGTTTTGGTATTTAATGACATGTTTAACTCTCCCTATATAGTATATTAGTAGATGATGCAGGTCAGGAGTTAATGTAGCAGTTCTGCAATGCCAGTCTTTACACTTGAAGCAAATCTGCACTGGCCAGCAAGGTGGAATTGGTGTAAAACCTCCTGTTTAATGGAACAGTCCTGACTAATGGAGTCTAGATAACAATGTGTATTTTTCTATAATATCTAAAATGGGATTAATTTATCTTAATGATTTGTGGGGTTACATTCATTCCTTTGCTTAGCCCTGTCTTTGCTAAGAGTAATCCTCCTATGTAGAAAACGTCTTGCATATTCAGAGGAGTCTATATAACTTTGCATGTCATTATGGAGAGCAGAGAAGTGGTAGATAATAAATATGTTACAATGAAGTTATGTTTTATGATTGCAACCTAAAACTCTTCATTTAAATTTCATTTTCATCCACTTAGTGTAAGTAACACAGCACTGGAAAATTTTACTGTCTAGAACAGTAGAAAGCAAAGCTGCTGAACTGCTTATTCATCATTACTTTTTTGTCCAGGGGAAAAAGCAATCAGTAGTATAAAAAGAAAGGATAAACTAGCAAAGTCTAATATTATCACCAGCATGCTTAACTATCTAAATTTTTTTATTTATAATTTGCTTGGGTTTTGTGTATTTGAAAAAGTGTGAGAAAACTCGCGCAGAAAATTTTCATTGGCCTTACACATTTATCATGTGTACCCTGATCTTGCACACTGCTGTTAGTGTGGGCAGATCCATGTTTTACACTGAAGTGCTTGATCCACTTTTAGGTGTGACAAGAACTTGCTGAAAACAGCAGAGTGAAGGAAATGTCCTGAATTTTCATCTCCTCGGGGGCAAATCTACGTGGGTGGCTGCAGTCTCTAGTTCAGTGTTCTTTGTGAGCTGGATGTAAATGAGCTCCAGCCCGGAGTTCAGAGGTGTGCCTGAGCTAAAGAGCACCATCTCTCTGCACAAGAGTTTGGGCACAAAGCACTTTGGCTTGTGAACTGGAGCTGCACACTGGTTAGGCAGCCCTGAACCCAGGCACACCAGCAGAACTGCCCAGCCAGTCGTGTCCTGTGGCTATCCCAAATCATACCTTGATTTGGAGAGAAGAGTTCTTCTTGCAGTCAGGGATTTCAGCACATTTACTTTGAGTTCAGGAGGAGAATTTATGGAAAATTACTTTGCTGATGAGCCTTGGTGAAAAAAGGAGCATATTTATTTGCTTCCCCAGCCCCCCCCCCACCCACCCCCAATAGGAATGAAATGTAAAGTGATACAGATTGCTGGTTACAAGTCAAAAAAAATTAACTAACAGCTGAATTAAGTCAAAAACATGAGAGAAGAATAAGCAGACTCTTTGGTATAAATCTTTACCCCTCTTAAAAATCTACTGAGTCACGTTCAGTGAGATTTGAGCATTTTACTCTGGCTGATTTAAGGCTGATTTAACTGAATAGGAGGCACTGAATCTCTTTAGAAGCTCCATATTTTTGCCACTAGAGTGACCTCACAGTCAGAGGATCAGATCTTCAGCTGCCATTGGTTTAAATTACTTTACATTGCTTTTTCTTAAGTCTATTAAGTAAGTACTCAGTTGCCTACACAATTTATACCACATCTTAATATTTTGTCTCTAATTAGCAACTGAAAAAAGAGAGATACTGCTTTGTAAAAACAGGCTGTCTGTAAAGAGTGAGTGATGCCTCATCTTTGGAACACTTCTTGTACATGCCTACATGCCTAGGACAGCAGTAGTGACACTCTGAAGGACAGGCAGGGCTGGGGCTGTAGTTGGCTCTAACAAAGGGATTGGAAGGAGAAATAGGTGCTTTTGTAATGCTGGTGTTGTAGGTTTAATGTGGTCTTTTCCATTATTTGCTCCTGTTGTTGACCAATTGGTTCCTTTTCTTGCTTGTAAGAGTAACTGGGAAGAACATCTTTGAAGTATGATAATGTTCTTACAAAGTTTTTGTAACGTTTTGGAACCTATAAAAATTGGCTGGGATCTGGATTGCAGGAGGATATGAAATAACTGAAAAAACTTTCTACTCTTGTTTTGAAATTGACTCAATTTCGAGTTCACAAGGTCCTTTTAATCTTTCAGACAAATCTCTCAAACAGAAAGAGCAGATAAATGTAAGCCTGCAGCCTTTTAACTTTATCAGATCAATTGAGTGCTGCTTCAGATACAGGATGTAATCAAGTATTACAGGTATACTCTGCCCAGGAACTCCTTCTTTTCGTTTTTCCCCTCACCTTTAATTTGAAGTTCAGCAGCTATTTTTTGGATCACAGCTCTGATTTTGAGCCATACAGCATCCACATGCAATCTCCCCCTCCTGCTGAGTCTGTTTTTGTGTCAAAACCATAATTCCTATTCAGCATTGTAACATAGCTTCTACCTTTTCAGGCCCTTGACAGTGTTTCTTAAGTTCCTGTGCAAAACCTGGTAGTTACTTGTATACCTTAGTGCCAAAATTAATTTTAAATTATTCTAAAATTGTGGCATGATTCAAGGACATTAAAAAGTTATTTCAGACTTAATATATGGTATATAAGAATATTTAACCACTCAGAGTATTTTCCTGGGTACCAAGTTACTCCAAATGGCTCAAAATCAAGAAAGTCTGTCTATAAGAAATAAAGGTAGAAGATGTTCAGAGACATTCTGTTCCCTTTGCAGCACAGGACATCAGACTGGATGACAAAAATAGTCCTTTCATGCCTTATGACCTACATAAGGTATTACGTTTTAGGAGCCCTTTTGTTTTTCCCCTGAGAGGGAGAGACTGCAAAGATCATGCTGAGCTGAGTAACGGGGCAGATTGCAATCTGGTTACCACTGCAGTTCTGTGCTGTGCTTTCAGGGCTGGAAAGTCCTTGTTGTGCAGCAGTCCTGCCTCCAGTTTCACTGTGGTTTCTACAGCTGATGGAGGACTGTCTTGTACTTTGCTGGTGTGACACCAGAACATCGATGTTATTCACAGTGAATATAGCGCTGCAGATGTGCTGGGAGCTTTGTAGTAGGGAAAGATTTATTGAGTGAGGGGTAAAATGAAAAGAATTTTTTTTAAGCTACCTTTTTGAAAAGTTAATTGTAGCAGTGGTGGTGACTTACTGTAGCACCAAATGCAGTTGTTTTTATTTTCAGATGACTTTGTGAAAGGTACACAAGAATTTTCTCCCTGCTGGTAAATGACAGAAATAGTCCAGCAGTGATTACCCTGCATCTCTGTACTGTTTCAGTCCAGATTTCAGTGTGTAAACAGGAGGGAAGCATCAGCACTCTGTCTTCTATTTTAGAAACTGCCACTTGTAAAATGCACATTACTGCAGTATTACACAGTTAACTAGCAGGAGCAGGTAATGAGAGGGGTTTTGCACACCTGCTCCTCCTGGAACAACTTTTTCATAGTTGGGATTTTTTTTGCTTTGAGCAGTGAATTGGAAGGCATGGAGGGCACGCATTGTACATATGCAAAGTGTTTCAGCTGTGATGGAATGGGTTCAAGAGAGGGGTTAACTGGAGTGAAGGAAGCTAGCAGGACTCAGTAATGTGGTGAAATCGAGGCAATCCCTCGCTATCAGCATTTTATCAACAATATAACCTTAAATATTCAGTTCATCACTGATTCATCACTTTAATGTTTATCGTGATCCTTTAATACCTTGGTTGATTAGATCTATAAGCTGCTGTTATATAAAGAACTTGGCCCAAGGCAAATTAGAAGCAGAATTAGAGGAGGAGGGGGAAAAGCCCAACATTGATAAAAGGGTTAATTAAGTGAATTGGAAGGGAAGGTAATGTTTGCTTTTTTAAAAGTGGGGTAATTTTATGTTCAGCATAATTTGAAAGTGGTGCATAACCCATAACAGCCTTGGAGTATTACTGCCTTGGAGTGAGGAAAGAAAATAAAGTTCTAAATAATATATGTAAAGCAAATAACTTACCAGAATGGTATGTTATTTGTAATTTTAGATGTGTTTTTGAGGCACTGTTTTTTATTAAAAGCTGTTAAAAATGTATGGTGATTAGAAACTGTGGCAAGGGAGAAAAGAAAAGCTTTGTAGACTTTCAGAGTTGGGTATATGAAAGAAAGCACACATGTTATCATAGTTCCAGTCCAGCAAAATCCTAGGTGGGAGTTCATTCCATATCCTCTTGTACACTTAATGGAGATATTTACAGGACTGAGTAATATGTGTTGATGAAGTACATCGAGATAACAAAACGCCTGTTAAAATAGAATTTATTCACTGTAAAATCTCTACCTGAAGAATCATCATAATCCGGCCAAAATGTTTTATAATAATCATAATGCTTAAAAGTAATTGTTAAAGTCTTTCTGAATTGGGCAAAACAATGCAGGGTTTTTAGTTTAATTTTCTATATGCTTCTGAATGGGTAACAATGTTTATTGTGAATTCAGTGTACAGATTGAAACTTAAGGACAGCAATGTGGACTAAATGGCCAGAATGTAAAAGTGAGATTCATGTTTTAAGAAACAGATGAGGCTTTCCTTTAGCTTTTTTGGTCAGTACTTCTGCCATTTGCATGTCAAGTTTAATTGCAAAATAAAGTGATGAAAGTGATGATCTGGTACAGTTAGTTTACCATTTGTATTTCAAGAAGAAATGCATACACATCTCTCCTATGTAAACTCAGTTGTACTTAACTGACAGAAAATACTCACCTGGAATCATTACTGGTTCCATTTTTAAAAAAGAGTAAGCAAACCATCCCACTTTCTTTATATTTATTTACAGATCTGCAATTATGTTGGACCTGCAAAAGTAATTGTGCAGTTAGTAACGAATGGGAAATACGTCCACTTACACGCTCACAGCTTGGTGGGTAAATTCTGCGAGGACGGAGTGTGCACGGTTCTCGCAGGACCCAAGGACATGGTTGTAGGGTAAGTCTGGCACTCCTCTGGAATCCTGAGCTGTGGGGGAAGCATCAAGAATGTAAAAAGCAATACAGAAATACTCCTGAGAGGCAGCTCAGGGGAGCCCTCGTCTCCGTGTTCTGATCTTTGGTTTTTTTGTATCATAAATAGAAAATTTAATGGGATTTTTGTTCACCTTTGTAGAATTTTCCCTAAGCAAGCTAAATAAATTTAAGTAACTAATTTTTACTTAGAATTTGTACAGTTTTAATCTCTTAGTGTGCAGTCTAAATTTGTGTTGTAAGTCCATTCTTTAAACTGCAAGGAGTTTTGATCAGAGAAGGGACTAAAATTAGTCCCTAAAAAATTAACCATTTTGTTACCTCTTTGATCAATATTTTACTTTTATTGAAACCTGTCAATAGGAATGTAATGGAAAACATTAAGAAAATAGGATTAGTAAATTTGAAATTAATGCAGGACAGGTATAAACATGAAAATACTGCATAAGTCAAACTTGTCAAGTTTAAAGCAGAAAGGTTGTAGTGAAATTGTAGTTGGCCTGTTCTTGTTTAATTTGAAAGAATAATGGTTTATATCGGTAAATGGAGCTGAAGCTCCCAACTGTATTTTGAGGCTTAGATCAGGTTTCATGCTGGCTGTGAGTTTTAGTTCTGTGATCTCAAGAATGTCTTTGTTGGTGAAGATGATGAAGTTTAAAAAGCTGAGAAGGTTGGGAGAGAGAGATTCTTTTAAACTGTAACTTTTGATGTCCAAGCCCAGTGCACTGACTTTACCGCGCACAACAATTTAAATAGCTTTATTTCAAATGCTCCTTTTCATCTTGAAAAGTTTGGCTCATTTTCTAGCCTGTCTTGTTTTTCATCAGATGTTTAGAACCAGCTTTCCTGTCCTCACTTGACCCACATGAAAATTGAGTTATTGTCTTGTTTTCATACTTCCAAATCTAGTTGATTTTTCAATATGCCAGCAGATTTTTACAAAAGCACACCTTGTATTATGGGAATTTTTATTCAAATAGGTACCCAAAGTGTCTTGCAGAATGACCAGAGCCTTCCTTAAAACATTTTATTTGTAAAATACTGCACTGTTTTCAGTTTTTTAGCTTGATCTCCAAGTCATTTTCAACAGATGGAGCATACTCTGAGCAGTTGCTCTACTTAACAGGCACACAGAATGGCATGTTAATGTCATTGCCAAGACACAGCAAACAAAGTGTGACTGCCAGATTTTCCAACATTTTTTAAGTTGCTTTCCCACTGGAAGTCTGAAACCTGACAGATTACTACTTATGCCATAGGAAAGTGCACCCATATGATTGCTGTCATATAATGGTGCACATTTTACACATTTTGTGATCTTGACTGAATTTTCTTGCTGTAAAATTCTCCCTCAGATACTAATAGGGTCTAAGTAAGCCTGCAGAGTCCTTCTGTAGACTTGGGTTGTGTAGCTGTCTCTGGTAAGAGAAAGGCTGCCTGCTGCAGGTCTGGCCTAAAGCATTCCCCCAATCAAAATTTGGCAGGTTTGCAAATCTTGGAATACTTCATGTCACGAAGAAGAAAGTGTTTGAAACTCTGGAAACACGCATGATAGACGCTTGCAAGAAGGGATACAACCCAGGACTCCTGGTGCATCCAGAACTCGGCTATCTGCAGGCAGAAGGATGTGAAGACAGGCAGCTAACTGGTATGTGAAAATGATGGCCTGGTTTTAATTGGTCTTTTATTAAAAACAGGCTGAGCTTCTGAAAACATAGATTGCTAGCTGGAAAAAGACCTTGTGTAGGACAACAGCCAATGTCTATGTGCTTTTAAGAGGTGGTGCATTGTTGGTTGCTGTGTTTTAGGGAATCTGAAAGGAGTCTACTGTCAACGCATACATGAGAATGGAGAAACTTCCTTCCACAGCTGCCTGTACCAACCTCTGCACCTGTATTCCATTGTTCTTGTGCTGTTGAATAAGCTCTTAAATACAGTAATTTTGCATTATTGCAGCAAGACATGATATCCTTAATTAAATTAGGGACTCTTTCCTTCAGCTGCATTTCACCCATATCGCTGTAAAACCTGTGGTCTGCATTGCTTTCAGGCACTGTATAGAGAGGCCAGCTGTCTTTTCATCACTCTTAACACCAGGAATTCAGGTGTCCTTAGGGGTGGCCTCCATCCTTTATAAACTGAAAGCAGAAAGTAGTTATTTTCTGTCTTTTAATTGTGTAACTTACATAAGATCTGATGCACAAACTGCCAGGTGAACGCAGTGTAATTTGAATAGATGCTCCACTCTGCTTAGAAAGGGAAAACCCAAAGGATGCTAAATGTAAAGGAAGACATTTCCTCACTATCCACGCCTTTGGATGTTTGTTTGTTTTCTCTGTTTTGTTAATGATGCCCTACCCTTTGTGTTAATTCCTCTGTCTGTCAATTCCAGAGCGGGAAAGAGAAATCATCCGCCAGGCAGCCATTCAGCAGACCAAGGAGATGGATCTGAGCGTGGTGCGGCTCATGTTCACAGCCTTCCTTCCCGACAGCAACGGCAGCTTCACACGCAAGCTTGATCCCGTTGTATCAGATGCAATATATGACAGCAGTAAGTATATCTGGCTTTAATGGCTTTTGTAATTAGGAGCAGGCTTTTGTACACACCGAAATGACAGGTAGATATTGCTGTGCACGGACTCATCTGGCCCTGCCTGCCTGGTATTTGATGAAAAACAAGTAGCCCATGGATGATTAGCCCCATGTCTGTCCATGTACATACAGTATCATTCTGGTTTTAATAGATGGTGATGTAATCCGCAGAGGAAGATTTTATTTTGCTGTTAGCATGTTTAGTCCTGCCACTTTTATTATGAGGATTTTGTAAATTCTTGCTATATCCATAAGAAGGGCTTGAATTTTGCAGAGTTTTCAGTTGCTGTCTGTGACAAAGCATTATTACACGAGACGTGAGGAAAAAAATACTTTGCTTTTATCTTTGAGAATTTGACACCTTTCAGTTTTGCAGACCATCTGCTTGTCCATATTTTAAAAGATAATGCAGCCATTTCCTTTAGATCTGTCAGTATTTTTTAGAGCATTCCTCTATTTGTCTTTTTTCTAAGAGAATTTTTTCACTTCATTTTTTCCCCTGTGCTGTTAAATTATAGTGACTCATCTTACTTGAACCCTTTCTGCTGCCTGAATTTTCCTTCCTGAGACTGTGGGATCCCATGTTCTTGACAGTCATTCTGTAATGACTCAGGAAAAGTACCTTTTTTTTTCCTTTGTGCATCAGTCATTTCTATGTTATTGCTTTTTAAGGACAAAGTCTAGATCAAAGGGTACTAGCTGCAACTGCTCTGCTATAGTCTGTGCCTTGCTGTTAATTGGCAAATGTAGTCAGGTCAAAAAATTTTGTCCTCAGGAGACGAAGAAAGGTAACGTTTTGTATGCATGTTACTGCTGTTGTAAGTTGCCACTCAGATGTCAGTTACTACTTTCTGATCTCCCAAGGTGAATTCTTGATTGCTAATTTCAGAAGATATTTCTTGGGTTTTGTTTGGGATTTTTTTTTGGATACTACATTGGCACCATTCAAGCCGTCACAGAACAGACATAACTTGTGGTAGCATAACTTGCCTGTCACAGCTGCTTTCACTTATCAGATGATAGTTCTGTCTTGGGGACCAATAGTTGTCTGTTGATGCCTCTATTAGGATCTGTGGAGGTCGGCTTTTTTATCACTGTCTGGTACACTGGCCAAAAACTGGCATGCTTTCAAGTAAGCCACAGTGTAAAGCAAAGCACTGTAGATGGTGAGAAACAGGAAACAGCTCTCAAGAGTGTCACTCTGTCAGAAAGCAGGGAGGAAAAGTTACATTCTCTTGTACGGCCCTGTTGTCAGAAAATGAGTGCTAGTGCAGGGTGCTGGATGCAGTTCACTGCTGGGTTACCAGCACTGCAATGATTGAGCTGCAGTGGCTGGGACCTTGTTTTGTAGTTCACACTTCAGTCAAAGCTTAGAAGATATGAGGTTGTCTTTCATATGAAAAGCCCTTAATTTATTAATGTTTAAAAAAACACAAATTCAGGTAGGTTGTATTGGAAGCTTGTCTTTCTATGGCATTTCTGTGTGTTGTGCTTGGTTGTGTTTCTTGAAGTCTAAATCTGTTACAAAAGTAAGCAGGTTTTTTTTTCATATTCCCTTTCAATAGAAGCTCCCAATGCATCCAACCTAAAAATCGTAAGAATGGACAGAACAGCAGGGTGTGTGACAGGAGGGGAAGAGATTTACCTGCTCTGTGACAAGGTTCAGAAAGGTAAGAGTCATGAGTATTGTGAGGCACACCAGGGTGTTCATCTGGAGTACACATAAAGCCTCCTGTGCTCTCTTTAGTGTTGTCCCACTCTGATAGTGCAGCAGGATTTGTAAGCACTCAGCCTTTCTGGAAGTCAATACAGCAGTCCAGAGATTTAATAAATCAAAACAGTCTATTGCAAAGAAAATTCAGCTTCTCTGGCCTCCACAGAGACCATATGATCATCTTTGTTCTTCTCAAGTTTCTGTCCTTGAGTGTGTTCTGGAATTTTGGGGGGTGGTGGGTGCTGGGTGATGTTTGACTCCATTAACTAACACCTGCTCTGAATTATTCCGAAGTTTCTGATTTATTATTAAGTTCCTGATTGTGAAGAGTAAGTGTGAGTATTCTCTGTTAACCATGGATAGGAGCTGAATGTGTTCAGCACTGCTGCTAATAACTTCATTTTTATGTATACACTTATGGTAGAGGTTACTCAGTGTAAACAGGTACTTTTTACAGGTTCATTTTCAGTCTCTGCTCACGGCTTTGAATGTGTGAGAATTCAGCAGTGTGGATTAGAATACTTTGGTTTTGTATTATTGGAAGATAATGGTTAAATGTTTGTTACGTTCGGGCTAAGTAAAAAGAAAAAAGATGGGAGTGAGGGAGATCCTTTGTACTCTTCAGCTACAGGTAGTGCTTGGGACACCCTGATGTAGATTACATGCTGGAGTGGGTGTCCTGTTCTCATCTGTTTGGAGTCAGTCCCTGCTCATGTTGTTAAAACCACTGTGACATTTTCTGTTGGTGCAGGCTGTCCTTTTCCATCTCTCTCTCTTCTAAATGCCCTTCTACCACTTAGGGAAGAAAGAAAGCTTCGGGGGCTTTTAGGGACTTTGAAAGAACTATTTTCCTTTAATAGTGCATCTACCCACTGCCATCAGGAGGACTGAGATAAAACATAACTCTTACTCAGAAAATAAATAAATAAATGTCTGACTCAGTGGAAGCCCTGAGGTGGGGTTTCCCCTCAGCCAGACTGGGGTTTCCCCTGACCTCACTGCCTTCAGAAACCTCCTGCCTGAAGGAACTTCAGCATGCAGGACAGCAGGACTGGAAGTGGTGGTTCACATTCTTGAGACTAGCAGGTGGGGCACCAGGGGAAGCAGTCTGTCTGCTACAGAAGCCTGTCCTGCATCAGTCTCCCTAAGAGACAATAGGCTTTTTCTAGATTTTCTCACAGGAGTGCTGTGGAAGTAATTTACTAGTGAGATGCTTTTCCTAAAAATATAAATAAATAAATAGAGAATGAAAGGAAATTTGTTCAGAGTAGCAGAAGCCAAATGCTATGTTTCTGGCCTGTGCTGTTTGGAGGGTGAAGGATCCCTGCTGCCACGCTGCTGGCTCACACCCCCCAGGTTTCTGAGCTGCAGCTCCACCGTGGCACTCTGCCAGCGGCAAGAGGAACTTGAACTGTGGCACTTCAGGTTTTGCTACAGTTTTTTGAACTGAAACTGTTGGAGGAGAGAGGGTGGTTTCTACATTTCACGCTTCAAGTTCTCCCCTCCTTACATGTTTGCTCCAAATAAGGCTTCTCTGGAATGTTTTATAACCCTAGAATAGGAAGATGATGTGAACCTAGTTCTCTTTTTACAGCTCAGTAAATAGCAACTTCAGTGAAGTCATTAGGATTAGGCTGAGGTAAATTTGATGTCAAAAATGGGTTATTTTTGCTGTTTTCTTATATGTATAAAACAGATAAAGGTAATTGATGTATTGTGTGGTATTTTCATCCAGCCAAAAAGTAACCATGTTGATACTTATCTGAAACAACCATAGCCAAAGGTTTAAACAAATGCACAAACATCCCAGAGTGTTAATTTCATTCTTTGCAGATGATATTCAGATACGTTTCTATGAAGAGGATGAGAATGGTGGTCTGTGGGAAGGCTTTGGAGATTTTTCTCCTACGGATGTACATAGACAGGTAAATAACAGAGCATTTGTCCTTTGTTAATGATTCTCCCATCTCTGTAAGCTAGGATTATATTGTAGTTCATAAATTATGTAAAAGCATCTGTGTCCTGTACTGACCTCCTCTTTCCTAATAATAATAAAAACAGTTCTTTGAAGACATCTGTTAGTTGACTAGGGATATAGTGCAAGGAAATTAGGAGAACGCCCCATTGCTTTAACATGCACCCCCTGTAAAATGGGATAGGACATATAAACAGCTCTGAGAGCTCCTGTGAACACACTGAGAAAGCCACAGAAGAGATGTTAAAGGATGTGGAGACAAACAGTGCAGTACTGACATATGGGATGTGGTGGCACTTAGCATGGCAGTTCTGTCTTTCCCAAAAGGCTTTAGGACTCAGCCTCAGAAGTGAAACTGAAAGCTAAAATAGAAGCTTGTTGTAACAGCCCTTTGCTCTGAACTTTTGCCTCCCCGGCTCTAAACAACACCTTCAAAACTGCGCAAATGTAAAAGCCAAAAGCCATGCTCTGTGATTGATATGCTTGTCTTTGTTTCCTTCACAGTTTGCTATTGTGTTCAAAACACCCAAATACCGAGACGTGAATATCACAAAGCCAGCATCTGTATTTGTACAACTGCGTCGGAAATCTGATCTAGAAACAAGCGAACCAAAGCCTTTTCTCTACTATCCAGAAATCAAAGGTAACTCATTAAACCTGTTCTATAGATTGGGAATGGAAACTGTAGGGTCCCTAGGAATGTTTTTAATAAGATAGAACTGGTTGGGTGAGGAATTTTTGGTTTTAGCTGTTATTTTTAGAAAATATATTTTCCTCCTTGTTTTGGGAGTCAATATGCAGTGTGGTAGGTTTATAATGGGTTTTGTAGGTGGTGTTGTAGGACTGGTAGGCAGTAAATCCGTACGTATTTTCCAAGTGAGGCTTGTTCCTTGCAGATTCCCTATATGCACTCATGCCTGTCCATACAGTAGATGGCACTCTTCCTCTGAGTTTCTGCCAAACGATACCTGCAGAGATTTTACTGTCAGTACTCGCAGATGAAACCGTAAACCACAACCTGTTTGGTGCCTGGTGGAAAAGGCACATATTTTGCAGTTCTCACCTTTTACCATCATGCCAATGTCACTGATGTTTCTGTATTTTCCATTTGCCTGTACTAGTGAAGTAAGGCCAAGACATTTCTTGTGCGAGCAGGGAAAGTGCTGTTTCAATCTCTTGTTTAAAATTTTAGTTACTTAGCAGAAGTAGAAGAGTCAGTATTGGACCTGCTTCCTAAACTATCGGTGTAAAGAAGTTTAATTAGCAGATCTGTGCCCTTTGAAGTCTGCATTTGAAATGTTTGATGGGAATGACATTGGCAGTCATGGTTTTAAATACTAATAATGGCGATGATATGGAAATGCCTTGAGGCCCAAGTCATAATTTGTGTTTCATTGTATTAAGATTATCTTTCTGCTTAGCAGTTTACCTGCCTGCAGGTTACACTACTGAATTCTAACCTTGAATGTTTTCTGTGCCTAAGGTAGAGCTGTGTTGAAATCAATTCCCTGTCAAAGTCTCTAAAATAAAAATGTGAATTAGAAGTGAGAGACTTGGGACAGCTGAGGAGGGAGTGGTGGTGGTCTGAGTGAGTCAGCTTCACAGCTCTTAGAATAAAATAGCACAAAGCTTGAATTCACAAAAGCTTCCAGAGTTGCCAGAGGATTTCTTCTTGGTAATGATTTCAGGAACCTCTTCCACAAATGTTACGGGAAGTGAAGTGTTCAGCTGCAGAGCAAAGCAGCCAGATTTGAAGCAAGCCTCTTTCATGTGCCTCTTAATGTTGAATTAATTTTACTTGATTATGTGCATTTTCAGATCCCCTATACAACCACTTCATGAAATTATCATTTAGGAATATATTTTTCCCTTGTTGCAAATGTTCCCACAAACTCAGACCCATGTATGTGGATTTTTTTGTGTTTCTCTGACTAGATTGCTCTCTAGGGTTTTCTTTCCTCGTCAGTGTGAGTATGCCTGATGTGTGCATGCATACTTACACATCATGTTTACCTGGAAACTGTTTACATGGCTTTGTCAGTGTACTGTCTCATGTATTCAGCTGTCTCATCTGATGCACTGACTGATGTGCCTGTGCATGAAATTTGTTTTTGTCATATGGCTGTTGAAAACTACTAGATGGTTTAATATGCAAATGATATTTTGTTCTTTTCTCAACAGTTCTACTGGATTTTAACCCATATAATGTTTGTATCCTTATTTTTGTAGCTCTTGTCATGATATTTTCACTTTCCCCTATTGGGATAGTCCTTTGAAATCTTTTTGTTTTGTTTTTGAGGGCTACTAAGTCTTATTTTGTACTTACACTATAAAATAAGTTTAGGGGTTTTTTTTTTCCTCCTGCTACTCAGCATGGTTTGACAGTAATGTGTCCCTGCCTGAAAAGAAGTTGTCTTTGTTCTAGTGGCTGTTACAATATTTTAAGTAAACAATTTCAAGCAAGCATGGTTTTCACAATTTCTTGCCATCCCTTAAACAAAAATTGAAAAGGCACTGCAGGTACTCTGCACTGTTGAGACTCAGAAGTGCCTTGTGATCCTCTGATAAGGCTGCATTTCTGAAGCAGATTTGCTTGGAAGAAGAGCCTGTGCTTACATACCCCAAAGGCAAATTTTCTTCAACAAATTTGGGGTTTGTAGCACTTGTGATTAATGACTTGCCTTAGACACTGAAGAATTTTGGGGCCACTGATCTCCAGGGCTTCTCAGTACATGAGACACTTGTGAAGGAAGCTCTGAGCCCCCCAAGACATCTCCTCTGCATGTGTCCCCTGAGTCTGAGCACAAGGCAGTGACATGGCTGAAGAGACCATGCAGGCCCAAGTGATGCTGCTGGTCTGACTGGGGACTTGGCACTGGCTTGTTCTCAGAGGAATTCTCTCTGCTCCAGTACGTACAAAGATTTTCTGCTATTTAGAGCTTGAGGAAAGTTGACTCTTCTAGCACACCCTGCATTTTCCTTTATAGACTAGTAACTGTAGTGATGCTTTCTGTATGCACACCCTGTGCTGTGCCTGCCAGCAGCAGGACTGACTCCCTCTTCTCTCTGTTCCTGCTATCCCAGATAAAGAAGAAGTGCAAAGGAAACGACAGAAGCTCATGCCGAACTTCTCTGATGGCTATGGTGGCGGCAGCGGCACCGGAGGTGGTGGCATGTATGGAGGGGCAGGTGGTGGTGCTGGCTCTGGTAAGGCAGCAGGTTTGGGCAAAGAGGGAACAGGGTTCTGCTTTGAGAGCAGGACAGATGTTTATGCCGATTTTTAAAATGTAAAGAGGATTTTGTCTCCAAGGCATATAAGACCAGACTCTTGTTTCGGTTATTCTACTGTTACTCAATTCAGTCAAGCATCTCCGTATTCTAAACTCTTCATCATCCCATTTGCCTTCCCATTTTGGAAGCATTGTGCATCCTAGGGCCATGGAGGCACTGAAATTCATGAGACAGCTCACTTAGCTATCATTTTGGGTATCTAAAATTAAACAGGTTCTGAACTGTTTCTCAGACCATGATTGGAATTTGGCAAATTAACCCTGTTAGTGCAAAGAACTGTTAAAAAATTGAAGGTACTCTTTAGTAAATTTTCTACTGTGTTCTATCTGTTGAAGTCAGAGTATATCTGATATGCAGGATCATGAGAGCATTGCTTTGGTTCTTGCAGCAGAGCATTAAAAACCTATAGGTCAGCAAATGTCACCTGAACCACAACTCTTTTTTTAGAGCAGGGAATAGAGCAGCAGTTTTCAAATTGCTACATGTGTTGCTGGCAGCACATGCATAGCATAACACCAGAATACAAATGTGTTGTTATCATGAAGATTCAAAAGCACAGAGGCAGCTTACAATGTCTCAGTTGAGTTTTAGAGGTAAGACACAGCAATACTACATTTTTGTGGTGTTATGGATTTTGGGATAGAGAGTGTCACTAGCCAACCACCTAGAATTTCTTTGGATTTTTGAAGGGGTAGGGGAGAGCTCACCTTTATTCTGGAAAATTAATTGGATGAAATAAAGCAGAAGGTATGCAGAAAACAAAAACTCAGCTATTTAGGTTCAGTGTTCTTCTTGATGGTGTTCTCATTGTTTTAGGATGTAATTCTATTGATTCTTAATCTTTCTCCTTCCTTTAGGGTTCAGTTTTCCTTCATATGGATACTCTGCTTTCGGAGGGATGCATTTCCCTGGCACAACAAAGTCCAATGCTGGCATGAAACATGGTAACAGCATAAATGTTTTTCTTCCAACAGTTGAATTGAGTTTGACCTGTATTTCCTTCTACAGTATGGACCAAAGCGTCGGGCAGGTCTAGCTGAGCATGCTGGAGAGGGCCTCTTCTCAACCCTCTGACAGCAGAGGGGTTTGTGTAGCCTGTAGTGCCCTGCTTCTCTTTTTTCCTCTCCAAGTGTAGTTTCTTTTTACTGTGCAGTCCTGAGAAGCAGTGACAAAAACCCCTCCATGTGCTTCTGTATTCAGTGTATTGTTTCAAGAACAGCCCTCTTGCTTGCCTGAATGTGCTGATTACAGATGACCCAAGGACTAGACCACGAAAACGTATCTTCCTTTGTTGCCACAGTCTGGTACTACCCTGTAGCCCAGAGAAATAAATGGAAAATATTAAGTTCATAATAAGGATACTCTTGGCTTCCTAAAATAGGAAGGTAATTTCAGATGTACATGTTGATTACTCTGTAGATACTTCCAGAGTCTGGGGGATAAATTTGCTGTGATGAAAAAAAATGTCTGAGTAGTTCTCCCTAGGTTTTGTGTGAGTACTTCAGACTTATTCTTGTTCCATGAAAAGAGAGGTAAATCTGTTGTAATATATAAAAGTTTATTTCTAAAGTAGAGGCTGTCAAAGACTTAATACCAGTTTAGAGCAATCACATCACTGTGTCTGTCCGTGTGTGTTGGCATCTGGAATATCATGATTAATGAGTTTAGTGATAAGGTTTACATTGAAGTAAATTTTTGTATTCATTTTTCAGGGTTTAGTTTTGTCTAGTTGAGTTTTATCATTTGTATTAAAAAAGCAATGGACACTAATGATTCTACTTTTTATTAGAAGGTCTATCAAATTGCACAGCTGAACAAGACAGAAAGAGCTGTGATAAACAAAATGACCCATGGGACACGAAATGCGATGTGAAGGTGGAAGCAGTGGAGAGCGCTGAGTGCAGAACGTCTCCTGCTCACGAGAAAAAGGAGGATTCTGGTTTTTCCTGTAAGGCTGAAGGAAGTGAAGCAGATTGCAGGCGGCAGGGTAAGTGAGCAAGTAAATGTATTTAGGGTGAATCAAACTCCAGTACTGCAAAGCAAGCATTAAAGGTCTGGAAAATCCAAAAATGTCTGCTTGCTGTTTCCAGAACATGAAAATTCCCCAAGATCTAAGGTTCATCCCTATACCTAGTTCTGTAGATAACTTTCCACCTTTCTACTGCCACTGGACACTTGAGCTTCTGCTGGTCGTGCAGGGAGATGAGACAGCTTTGCCTGCTGGGCACGTTTAACACTGCCTTTGAATAAACTTGTGTGAGGAAGGAGGCTGCAAGCAGTGAAGGCACAGGGAATAGAACTCAGCAGCTGACTTGGCTTTTGATATTTGAGAGACTTCAGTGGATGAGTTAATGGATGTTAGTATGACTTGCAGTAGGTCTTCCCTGCAACAGCGTTGAATTATATGCAGAGTAGCATTATTGGTTTGAATTTAAAATGTAAAGGTACCTGTTTCCATTTGGCAAACACACAGTTAAATCGCTGCAGTAGCAAAGTGTTACACATCAAACTAATGCCTAAAAATTTTTGCTTTTTATGTATTTTTCATGTGTTTGTAGCTTTGTAGACCATTAATATGTGGTTATACAGTTCCTGGTATTTTTCCTACCCTTTCTCTTAGATTTTAGAGCAGTAAGTTAACCTTCTAATACACTCCTGAAATACTGTTTAGTCTTATTTTCAAGTAGAGGGCCTACAGAAAGAACATTTTATTTTTGAATCAGAATCTTAGAAGACATAACAAGAAGTGGGGCAAAGAAGCCCTGAATCAGTTCCAGTGGGGCAGTACCTGGGGGAAAATATTACCTAACCAACTGCTCTCCTACTTGGACAATGTTTGTTACATAGTATAATTTGTTAAACTTACAAAAACTGTAGAAATCTGTTCTTGGGTATGCTCATAGCCCATAACTATGGGCTTCTAATAAAGAGCTGCTTTTTTATCTTACCATTTTAATCCTGTTGTAAGGGGTTTTGTCTTTTTATTTCAGGCAACAAAATGAAAGGACGAGGAAGGCAAGGGTAGTCATCAGAACTTGTTTAGCAGCAGAGTTCTAAAATATATAAAGACTACAAATCACCCTTTCCCAGACAGCAAGATGTGCATTTTCTGGATTGTTTTGGTTTTTTTAAATAGTTGATGGACACTTGTTTAAAGGATTTGAGTAATCATGCTTAGCATAAAATAAAAAAAAAAAACAGTAGTTGGACTAGAGAGACATGGTATTGGTAGGAATTGAGCTCTAAGGAATTTCTTGGTTCTGGTTTTTACCAAGTGTAACATGATCTAGACCACATTTTGTTATTGATCAGGGAGAGAGCACATTACCTTGTGTGTGTCAGCCCTGTCTGACACTTGCTATTAACAGCACTAGAAAACTGTGGCTTGAGAATCCAAAGTGGTACAGGAGATGGGCTGTAGTTGTAAACACCTCCAAGCTGTAGTTTCTTGTGATCTGAGAATGGATGGTGCTGAAGCAACCTGCTGTTTGTAGTTTTGGTTGTGATAAATCCTGTGACTGGTTCAGAGAACAATATCTTGTTGCTGATATGAAGAAATAACAATGTCCATTTAGCTGTCATGAAGGAGGGGTCTGAGTTGTTTACCAGTTTTCCAAGCAATTAATATTGTAGGCAGGAAGCTGACTTTTTTTTTTTAACCTATTGTAATGGCATGAAAGGAGGCAATTTCTAGCTCCAGATTATACAAATAATTGGTGCAGAAGAACAGGCTCCATAAAATAGCTACTGCAGGCTAGATCATTTAGTTATTAGACTAAAAGGCACATATAATATTTTGAAGGATATCTTTCCTGTGTATTTGATATGGAAAACCAGGGAGTTTCCACATCCAGTTCTTTGATCTTTGGAAATGTATATAACAAGAAAAGACTGAACTGCTTATCACCCTTTAACCTGAATATAACACATTTAGTGTGAAGAGGTGAATAGCAAATATAAATCCATCAGCCCAGGCATATAGCACAGCAGCCACAGGGATGTACTGGCCAGAACAATAAGCTTCATGGATAGCTGAGTAAGTCTTTGCCTTACAGCAGTGATGTGTTGGTGTTCATCAGGTTCACACTTCTGACCTGGTTAAATGCCTGGTTTTGTGTAGCTGGAAGTCCTGGCTATTGTCTCCCCATGTGTGCTTTAAATGACACAGTCTGATGTACTTGTTTGCACTTTGTAATTCCCTATCTTACAAGGTTTTATAGAAACACGAAACTGTTTAAAATAGAGGCTGGTTTCAGATGGTACTGCTTCACAGAGTGACGCTGTAGTTTCAGAGCTCATCTGTTTCATTTTCACTAGTGTCTTGCTGACACAGAACCACAAAAGTATTGACAGAGCAGCCAGAGTTACTTTTTTCCGCAAATGAGTTTCTTTTCTCCCATTTCTCCCTTTTGCCTCCCACCATGACAACTTCTGCTTTTTGAAATCTCAGTGGCTGTCCATTTTATAATTCTAAAATCAGGATACAAATACTAAGCATTGTAAAAAGTGCAATGTTTTAAACAGAGGAACAGATTCTCTGTGCTGCTGCTGTGCAGGCCATACTGCATGATTTGAGTTGGAGAAGGAGTACAAAGCCCTGCATTTATTCCATAGCTTTTCTCTCAGCTTATCTGCAATATTTGATGGGTCACTTAGGCTTCCTGTGCCTCAGCTTCCTCAAGGTAAAACTACTCAGACCTGCAAGTTCCACATCCAAGTTCTGCTCCTTTTGTTTTATTTCACACAACTGCACGTCAGTGCTGCTAATTCAGTGCCAGTCAAACCAGAGGGAGCTTCCAGATTTGACTGTTCTCAGGGTTCCTGCTGCCTGAATGCTCAGCATGCCCTTAGTTTTCCTTCCCAGGCATTTGTTCCCTCTGTCCTTACCTCTCAGAAGTAATTAGCAACCATCTCAGTGAAGCAGTGAATAATGCTTGGTGGCCTGCACTTTGTATTTCTGTGACAGCACAAGTGCCTGTCAAAAGTAAGTGGTGTTCCAAGGAAAACAACCGAGCTGATGAGGAGGAAACTTTGTGTTGCAGATGCTCTGTTCCTGGAGAAGGCCATGCAGCTTGCCAGGCGCCACTGCAACGCTCTCTTCGATTACGCCGTCACTGGAGACGTGAAGATGCTGCTGGCAGCTCAGCGCCATCTCACCGCTGTCCAGGATGATAATGGGGACAAGTGAGTTGACCACCCTGCACTTGCTGGGTTGAAACCGATGGGTTTGGGGATGGAATGGTGTGGTCAGTTTGTTCTGTCCCTCATGGGTGCCAATCACTGATGGCACCGCTTCTCCTTTCTGCTGTTCTGGAGAGGCACAGCTGTGATTTAGACACTTTTGTTTCATTTGCAAAGAAGTCATGTACACCATAAACTTCATTGATCCAGTACCTGTCAGAAAATAATCTGGTCATTGAGGATATGTTGAGCATGTTGTGAGTTTGGGTTTCTTTACCCTTTTTTACTTAAAATCTTGACCAAGTGTGAATTGCTGTGCTTGCGTCATGATACACAGTGTATGGGGATCCTCAGCTTGGTGCTGAAGGAGAGGGCCCTGCTTTTTATTCCATGCAAGTCCTTAAGTCTTCATAGGATGCTTCAAGTAATAGATCCAGGAGATGTAGGAACAATAGCTGGAGGGTCCATACTGCATTTCTCCACTGACATCACATTCTTTCCAGAGGACATTTTTTGCTCTTGCTTACATCTGTACTGTACTGTTGTCTTCCAAGGGATTGCACAGATGCTTGTGGCAGACTTGGCTGCTAATATTTGCATATCAGTCTTTCAATAATGTGAGCTGGAGTGGAAATCCACTTTGTTACTTTACAGCCATGCAGATTCTGTGGAACTCAGAGTGAAGTACTGTGAGGAACTGTAGTTATTTAAAACAAAATTCAGCAAAAGGGCTCTGAACAAATGCAAAGACAATCTCTTGCATAAGCAAGTGACACTGTCACATCCTTACTGTTTACCTGGCAGACCCTGTGCAATCACCTACATTTCCTTAAATTGTAGTGTTTTGAACAGTAGAGGCCAGATAAGCCTCAAGGTGTCTAGCTAGAAGGAAAATTTCAAGTGACCGAGACCTATAACCCACTGTTCAATTACTCTGAGAAAGGTTACCACTTTCACTCCATTTTCAGTGAAAAATAGGCCTCAGATTAGAGAGAGAGGACTGCACAGTCAGAGAGAGCTACTTCACAAGCTTTGCTTTCCAACTGGAAACCTAATGTCTGCTTTGAGATAAACAGCAATATGAAGGAGGTGGGAGCTAGCAACAAAATGTACAAGTGCTATGGACAGTACAGCTTCTGTGTTTAAAAAAAGAAAGGGGGGACTTAGAGGAGTGTTGAGCAAGTAAGCCCTGCATTTCAATACTAAAAAGTTGCTCCTCAGATTTGGACTTGCAGGGCATTTTAACATTTTTAGAATGATAATAAATAGTTGTTTTCTTGCTGGATCAAGAAGTACCTGCAAGTATGAGAGGCTCAAGTTCACATTGCCTTTCTCCTGAGATGGATCTATTCTGTGAGCATAATACATATCTGTATTACTTCACAACTTTTTAACAAAGCAAAGCTTTGGTGACTGTCTTTCAGCTCTCTTGGGGGAGAAGAAAAAGGTCAAAATTACTTAATAAATTGCCCTGGTTTTCATTTTAATAATAAAAATTATATGGCAATTAGAAAGTTTTTGCTTAAGCCTTTCAAAAAACTTGGCTGTCAACAATTTATGGCTTTCAGACAGATCCCAGAAACCTGTGATTAGTGTATATTTACAGTGGACACTCAGTAACACTGGCTGTGACTGCATTTATACCAGTACCACTGCTCTGTAGATATCTGATGGCTCTACAGTGGTGCTCAAATGCATTTTTTCATGTTTAAGAATGTTTAAGAAATGGAACTGCCCTTTCGTGGTCTAGTCAGCAGCATCACATATAATGGTATGGTAAAATTAAAATACTTGCTGCTGAAATGAGAACTAAAAGCAGTAGAAGAACAAATGTGTTTCTGTAGTGAGATTTGGAAATAAAATGTCAGCATGATACAGAGCATAATGAAAAGCATCTTGTCAGAGCAGAGGAACAGCACTTTTCCAGTAATGGTGGGACTGTTTCTACAGCACAGGGGAGCTGAAGGAGGGAAGGTGCCTTGATACTTCCAGCAGCAGTATATAGCATCAATAAAAAGATGCCCTTTAAGGATGAATTTGGTTTGTAAAATTTTTTTTCTGTTTTTTAAAGTATCTTCTGGTTTTCACTGCTCTCTGTCTCAATTTCAGGATAACTCCTTGCCCTGAATGGCATGGAACTTCCTCTTTATTTTTCTGGCAAAAGTGTAAATCTGGGACTGTTCAGGTGTTTCTGGGGAGGCATAACAGACACACCACATGTCCTGTGCTGATATTTTGTGTCAGCAGCAACTTGCTAAAATATGAGTCTAGAAGATGGCCAGTGTGTGCCAAGGAAGGGCTTGGCAGGGTATGTTTCAAAACAGAGGGCATGATTTTCAAATGAAGTCCTAAAGGTAGCAAGGCAAATGGAGCTCTGTGGCATGGGGTGATGGATTCACAACCTGCTTTTGCCTGATGCCATGTTGCATATCCAGCCACTCAGGTTGGTGGTGAGGGACCTGCCTTTGGAGAAGAGCACAGGTTAAGTTAAGGCCATTGCATTAACCCAGTAGAAGTAAAGTGACTTGCTATGCAGTCATTCATGCCTCAAAACAGGTGCTTTTTTGGCATGATGCCTCTGGCCACTGTTGCAAATCCTGTGGTTGTTAGTCACTGGGCCCGAGCCCTTAGTCATTTTTCTGTTTGAAAATGAAATAAAGAAAAACCCACAGATCTGGGGAAACCCATAAGGGAAAATCTGCTTTGGTAGCAGAGAGGCTTGTGGAAATTCTGCAGGAAGGTTTTCACAGTAAGAAGTGTTTATCTGCTGCATAATTCAAAATATGAAGAAACAGCAAACCAGCAGAGAGTCTGAGAATTTCTGAAACAATTGTTTTGTGCCACACATTTGTGCCTAGGAGTAAAGTAATGCTGAGGGCCAGCAAAAGCCATCCTGAGTTTGCTTTTGTGATTGAAGGGTTAAACAGTTACTGTCTGACCTGGTTTTTTTCAGTGTTGGGATTCATTAATTTTAGGTCTTGATACTTAGTGTTGGAATCATTATCTCTAATAGTCAAGTGTTTATATGAGAATGCAGTCAGATCTACAGCAAAGCCTTGAAACTTATTACAAAAGTTTGAAAACAGTGTGAATTTATTAATCTGGTTTTTGTTTGTTTCAGTGTCCTTCATTTAGCAATTATCCACCTTCATACTGAGCTGGTGAAAAACCTCTTGGAAGTGATGCCCAGTTTGAATTACAATGACATCATTAACATGAGAAATGACCTCTATCAGGTGAGCAGTTGTGGGGGTGTAAGTGTTGCTGATTGTTTAGCCAGTAAAGAAATTGCACAAATTGTTGTCTGTGGGAAGACAGCAGACTGATAGAAACAAGTTTAGAAACAAGGACATATTGGAAGGTTGTGGAGGAAAGAGAGCATGTTTTCATTGGTTTAGTCCATAATTCTCTTGATGGTAACAGAAGTGTCTCCATGGGCTAACTGTGGAACAGGCCAAAAAGAGTAAATTCTTCAGTTCATGGCTTCAGTATTTGGCTTCTCTGTCACTAAACCAGAGGTATGGATTACAGTGTGCCAGCTCCGGGCTCCTCTGACCTTTCTGACACTGCTTAACTTGGGATCATGGGTCAGTTCCTGTGTCATCAGTTATCTGCAGGCACATGTGGAAGCCATAATAACCTCTGCCGTTCCTACAGCCTAGATTGTCTTTGTGCCCATCACATGAGCACCAAGATTTCCCTTTCATTTCTGCAGAATCTGAGAAAAGCCCATCCCCTTGTCTTTAACCTAGGTGGAAAACAACTGGCAGGCACAGTTCTGTCTCCTCAACTATAGTCTGGCCTGTTTGCATTGTAATTCCAAGATCTGAAAAGAGCTGTGGGAACCTGCCTGGAAAAGAATCTCTTCTAAAGAGACTGTGCAGGCCACTGAGCAACACTCTGACCTTGAGTCATTTGTTTTGCTGTGAACAGCAAAGGCAGGTTTTAATTCCGTACAGGGAGTCCCAGAAGGTTTATTTTGACTTCTCTGTTTTCCTTCACATTTTTATGTTCTTATAAAGCAAGTTTGAAATGTGCAGGCTGCTGAAAGTAAGCATAAGATTCTGAATTGAATTCTGTGCCCTGTGTTTAACAGAAACAGGAGGCAAAGTTGGGCTCTACACAGGAAATAAATTCCTGACTACAGAACATATATAGCTCTCCCTACCTTCAACTTAAACCTAAGCCACAGACAGAAGAGAGGGTAGGCTTGGGCTAGAATTTTCCTTCTCTACAGATATTCTGAAAGCTGAAATATAGATATAGATGCAGTAGTTAATTGCAAATGTGTTGACAGATCTATTGACAAACACAAGCTTATTGTGCACAGCTGGGTTTTTGAAGTCCTTTGTCAATGTAATGTAGATATGGAGTCTTACTCAATTTTTAAATTATTTTAGTATTGGAAATACCATTTCCCAGACCTCACTAGAATGCTTATTGTTTAAATACATGCATGTGTATGTTCAGTGTGATGATGCTCAGAGCTGACAAGAATGCAGTATGCAACCAACCTCTGGAAGGTCCCAAAGCCTCTCAGCCTGAGCGTTGCTCAGTGCTGCAGGAGCACAGAAATGGGGAATGTGCAAATGGGATCAGCTAGTTCAACACATGGCATAAGTGCACAATTGTTCTGCAGCTCGACAAGTGCACACAACCTGCAGGATTTTCTTCTTTTCTGTGCAGGCATAAGGAACTCCTATGCCCATGGCTGTAAATCTGTGATTCAGGAGCAAAATGAAAGCATGGTTCATTGCTAAAGAATCTGAGTAGGGAAAGCACATGTGCTCCCACCATGGCATGAACTTGGAGATGGGGCAGCTGTGGAAGCAGGCTTTTAGTGTGTGGGGGGCACAGGGATGACCTCATTTCCCAAGTCCCTTGCACTGCAGTGCTGAAATAGCCAGGTCAGTGCCCTGGCTTGTAGAGTAGGCAGCATCTTTGTTCCTCCCAATGTCCAACTGCTGACATTGGCAAGGCAGCTTTTATTTCCAGTACGTAGAAACCTTGTTTGTAGTATGCAGTAGAAAAGAAGCTACACCACTCCAAAGCCAACAAACTAAAATCTTGCATATGTGTACAACCTTCTCAGACTAGGAGCTTTTATGGGTTTCAGACATTTCTGTACAAGTGATGTAGCTTTGCTTATCTTCTCATGGCTTGCTCCTGTCACTCGCAGACCCCTCTGCACCTGGCAGTAATCACAAAGCAGGCAAAGGTGGTGGAAGACTTGCTGAAGGCTGGAGCAGATGTCAGCCTTCTGGATCGCCACGGCAATTCTGTCTTACATTTAGCTGCTACTGAAGGAGATGACAAGATTTTGAGTCTACTCCTCAGGCATGAGAAGGTGTCTCCCATGGTCAACCTCCCCAATGCTGAAGGTATGGAAAGATAATGGCTGTATTTTACACTTCCCTACTAGACAAACACATCACAATTCCTGCCAACACTGTGTTGCTACACAGGTAGATAGAGACCCTGAAAATAACATCTTTCCCCATTTTGCATATGCTGTCCTTGGTTTTTATATGCCTGCAGGCACAGATGAGACAGCACAGGCGTGTCAGTTTTCTGGTTATACAGAAGAGGAAGATTGGTAATGCTCACGTGACACAGCATGGATTTGAATTTTTGTCCCTGTACATTCTCTTCAATCTCACAAAAACTCAAACACTTGTGTTCACCTTGTTTCTTATGCCACCTTTGTTTTTTTTAAAAATCCCCAGAAGAAAATGTTTCCTCCTGCCTAGTGAATGAAATCCCCTTAGAAATAGTTTCTGGACTAATATTGAGGTCTGTATCTGGCATTTTGTGACCATATAGAATTAGAGCCTGTAAAATAACCACAAAGAGACAGTTCTCCCATTTTTCAGTGCACAAGGGACTTCAATTTAGTACTCCTGCTCTAATAGATTGTAAAATATGTCTGACCTAAAATTGTCATCATGGATTCAAAAAACTGTGTTCAGTTCTTCAGAAAGAGGATTTTTTGGTTTTGGTTTTTGTTGGGTGGGTTTTTAAAAAAAGGCTTTGTTATTATTTTTCTGGTGCAAGTATTCTTGAGGTGTCAGGTCACTGTGACCTTACAGGAGGATGATACTAAAATATAGGAGTTACTCTCCAAACCATTTTCTAGAAGAGATGTTCAGTGTCAGATGGGGCCAGTGTGGAATACCTACTTGTTTAATACCAAGATGCAGATTTTCTTTTTAAGGCTATTCTCTTGAGGCAAAAAAGATGCTCTGGGTGAGCTCTGTAGTTCCTGACTTCTGTTCCACGTTGTAATCTGATTTTTTTCTCCTTGCATGGTTTTGACTCTCCAGGTTCCAATTTATGCACAAAGAATATATTTATTAACACCATTAACTTCATCCTGAGTCTTCACCTGGAGTACTTCCTTAGGGTCTGGGGCCCCCAACATATATAAGAAGGACATGGGCCTGTTGGAGCAGGGATAGAGGGCCTAGAAGATGCTCACAGGCCTGTAACACCTCTCCTCTGCAGACAGGCTGGGAGAGCTGGGGCTGTTCAGCCTGGAGAAGAAAAGGCTCCGAGCAGACCTTACAGCACCTTCCAGTACCTAAAGGGGGCCTACAGAAAAGCTGGAGAAAGGTGTTTTATGAGGACATGTAGGGACAGGACGAGGGACAGTGGCTTTAGGCTGACAAGAGGGTGGGTTTAGATTAGATATAAGACAGAAGAGCCTGACTGTGAGGATGATGAGGCACTGGAACAGGTTGTTGCCCAGACAAGTTGTGGATGTCTCATTCCTGAAAGCAGGTTCAAGGCCAGGCTGGGTGGGTCTCTGAGCAGCTTGCTCTGGTGGGAGGTGTCCCTGCCCACGGCAGGACTGGCAAGGAACTAAATGATCTTTGAGGTCCCTTCCAACCCAAACAATTCCATGATTCTATTATCTTTCAGTGCATAAGCAGGCAAAATGTGTTACTTCTGCTGAGGTAACTACAGTAACTCATTTTACAGTTTTGTTACTTTGAAACTCATTACTCTGACATTTCTGAATTTTACAATATTAATGCAGATGATGGACGGGTTTTGTTTTGTGTAGGTCTCAGTGCAATTCACATGGTGGTGATGGCAAATAGCATGTCCTGCCTCAAACAGCTGATTGCTGCTGGAGTTAACATCAATGCTCAGGAACAAAAATCTGGACGAACTGCATTGCACTTGGCTGTTGAACAAGAGAACATCCCCTTGGCAGGCTGCCTTTTGCTTGAGGTAAAGGCAGAATTTCTTTCTTCCAGGTCTTTTCAATTACATATTTAAAAGCTGTTGACAGTCCTTGAGTGCTTCAGAATGACAGAAGTAAGGGGGGAAGTTCCTGTTTATTGACTAGATTACTTGAACTGGTATAATGGCAAAGTGACTGGTAATGTTACTGTTTTGTTCAGCACTGCTGGTGAAGCTTTTGCCCAAGTTAAGGAATTTAGAGTTTGTGACCCTGACCTGACTTCATATGCCATGTATAATTTGCACTGAGTAATGCTGGCAGGCACTGAAGTTACCATGAACAAGTTCATCCCTTCTTCTGTGTGAAGCAGAACATGTATGGAGTTGTGCAGAGAGATGTAGTTGTGTAATCTGTAAATATTTGTCTCATCATAACACCTTGATCCTGGTATCCTTAATTCTACACACCCCAGCTGGCTGTGTAGCTTTCCTCTGTGCTCATGCATGGATGTGCCACCACCCTGGCTGTTCTGATGAGCAGCAGGACAGGATTCTGTGCACACCACTCCCATTCCAAAGGCCACAGGCAATCGGATGGCAGAACTTTTACAGGAGATGCAAAGTGGCTTTTATCTACCTGACCTATTTGGAGATACACCCTGTGCCTCCTGCTCTAACACTGGAGCACACTACCACCCTACGCACGTAGGCAATTGTAGTTATTTTCTAACTCTTCTTTTCAGGCAACAGTTAAGAGTTTTTATGCAACCAGGCACAGAATGGTGCTTACTTGCACAGTAGCAGTGTTTATGCTGACATGAGCCTTGGCAGCTGCATTGTACAGATTTCTTTTCTTTTTTGCCATTCAACAAAAACTTAGGGTGATGCAGATGTGGACAGCACTACATATGATGGGACAACTCCACTTCACATAGCAGCTGGAAGGGGCTCAACAAAATTGGCAGCAGTTCTCAAAGCAGCAGGTATGGAAATAGGTCTTTGCCAGAGACTTCTCTTTCACAGTGAGAATTCAAGTTAGAAGGCTGCAAAGCAGAAAAGAATGTGCCAGTGAACTTGTTTAAATGGGTGGAGGAAGTCAGATGTTAAAAGCAAGAAGGTCTGAATTTCCTCAGAAAGTCCTGCTCTGAGGTGCTACACGAATCACTCTTCAGCACCATCTAATGGCTAGAAAGGCAAATTATGTTGGTAAAAAAAATCTCAAGAGGACTTTGGGAAGTTTCTTGAGTATCTTTTGTAGCTTCTATAGCTGAAGAAGTGGAGAAGAGATCTTTTTATGTATCTGGGATAAGTGTTGGATTGCTTTAGAAAGAAAAAGCCAAAAAAAAAATCCCATCACTGAAGCATGAGCTTGTTAGTGTCTCCTACTGCTGTCACTTTGGAAGAATTAGGTTGGAGTATTTATTGGAACTTTTTGCCAATTGTACTTAAACCTAATTTTTTTCCTTTGAAACAGAAACCCAAGCCTCCCATTGCTGAGGCTGCCTGCTTGGTCTTTTAAAAACACCCCCCACTTTCTCTGACACTCTAAAAAGCAGCACCACACCATCCCTTCATCACATGCATGCAACATGGGATTGGGAGTCAGTTGATACAACCAGAGCTCTTTCTTTGGCCCTAAGGCTCAGCTTGTGGGTTTTTTGCCCTCTTTATAATGGAGAGTAGCATTGTACAGAGATGTGACAGCATTTAAATGTAACTGGTAAAAAGAGCTACTTGCTAGCTTAATATAAAATATCATTTACCTGGAGTAGCTAAATTACCTGATTTGCCATTCAGTACATAGAATGCATATTTTAAATATTATTGGGAGGCAACCTGAAGCCCCTTTTCCCCCCCCCATCCCCCACTTGTTTTTCAGGTGCCAATCCTCACATTGAGAACTTTGAGCCATTGTTTGATCTAGATTATGTGAAAGACGACGAAGATGATGACGAAGGGATTGTGCCTGGAACAACACCACTGGATATGGCAGCCAACTCTGAGGTATGTGCTCTGTTTTCTCTTTTAGTTTTTTGTTGTTTTTTTTCTAATTATAAAGGATAGTTCAGCTCTCTCAGCCAGCTCCTTTCATTGCATCCAAAATTATTGCAATTAATTTTATGAATCTGCCATCAAAAATTAAGTTAATTTAGCCATAAAACTGCCCTGTTGAAAAAGCACTGGAAGAAAGCTCCACTGAACTGACTAAGGCTGCTGAACAGACATGAACAGGCAGTTCTTGAAGTAGGTGCACTACAGTCTTCAGTGTGGGAAAGCATTTACATGGGTGGGCAGCTTGTGTTTGAAGGCCTGAAACCAATGGGTTTCTTTGCTGAGTGTTCTTCAGAATTGCAGCCTGTGTGTGCTGGGAAAATGCACTCCTGGGTTCTACCCAAACAGTGATTGAGCTGATTATTGTGCATGTGGCTTGGTGTGAATGTAAAGGATAAACAGTCAGCATCTCTCATCATCTGGAGCTGGGGAGTGGTACCAAGCTTAGGTGAAAATCTAACCCAGGCTTTGTTTTAAATGACTGGCTGAAGACAGGCAGCAGCTCCTTTCTTAGTCTCTGCTACTGCCAAGACTTCCTCTGTGTCTTGAAAATAGTTGCCAGATGACACAGCTTAAAACAAAGGGAGATTTAACTTCTCAAGATTTCTCCCTGAAGTTTAGCACAGGTTTTGTACGTTATCCTTAGTCATACTGAGCCTGGGATGGAAAAAAATGCTCATTTACAGATGGAATTTTATACAACACTGCTGAGACTTAATGGACACTAACCAGATTTCTGCTAAACACTGACTTTAATGTATCCTCTTAGGTGTATGACATATTAAATGGCAAACCCTATGAGTCAGCAGAGGTTCTGGAGGACTTATTCACACAAGGTAACACCTATAAGGACTTGACAATATCCCTCTAGTAATTGAATACTGAAAGAGTAGTGGCAGAAGACACTGCCCTGCTTGTTACTGAGCTGGTGAGAGAGAAGAGGTGCCCTCCCACCCTCTCACTCATAGAATGAGCATGATTCCCTTAAGATGTCTCAAGGACAAGGAGTGCATTTGCAGTATTGCAGCAATACATTTGTAATGCTGAGACTGGACTCTCAAATAGTCTTCAGTTTGGCTTTGTTTCTGTTTAAAAATGAAGTGGTGCATGTTTTGTATAAATAATCAACTAACATATTTCTCTGTTCCCCAGGACATTTGAGAGAGCTGAATGAGAATTCCAAGATGCAGCTTTACAAACTATTGGAATTGCCTGATCCAACCAAAAACTGGTCCACCCTAGCACAAAAACTGGGTCTTGGCATACTCAATAATGCCTTCAGGTTGAGCCCTTCCCCATCGAAGACTCTGCTGGATAACTATGAGGTAATGTGCTGTAACAGCTTATAAAGAACATCGATACACGTAGAGAACCTTGTTCTCCTGCACAGTGAGACAGTGCGGCCCTGCAGTTTCAGCCAGCCTGGATCATGCTGAGTGCCTGATGTCTGCTCTTTCAGGTGTCTGGTGGTACAGTTCAAGAGCTGATCACTGCTTTGAGACAGATGGATCACACAGAAGCCATAGAAATAATTCAGGAAGCACTGTCCATCTCACGCAGACCGTCTCCCCTGGAGGACAGCACAGCAAAAGCTCTTCCATTATCATCACCGCTCACCTTTGCAAATGGAGAGACAGGTAAACTGACAGCAAAATATGAAGAGCTTTATTTAAGACTTATTTTCAGTTTCCCCTCCCCAGTCTATCTAGGACTGTGAGGATTGCATGCCTACTTTCACACACTGCTTCACCTGCTTACTGGTTTCAGAAATACTTTGCTGCAGTGTGACCCCTCTCATCATAGAGATCTGCTAGGCATAGGAGAGAGAGGAAAAATTAACCACTTGAATCAGCATGCCTGCATCACAGTATTCATTATACTGCTGCCCTTTGCTAAAACCAGACACCTGCCATTTGCTAATGGTAATGCCTTGGATGTACTGGGAATACAGGCAATTATCTCGTAGGTGTGTGCAAGTGCCATTAGCTTTTGACTTTATTTTTTTTCCTCCCTCACAGCTGGATAAACAAAAATATTTTGGGCTCCTAAACTTCTCAGCAAGACTTCAGTACTAAATTTCTCCTTCCACAATGCGTAGCACTCCAAAGTGGCCCAGTGTTCTGTAGGCAAAGAAACTGGGGATGGCTTAGGTTACACAGGACTCGAGCAGCCCTGCTGGCCAACTACCTGCTCAGAGCAGGGCCTGTGGAACATGACGTGAGGTTGCCCATCTTATGTCCAGTTCAGTTCTGAGCACCTTCAATGACAGAGGTCCTACAGTGGTTTTGGGCAGGGAACTCTACTAAGAGAGGTTGTGAGAAGTTTGTCCGCAGAGCTGTTCAGTCATTGCCTGGCCAGGTTTAGTAACAAAAATGTTTGTTTTTTCCTGTTCAAACACTGGTAGTGCTGCCTGTAGTCAAATGTGGAAACTTACACCCTGTGTAAAAACACTGTAGGTATTTTTGGTAAGAAAAAAGAAACACCACAGTCACTCCATTCCAGTCTAACATTGCCAGTTTATTCTCTATGGAAAACTGTTTGGTCAGTCATGAATAAACCTTCACACCCACCCAAAAATGTGCTTGTACACATATTGCCCCTTTAGATTCATCTTGAAGGGTAAGAGGGGTTCTGCTCTCTCTGCAACATGGAGGGCATCACATAGTTTATTTTAAGATGTTTGTTTAGAAAAACAAGACTGAACTCTTAAGGTGCCACCACTGTTTTAGTCACACTGATCCCACATCGTACCTTCAGATTCAGCTCTTGCAGTCAGGCACTCCTCCTGTGGATCCTGCACAGGTGATAGATGCTACTGATTTGTTCCTATTTCAGGGTCACTTACTTGATGAAAGCTCTTCATATGTTTGTCTCAAAAAGAAATCTTTAAGCTGAAATAACATGAATTCAAAGTTTTAGGAGCTTCATCCTGGTGTTGTACACTTGCACAGAGTGTGACTCTGAGAACCAGAGAACCTTTTGCCCTGCGATCACCACAGCTGGGCAGAGTCCTGACCCACGTGCAGTGACAGCATTAGTGTCAGCAGAGCACCAGGCTTCTCATCCCATCCAAGCTCCAACTGCAAGCTGACCTCTGCCAGCAGTACATCAGATCACATGCTTTGGTGGCCTGGAAACATTCAGCACAGCTTTTCCTATTACAATACCTCATGTTAGACTTATTTTCATATAGAAGATTAGGTTTGTATTCCTTAGGCTTTTCTCAAAGCAGCCTTGCTCAAGGCACACAAATGATGATGTTTCCCTTTTCTCTCTCCCGCAGGTGAGGTCTATAACAGCAGATTCCAAGACCCTGAAAGTACGTGTGACAGTGGTGTGGAGACCTCCTTCCGCAAGCTGAGCTTCACTTACTCAGACTCTCTGAGCAGCAAGTCCTCACTAACACTTGGCAAAATGGCCCTGGGCTATGGACATGAAAGTTCAGGGGAAAGCAATTACATAGCTGACTAGTGATCTTCAATTGGCAATATGCAATTACAGGAACAAATGGGACATTTCAAACTACGTCAGTGTCATCCTGGCCACAGGGAAGGGAACTCATAACCAAAAGTGCACTGGAAGAATCCCACCTGAACCTGAACAAATGGCAACTGCAGCATGTGACTCCTAGCCACTGCTTCCTTCCTCAAGTCCATTTAATTGTATTCATTTTCAAGCCATTTACAACAGCCAGGGCTCCACTGCTGCATTAATACACAGGTCTGGATGCTGTGAAAGACTGACTGAGCTTCCCTGGTCTGTGAGGATTTTCCTTTTACAGAGCAAAAGGAGTTGTTATGCATAATACAAACTTACTGAAGAGGTTAAGCACACAAGCAATCAGAGGATACAGTTTCTAGCTGCTCTCTTCATAATTTTTGCAGCACAGTTGCATGCAAACAGCTTATAAAATAGCTGGCAAAGAAAAATCATTACTTTAATCACAACAGTGACAACTTGGCAAAAAAAGAGAATCCTGAAAGAATCTTGTATATTTCAAATAATGTATTTAAACTTAACTTTGGTGCCTCTTATTCAGAAATTTTTCAAGTTTGACATTTTCCTACTTGTAAATAGTTTTTTTATATCTGTTCCTTTTTGAAAAAGCGTGCTTTTTAAATGCTTATTTTTATTTTACTTTTATAATAAAAGCCCCAAAATTAACGCTCCTGTTTGTGCCTGCTGTGATTTTTACATTACTTTTCAAGAAGTGGTATTGAAGATTTAGCATCTCCATTTTAGGCATTGATACAAGATCATGCTGATTTCCAAGCACTAAAATGAAAGGTTGCAAGCCACCTGTCTTAAAGCTGAAGTGTCTTTCAGGGAGGGACAGGACCATCAGCTCCTGCTGAGCAGCTGTGCTTTGGGATTAAAGCCTCTTCCTTATTTTAGTTCTCATCATTATGGCAGCAGAGAATCATTTACACTGAAACCCACTATTTAGTGTCTCAGCAAATTTCTGATGAGACAGCTCTCCTTTGGGCTGTCTAGAATCTGCTGTAGTAACTGTGCTCATGAACAGTGTTTCTTCTTGTCTGACATCAATTCTGAAATGGTGAGTGTCCTGTTATTGATGTTGGCCCAACTAAACAGAACAGGCCTCAGAGTTCATGATAAAAATCCAAGAGGGTAATTGTACCATTGTCACTTACTTCTAGTCAACTATTGTGGCACAAAGATGGAGCATTGAGAGGGTGGTTCTTGGCTCAGCTCAGTCTTCAGTAACCTGGGTGTCACTCCTGAGAAAATGAATCAAAATAAACCTTGAAAAGGTTATGTTTAGAGTGGTAGTTGCTGTAATGAATTAAACTATGAGTAATGAAAAAAACTTGTGAATTAATTTTATAATCCAGCTGAATTACTGAGAATGTTAATTACTTCCAGGGAAGAGTAGCAGAAGTGCCATTCTTTCTTTCAGTTCTTGTATGTATAATCATCTAGGCAGTGTCTAAGACATATAGATTTTTGTTGAATTAATGTACTCCTCCAGTGTTGTCTTTGTATTCCAGCTCTAATAGAAACAGACAATGGGTCTCATATTCCAGGAGTGGAGGGGCTCTTTGAGCTCCAGGAGAGCTGCTGTTCAAGTTAAACACACCTTCTGCTTTCAGAGAATTTTCAGCACAGCTCAGGGGGCGGGCAGAGATTTTTACTGAGGTTTCTGCAATCCCGCAGGTCACCAGGGCACCCTGGCTGTTATGCACACCTTTTAGCTTTAGTTCTGACCAGCTCTGCTTTTAAATCACCAGGAGACACCTGGATCTGTATTTCCTTAAAGCAGTTTGTGACCAGATTTTGCATAATAGCTGTTTATCAGGTTAGTGATCATGCACAGCAGGTCCCATAGGCCCTCGGCAGTGCTTTAAATGGCAGTCTGTCAGTTTCTCAGTTTCAGTGTATTTCATTAAAAAGGCTTTAATATTTTTTTTTTCCCCTCTGTTTAGAGATAGAAAAACACTACTGCGTGTGTCATCCTACACCTGGTTTGTAAAGAGAAACCTCCAAACTTAATCTGTATGAGCAGTGGAATAGAGCTTGCTCTGTTATTCTGCTACTCCGCTGCAGTAATAAACATCAGAAACTTGTGGAAAGCAGCAAAAGTTGTGACAACAGATCTCTTCAGATGTTCTCTACATTTGATATAAAATAAATGCCCTTGATTTTAGATTGGCTGCTACAGCTGTACGTTTCCTGGCATCATCTTGGCACGTATGTACAAACTTTGAAAGCACTGGAAGTTCTAGGCAGCATTCTGAGATTCTGTGGACTGCGGGAAGGATAAGGATCTTACCTACATGCAGTGGTGTAAGAACTGTTTTTTCTCCCTTGCCTGCAAAGTAAAACGCTTCTTTCATGCATTTAAGAAAAGAGAGCCACTCTCCTTGCTTCCCCCAAGCAAAGTGACAGGAATGGTGGTGCCCATTTGCTAGCTCATGGTGCAGTGGTCAATACTCACCCACCATCCACAGCTTCTGGCGTTTCTGGATGATCATGTCTGGATGAAATAAAGCAGTTCTAGAGTAATGGCCAATGGTGCTGTCCAAACTTTTGCTGGATTCAAAAGATTCCTACAGCAAAAGACAACACAAGTTAATCACCAAGTTCATTTCCTCCTTTCAGCATTATGAAGCAGCCTGACGTCCCACTTAGAGCCAGACTGGAGTATGTTTTTCCAAGGCTGCAGAGGTTTCCCATGGCCTCACTTAAACCAAACTACTATAGAATTTTTTTAGCCATCCAGTCACCCTTGCCATATGCACAATGTCTGCAGAAGAGCACTAGCTCAGGTATTATAGGTCTCTACTGACTGACTACTTCTTACAGATACGGCCTTTTTTCATTTAAGTTTTGGTTTTCCACACTAACTGAATGAATTTGGGGCTTTTGTTTTGCTACCTTGTAACACCTGATGGGAAAGCAAGGTTATGTAAACACAAGTCTTGGATTGAAACCTGTCTTAATGTCAAACCAGGAGTTCCTGGTACCCTAAGTAGGTAAGAAAGAAAACAGTGATTCTGACAATAAAAAGGCTGCCTTGTAAGTTTCAAGCCCCAGCTCTCCTGTACTGAAAATAAGAAACTCACTGGCCCATTTCTCTGCTCCTGACACTAGTTCAAGTCACTGAAATGGTCTCTGCTACACATCTCCAAAACCAAAAGGGAACTAGCAGAAGTAAAAGTACTGCAGAAAGATGTGCCTTTAAGGCAGAACATTTGTCCAGAACACAAGGTATGCGAACAGCAGGTTAACAAGAAAGACTAACAGAGAACTATCAACACTTCCTTAGAGAGTAATTTTTAGATACATTTGCATGCTTCTTTCCTGGAGAAAATGCAGAACTTGAAAAAGCTTCCAAGGACATGCGCCAGTAAACTGGAGCAAAATAAATCTTCCTTGTGTGGCAGAAAGTACAAACAGGTGCCCTCCAAAGCTCAAAATGTGCAAGCCCAGAATGTGTTCACAGCTAAATCCCAGCCAGAGAATGGTTTTAGGACAACAGATTGGCCAACACCATACAGTGTTCTCCCAAACCTGCTCTCAAGTTCTGTTCTAGAAGGCCATTTGTCATGGCTGCGGGGCACTCTGGCTGCTGCTTTTGCCATAAGGGGAGAATAGCCAGCCCAGAGGGGCCCAGGAGCAAAGGCCATGAGCACAGGAGAATCCACTGGTCCTTAACAAGACATTGCAAGGCAGCACCCTGAAAGAACACTGACAGGGCCAGTCCCCTCTACTGCTGCCACCAGTAATGTGATGACACTGAGGACAAGCACCACACCTACCAAATGCTCTCCTAAGGCTCCTGCTGCCAAACCCCGTCAGAACTGGCAACACAGGCGTGCTGCAGCTGTAACAACACTCAGCAGGCAAGATGGATGTGTGGGTAGGAGAGCAGGGTACCTCCCCACCTCGGACCAGATCTGAGACAAAGGCAGAACAATGTAACCAGTACAGCACAGGATGCCACTGTCAAAGTACCAATGGTTAACCTAAGCACACCTTCCAGCCACTGCATGGTGAGAGAACAGCTTCTATAAATATACACCTACGACAACACCAGGAAACCAAAATAACATATTAAAGATATTGAAACAATAATGGAAGTCAACCTTCCTCTTTAAATTCTGTTTTGAGTTCAAGCATTGACTTAAGCAACTGGTAATCTTTCATAATGGCACCTAGTGCTGAATTAAAGATTTTCAGAGAGAAAGAAGGGACCTACTCCTTAGGGAGCTCCTGGTCTTCAAAAACAGCAATAATTTTAAAAATTGCTCAAACCTTGCTTTGTTGATCTGGTAACTGCAGAAAGCAACAGAGAAAAAAATAATAGAATACGGTTCTGTGTAACTGTGCTGGTAGACTTTATTTGCATAGCCACTTCATTAATCATGTACCACGTCATTTCTTTCAAGATTTTGCTTAAAAATTGTGCGAGGCTAGACAAGGTCACAGTTATCAAAATTAATGAATGGGTTTTGCTTCTAGCAATCCAAAAATTTTTCTACATATCTCAAACTTCACTCATATGCTGAGACGAACAAATATCACTGACCTCCAGATAGGGCTCTTGATTGTCTCTAAACAAGTGATTCCTCCAAAGTTTTGTTTATTTAACACTGTTAAGTGCCATTTTGAAATTCTATCTAGGTGTTGCTGGAAGAGACATTTCTCCATCAGTGTAAAAGAAAGACATCAACAGACTTGCCCTCTTCCTAATACACTGCAGCAGTACATATTAATCATATTTTCTCCACATTTTTTTCTTTCTTACCTTTACTGATGCTTTGATTCCACCTTGATTCCAGGACACCAAAAAAACTGAAGGATTTTTCTGGTATTGTTGGGCCATGATGCCTCTCAGAATAACTTTTTTTTTTCCTTTGTCAACGCCTGCATTTGTTAAGTTTTACTCATGACTGTCACTTTCCCTATCTATTTTACAAAATCTATTAACACTGGCACATACATACACATCCATATTTTGATTGTTTTCGTGTCTTCTTTTAACTAGGACTTGTTGTGAACCAGATGCAACTGCAGTTAGTTGTTTTGGTGACCCAATAAGCATTTGTAAGAAACTCTTATTTATCATTTCCCTTTCATCTCTAAGTTCTTCCTCTCGCTCAGGAGTACGTCAGTTTTGGTTTGGGTCACCAAACCAAAGTATCAACATGCTCATTAAAACTGTGATCACAGCTGAAATGGAGTCGGAATTGTCCCATGGAACACACAGCTGCTCCCCCACAGCACCAGTGAGTAATGCCCACGCGCTGCTTTTAGCACAGCGACGCACATCAGTGGCAGAGGTCGTTCAAACTCCACCTGCTGTGATGCTGATTCTGCTTTGCAAGAAAAGTAATATTTGCTTGGGTGGACAGAGGATCCTTGTGGAACCCCAGCAAGATCCCAGCTGCATTTCAAACCACGGCTGACAGACAAGCCAAATGTTTAGCAACCTGCCCATGGAGTGGCTCAGTGGCCTACTGGAGCCAGTCCCAGCTTCACTCCCTCTCCTTTCTCCCTTGCCCCCAGCATACCTGGCTGTTATCCTAAACTGAATTTCCACTTACAGAATAGTGAAACTAGAAAAAAATATGGATGTGTTTTCAATATACCACATATATTATATGTAAGCTTTGCTGTTGTATCTTTACATTGAACCAGCAGTTAAAATTCACAAGACAGGAAGAGACAGTATGTTCTTCAGACAGCTCAAAGTGCATGTCACTTCAGCTTCAATCAAATTCTTCTAATTTGTTTTTCTCCTCCTGTTTCACTCTTTATCTAGAAGGAAATGAAGTATTCTCAGACAACGTCCAGTAGAGAGGTCAAGACTAGTGAACTTTCTAGTTCTGCAACACTGGTAGGTTCCCAAGGATAAAACACAACCATTTTCTTCTTTTCAGTCATGAGGAAACCATTATCACTAAATCTGCCTTTTATACTCCCTACATCCAGAGTAACAAAAGGAGCAATTGCAGTGGTCTGAAGAACAAATATATAAACATCGTCTTGTTGGGACACAGAGGCCTGAAAGAGAAATAAAAAAAAATGTATTATTGAAAAAATACATGTTAAAGAAGACCCCAGTCACACCCAAAATGGGAAAGACTTGCATATCATTAAAACAGGCTAAAAACCACATTTGATCAAAAGTAGTATTCTTCATATCTAAGAATCATGTAAAAACTACAAATGTTACTAGAGCCTTCCTACAGAATACAATAGATTATGGAAAAATGCCAAGAAGCATTATCACTTTGCCATCTTCTTATGAGAATAACTGAATAAATGGTAATCTGAATTCTACATAGTACTGTAGTACTGCAGTGAAAGAGATTTGTCCTTTCACCAACATTTCACTCAACTTATCAAATCACATCTACTAAGAGAGCTTGCCTTTAAATTATATACATAATAGAAATACACAGAAGCAAAAGATGGTAAAAATCCCAGTAAGACAGAAGGACATCTCATCTTAATGTATCATGGCAGTGAAGCCCTTATACTTAATTTAGTTATATATAAAAAAACAGTTGTAAAATGTAAGGTCAAGGTATAATGTTTTGCATTAAGTTCTATCAGTACTTAAATCTCAAAGAGACTAAATCCCAGCCAGGATGCATTTTCATGCAGCAGTCCCCGTTCACCATGAAGAAAGATTATTCTACATAACTTTTAAATACCAGTTAACCATACATAAACCATATAACCAGTTAACCTCTACAAAAGAGGACAAATTACAGTCAGTGCAGACATCATGTTCCAGTTACAAGAAAAGCAATGCTATTCATTTTTGAGAAAAAGCACACATCCTCTACACATTCTGTTTCCTGAAGAAATATGCTTTTGATGCTTTTTAACAGCAATTCTAGGAACTGTAGCTCTTGGATTAGCAATGTATTTGAAAGTCTAGTTAGCTTATTAGTAACTAAGTACAGATGCACCAGCCTCTTGCAACACAATGATTTTTTTAATCACAGCTGCATTTCTTAAAATGACTACTGTGCATTTATTCTTGCTAGCTACCCTTATTAGTTAATATTGCAAAGACAACAATGTTACAAGATACAGAAATGAAATTTTCAGAAATGCTCCAGTTGCAGAGCTCTTCTTATTGATGATATCATCCAAAAAAACCAAACAAAACAAACAAAAAATCTCCCCACAGCATGACTCAGACTGCAGATTGTACCATCAGATGAAAAAAAAAATTAAAACAGGCTGATTTCTTTTCTTTGTATACTCAGGAGGCAGGCTGTGCTGCCGTGAAAGAGATAAGAAGAGAAAATCTGGCCCATTTTCTTTTTGTAAAGCAATTATGCTGGTCCAGATTCAAAGAGATTAGGCCTCTATTCCCCCCTTGTACAGTTTAGCACTAAAGAGCAAAGCTGCAGTTTGAAAGCCAAATGTGAGAACACAAAGGTCCCCATCCTGCCCATCTGATGATTAGGAATTTTCCAATAAGATGCACAGGCTAAGAAGTGAGGTTTAATAAAGCGTGTGTGCACACACACACACAGTGCATGCAAGCTCTCTGTATACACAGCAAGCTTGCTAGGAGCAGAAGAAATCTAGGAAAAAGCAGCAAACTGACTAAATGACAGTGCTATACAACATTAATGGGGTTTTTTGCCTGTTTAGGAGACTGACACACTTGTCAGCTATTAAGAAATAATCACTACTATGCAAATCAGAACCCTTACTGGAGGGCAGGGATTTGAAGGAGGAAAGGAGCATGCAATACTCTGTGTTAGCAATGTTACACTGATCTGAGAGCGTGAGCACTTCCAGAGGAAATACTGCTGACAATAATGCACTCCACACTCAACTGAACTAGGATCACCTAATCCTGACATACAGCGCTGTCTGCAAGCCAGAACACTTGTCACTATGATATTGGCTGTCTAGGGACAGAAAGAAAGAAAGGAGCGGTGCTATAAGGTGGAAGACAATCTAAACAAATGAAAGAGAGATTCCATTCTTGAAAACAAAACAAAGCCCAGACAAAAACCCACAAACAAATAAACAAACCTCAGCAGTCTTACTTGGATACACATATAGTGACACCAGGAAAAAAAATCTGATTTTGAACTCAACCTGGAAGCCAGAGTAGTAACAACCAAGGAGAAAGAACATTCAGTGGAATGAGACAGTGCACAGCCAGCAAACAACCCAAACCAGTGGGATTAGCAAAACCAAATACAGCAATCTAGCATGATTGATGCTTACACTAAGCTGGGTCTTCTCTAATCCCACGGCATCCTTGAGTGATGAAAGGAAGTAATGGTTTGTAGGACTCTGGAGCCCATCTTCTCCCATGAGACAGAAAGTAATGACACAGCTTTTCCTGGTACAACATCTGCATCTTTCCAGAAGGTCACTGATGGACTCCTTGTAGATGGGGACAGCACTCTGTGCTTTCACAGTCACACCTTCTTTGGCAAGGCTGCACACGGGTTCCAAAGAGCTCCAGGCGTGCACTACGACCTATCAAGCACATTGAGAGAGCACAAAGCTTAGAAGAAAGGCTACATCTCTGAAAACAATGCAGCAGCCTAGATTTCAGATTGCTCATTACAACAGATGCTTTTCTGACAGCACCACCTGATTTCCACCTAGCAAGAAACTACACAATAGATATAGCTACATCATTCTAAAAACCTAACAAGAGGTCAATTTCAAACAGTCCAGAGCTGCTCTTGATCTGAAAGACTTTTTTGTTTTCTCCAGGCTCCTTGAAAGGAAGAGATTGCCAATTCCTGCCAAGTGAGTGTTGGGAGATGGAATTATTGAGTGACTAATTTATTGACTCCTCTTCCTCCCTTCCTGGATTTCAGAAAAACTCTAACTGAGGATTTTTTTGAGATTGCTCAGCATTATCTGATGTAACCCAACTGGGTATGCTAGAGTTTCTGCATAGTCATCCTTAAACAGCAGCAAGCCCCATCATCTTAAAAGGGATTGTGAAGGTTACATTAATACAGCAAAATACATTCCCAGACATCTTCCATGCATTATGAATATACCCTTTTTAAAAGGGCATAATTTGGAAATTAAGCACTTAATGAAAATTACAACATTCTATTTCATACATTTTCAGTTATTTTTGCCTTAACAGGAGTGTGCAGTCAGGAATAGATCTTAACTCCTTTCAAGAGTTAAATTCCAAATCTTGTTGAAGTGCAATATACAGTATTCGTCAGAACTATTCTACTGCCAACACTTCTCTGATGCTATCAGAAAATCTGAATGTATGTCTGTTAGAACAACTCAGACCAGAAATGAACAATTTCATTAAGTGCAGTCCTATTCCAAGAACTGACTATCCAGAAACTGCAACCATTTTCTGTAGCATATATTACTCCATATAAGCAACCTCATAAATCTGAAAATTCATGGAAGCCCACCAGACACAGCAATGATCTTGGAGCTGACATACTCATACTACTAGTGAATTATTCCAGGTCTCGAGGTCTGTTTCCCCATCCTTCACACTGTCTTCACATGGGACACACTTGATGTCAGGAGCTATATCTCATAGTGGAAAACGGTCCCTAAATTCATCTGGGGTCTGGCTGCCATATGATTAATAGCAACAAAATGTAACAAACTGAAAAGGAAGACTGTTTACAAAGAAACACAGCAGTCCAAATACTGACTCAAAAATCCTATCAGTTTCTATAGCATTACCAGAAAACAGTTAAGGCATCAATTGCAAAGTGGTGACATGCACAGGTGACCTTCCAATTAAAGATGTGCTGTCCATATTTCAGAAGATAATCCAGTCCTTTTTCCCAAAGCTGTATAGTTTGAGTACTGGTAAGCAATGGCACAATCCCTTTTCTCCCCCCTACTTAATCAGGTTATCTAGTTCTAACACCCAGGGAAGAGTTTTGTTAAGCAGTGAGGTACCATTTTTCACACTTTGTTGAATTTAACCATCAATCCCCTAAGATTTCAACAGAATAGTTCATTTCAGCCTTATACCTACAGGCTACAAACAAAGCAATTCCTTCTTCTGTGAAGTACTACACACTACTTTAATAAATAATGGTGTTGCCCCTAAGAATAAACACTAAGAGTTGCATCTCATGGTGTTTGAGCATGGCCTTACTGAAGCTTGTCTGTGCAAAGATGTGCTCATTTCAGCTTCTCACATTTTTGTAGGAGGCACTCAAGAGTGGTGAGGTAGGTGTCACTTACCCTTAAAGTTAGCTTGTGGTCCTCATGAAGGTCTGAGACACCATAGATGTGCAACACCCCTTTGTCTTCATAGGCCACAGGCAGCAGTGGTGCAAAGAAGTTCTGGGCAAAATAATGGAGCAGTTTCCACTTACCACCATACTCTAAAAATGGTTAAAAAGAAGCAACACTGAAACTGAATCCAAGATTGCCTTGTCACACATTCCCTGCATGTGCTTTCTGGTCCTGCTGTTGGCAATGCAACATCCCCCTCCACCCTTTTTCATCTCTATCAAGTGCAAAGAATGACTGAAGGTATTCTTGCTTCCTTCCAGGCAAGGCTCTGCCCTGGAAAAGAGCTGATGCTCTTTCAAGCTCTGAGCTTTCCTGAAAGTTTACACTTTTCTCTCTCTGTCCTATCACTGCTACACTGTCATTCAGTTAAAGGAAGCCTTGAACACAAGTGACAAGGCTGACACAGCATACCACACATAAACCAAGCAGCTGGAGCATCTGTGCTGTTGAGAATCCAGACAAAAACACTGGCATTGCCTAGGACTATCACTACTATAAAAAGAAACAAGGCACTTAGACAAAGTGCTCTCTTCCCCTTTTTCAGTCTTCCTTTCAGCTCTTCCTTAGAGGACATCAGTAACAATAAAGACAAAAATAAGTTCCCAAACCAAAGACAACTGTGAGCTTGGCAAAACAAATTTGCCAAGATCTAGAGACAACACCTCCTCCTTGGGAGTTAGTATTCATGACAGGCACACGGCAAACAGTTCACACCGTTTCTTTAATGGAAAGCTGTACCTCATTACTTTTAATACTTTGAAAGTCTGCCATCAAACTGGAAAAGCCATCAAACTCTGCATCCTCTCCAAAAAAAGCACTTTTGCTTTCTTGCTTTGCAACACTGCCACATAACCATTTTGAAAGACAAGATGCATCCATTTCTTCCTCTATTAACATTCCATCTAGCACCTACTATGTGCATTTTAACTTTGTCCTTGCTCAACCATTATCCAGTCACTGAAATGGCACTGAAAAGAAGTAGCAAGTCAGCTGCACCATCTCACAAGGAAAGAAAAGTTAGATACTGGTTTCATTCTTGTTCCTGGTTATTTTATACTACAAGTTTAAAGCTGATGTATGCTTGATGATGTATGAAGAATATTTTCATTGAGATGTTTTTGTTGTAACTCTTAGCAATTACTCTCTTAGTTTTGGTTCTGGTACAAAGCTCTTAGCACTTTCAAACATCTCATAATTAAAGACCTATCCAGAGTCATCTTTAAAGGGCTGTTGTGGGTTTCCCAGGGGGACTTGAACATGCTTTGTCTGCACTCCACACAGACATGAATGAACCTTGTGAAGAATAAGTGCATTAGTTCAATTTCAGCATCTTACACATCATCTTGTTCTCAGCAAGTTCACAACCAGCTAGCTTGGAGGGCAACAAGAGAAGCTCATATCTGCCTGGAAAATCCACACAAGATTGAACTGTGCTATGAGATCAGTCTGTTGCCAGCAAAAACACCACTGGCCTTCACGTTAATTGCACTGAAGCAAAGCAAAGAGATAAGGCTGGAGGAAAGCTTCAGGAGAGGTAGCTGCATTTCTTCAAAACAGACAGTCGATGAACTGATGAATATACTCAATACATTGGTGCTTCTCAGTATAGAACTGTAGAACCATTTATTATGGAAAAGATCTCCAGGATCAAATTCAGCTGTTCACCCACCAAGTGCACCATTAAACCACGTCCCTAGGTTCCCATGCCATATCTGTACATCTTGTAAATACCTCTAGGGATGGTGATTCCACCACTACCCTGGGCAGCCTGCTCCAATGTTTGACAACACCTTCAGTGAAGAATTTTTCCCTAAGATCCAATTTAAACCTGCACTGGCACAACTTAATGGCATTTCCCCTTATCCTGTCACTTGTTAACGGAGAAAAGGGGCTGACCCCCACCGTGCTATGATCCCCATTCAGGTAGCTGGAGAGATCAAAAAGGGGTGCAAGGGGGTGTGTGTGTTTGTGTGTCCCAGCCTCCTTTCCTCCATGCTCCCTCAGCTGCTTTCCACAAGCCTTGTGCTCCAGACCCTTCCCCTGCTCCACTGCCCTTCTCTGGACATGCTCCAGCACCTCCATGTCATTCTTGCAGTGAGTGGCTCAGAACTGAACGCAGAATTTGAGGTGCAGCCTCAACAGTGCTGAGTACAGGGGGACAAATCCCATCCCTACTCTTTCTGGCCACAGACACAAGCCAGGATGTCCTTGGCCTTCCCAGCCAACTGAGCTGGTTCACGTTCAGCTGCTCTCAACCTGCACCCCAGGTCCTTTTCCACCAGGCAGCTTCCCAGCCACTCTGGCCCAGCCTGTGGCACTGCCTGGGGCTGCTGTGACCCAAGGCAGGACTCAGCACTTGGCCCTGTTGAACCTCATAAAACTGGCCTCAGCCCATTGATCCAGCCTGTCCAGATCTTTCTGCAGAGCCTTCCTGCCACTTCCACCCAACTCTGTGTTGATTGCAAACTGGCTGAGGGAGCATTTGAATCCGTTGTTCAGATTATTGATATTAAGCAGAGCTGGCCCCAGTACTGAGCCCTGGGAAACCCCAGTCAGCTGGATGTGAATCCATTCACCACCACACTTGGCCTGGCCCTCCAGCCAGTTTGTTTTCATGGTGAACAGTGCACCCATACAAATCATGAGCAGCCAGTTTCTCCAGGAGAATGTTCTGGGAAATGACATTAAGGCTTTGCTAAAGTCTAGACAGACAACACCACAGCCCCTCCTCATCCACCAACTGCATCAGCTTGTCACAGAAGGAGATCAGGTTGGTCAAGTAGGACCTGCCTTTCAAAAACCCGTGCTGGCTGGGTCTGATCCCCTGGTGATATGAACAAAGGCATGTTCTGGCACTCCAAGGACACTACCTGACAGAAAACATTGGTGGTTTAAAGAACAAATCTGCCAAAAATAGGGGGTGCTAAAAAATTACTCTTCAGTCACTAAACTTGAGAAGATGGGAGACTTGGACTGGGGATGGATTATCTGAAACCGAGTAAACAGGAGAGCAGTATCTGATCCAAAAAACAGAAGTTATGGGCTTTGTATGAGAAATGGGCAGGGAGAGTCTGGGAGGGCTTGAAATCTCTAAAGCCCTCAGGACTGCTACAGGACTTCCTGGAATTTCCATTGTCAATTAATTAAATTGCCAATGCAATAGACGTTGCTAACTGCAGAATCCAGGCAAAGCACACCACAAGCTCAGACAAGTTATCCAGCATAGTCTGAGGTTTCAGTGCCTGTTGACTTGAATTTTTTCCTGAGTTTAATTCACATAATGAAAATCTAGGCTTCAGCTGTCTTATGTATGGAAATGAATAATGCAATTAATGTAGAGCAGTTTCTGCTTCTTAGTGTAATATAAAATCCTGGTTCTTTTTGAATGGGTCCTTCTCTCAATCTCTGCTGTGCCTTGATTTCCAACTGGATTACATAGCCACACTGCAGAGGGAAAGTGAGGCAGCAGGGATCCTCAAAAAACCTTTCCAGCAAAGGTGACACTCATGTTCACTCAGAGTGAACATGGCACTAAACTTCCACAGGAAAACCCAAGCAAACAAAAACCCCAGCCAACAAACAAAATCAAACAAACCACACACTTGAAAGTTTGCACCATTTCAAAACCCACTCTACTACTAAGATACCCATTTGTTTTGGAATGTTTGAAACATCATTAGTCTGCTCAACTCAGATGAGCTTTTAAGACTGGTATTTCCTTTCCCAAAAAAACTAGAGCCATTTTAAAGAACCAAACCTCAACTGCTGCAGCAGTTTCACACAGGAAGTGTTTTCCAAAGACAACTTTTCCAGCAACAGGATCTTAATAATAAATTTGTCAAAGTAACTCCAGACAACAAGGAAAACTGAAACTAATTAAAAAGCCCATATTTTTCAGCTCTTCTGTTGTTAGGACCAGAACTACATTCCTTTCTTTAAAAACAGGCAGGTTTTTAAATACACCATGAACACAAACCCAAAAATGTATATAAAAAATCTGGAGGTCAGGAAGTTATCATGAGAAACCTCTGGGTTTAAACTTTGCTGTTTCGGACATGCATGCCCAAAGGCAACAGTCAAAAGTTATTTAAAATAGCCCTGGGGTGGTTTTCTCCTCCTCCAACATTTAAAGAAGTTCTTACAGAAATCAAAGTTCCTCAATTTTTCTTGACACTAACAAGGGAATTGCACTCTCTGTGGTATTAAACTTCAGAACAGGAAACTAGAATTAGGTGTGTAATGAAATCCAATACCCTTTTTTCTGACTCTTCCCTGAAGGCTTCTACACTGATGGCAGGAGTGCAAATAAACAGATCTCCCTGAAATGATTTTAAATTAATCACTTCACACCATTAAATACAACCGAGAAACATGCTGCTAGTTCTTTCCTCACCTCAGCCTCATGAATTCAGATCAATCATTCTCCATAACAGCCTGTACTAGGGCTCGCCAGGGGCTCTATATATTGAACCTGCAATAAAAGCCAAGGGAATCTCAAGACTACGAGTTGGGTACCTCAAGCTGACACTTGTCTGGGAGTGTCACAGTGCTCCACCAAAACATACTGCAGAGATGCTAAAGCACCCAACACGGCACAGGCAGCTTCACAGCTGGGCGCTAACAGTCAGAACCCAGTTGTGGTAAAAGCTGTTTACTTCTGAGCTGAAGCCAGAAGTACTATGACACAAGTGCTGCGCTGTGTTTCCATTCAGCCCAAGCAAACATCTTAAAGGTAAAAGTTAAAAGGAGAAACATTTGCTACCTTCTTCCTTCCCCACCATGTGCAAACATCTCTGCTTTGAACCGGAAATTATGTAAACCCCTCCATGACTTTCTGCAAAGTAACAGATTTCAATAAAAGCACTCATTGGTGATACTACTGTGCCACCTAACAAGATGCAGAAACGTGTTTTTGAAGTGCAAATAAAACTCATTTCTCACAAGTCTTGCATAATTTCAGCCATTAGCATTTCAAAATCCCTCTACCACACTGCCTAATTAAATGAATATTAAACCTTTCCTCATCTCACTGAGGGAATACAACAAAACAAAGGGACAGCTGTATCTCTGCTGAGCTTCTTTCTTCTAAACTTCAACAACATATGAATAATTCAAGTATTTGATAAATATTCTACAGTGATGTCATCTCTGTACTCAAAAAGACATTTATGGTCTCCATGACCATTACATCTATCAATACACCTGTCTTTACAAAGGGACACTTTTCCAAGCAACTTTTGCTCTTGAGGCACTTAAAACCTATGAGCACCACTCATTGCTAGAATCATAAAAGTGAACATTGTAATATTCCATTTCCTAATACAAGTCTAGAAAGTCCAGAAAGATAAGCATCATAGCTGGACCGCTGTCTTATCATTTAAATAAATTAGCCTCTTTCTTCTACTGGTTTTTGCTTTGTTGTTGCAGTTATTTTGTTTGCATTAATTAAAAAAACAAAACAAAACAAACAAAACAAAACAACAACAAAAAACCAAAAATAACCCAGAAAGGGAGAGGGACAAACATCTCCCAGAAAAAGAGGAGGAGGATGGGCGTGGGCTAATTTTTTCCCAAAATCAGGCCAAATGGCATTTTATTCCAAGGGCACATCAAGACTGTTCATAGACAGTCTTACTTTTTCTCTTAGCTTTTTCTAGTTTGTTCATATTTTTTCACACATAAAATGCTTAAATAAAGATTTTCAAAACCAAAATATGTGAGAATTAACTAAAATTGAAAGAGAATCTACCCAAGTCCTACACAGCTGCCATAGGACAGCTTCGCCATTTCAAAATGACTCCTAGACAAAATGTTTGGGACATGAAACACAGCCACTTCCCTCATGCCACACATGCCTCATTCCTCCCCTACTTCTTACTGTCTAAGTGACTTATCTCTTTATATGTCTCTTTATATTGTCTGTCTGGTTTTGTGTTCTAAAAGAAAAAAAAAAGTGTAAATAGCATATTAGCAGAATAATTTAGTCATTCGCCTCATCTGACACCAAGTTAGACATCAAATCTCAGCCAGTCATCTCCTATAAAAAGTTCCTCAGAAGCTACGCTGGGTGAGAGATATCTTATGAAGTTCTATGAAAATCAAATTCATCATGGAGAAGATAATTCACCCCAGTTCTGAGACAGCTAAGGACACACAGCTAATGAATCACATTTGGAGATAACCATCTCCCCCCCAGCTGACTAGAGAAGAAATCTAGATGTTCAAATTTTACATCATAAATCCCATCCTGTAACGCATTTCTAAAGGATGGACAGAAATATGTTCAAAGTTTGTAAAGGTACCCAAGAGACAGAGCAGAGCTATATTTCTTAATCTGATACTTCCAGATGAGGAAAACACAACTGGTAGCTGGTGCTTTTTACTAGACTGTCACAAACTTACCCAAGGAAGCCCATGAAGGTGCCTGCCAAATGTCATTGAGCTGCCAGTACAGAGCTCCCATGGTGTGTCCTTCTCCATTGATTATTTCACTTTGACTAAAACGATAGAATTCAGTTTCTGTCTTTATACACTGAGCCTGCATCACCTTGGTCAACAAAGAGACAAAAAATATTTTTGGCATATTGGATTTTACTTTTTTTTCAAAACTTGTGTGAATATATTGATACACGACACAGACTTTACAGCAACAGCACATAACTTTAAATTTGAGCCCTGTGGAGTATCCACCTGCAGTGCAGTGGAACTCTGCTGAAAGGAGATCTATTCCTAGCAGCTCCCAACAGCTTTGCAAGCAGTACCCATCAAGAATTTCATATGGGGCTACTTCCATACAGTGAGGATGGTCTTTGAAAGGGAAATCAAAGACAAGGAAAATAAAATGAAATTTAAAATAAGGTTTTTTTTACATTAATTTAAATAACCCCCTTCAGAGTTGCAAAATTATGTAAAGCTGCATTGCCTTCAATATACATTACTTTAGAGTCTAAACCCCTAAACTCTGAACTCACGTTCTCACTACAGTCAAAACTGTGCATCAGAAAAGTAACCTTTTTTCAGCTGCACTCCCACTCCTTTTCTCCTTCTCCATGGCATCTAAAAACCACTTTTCAGAATTTTTCATTGGCCAAGTTCTCAATGGATGCTAAATAGACTGCTATATTTTCTTCACACAGTTTATTATTAGGCTGGGGAAATATACAGAAATTCTTAAAATAAAGTTAAAAGCCTTTAGGACAGCCCAAAAGGTAAAGATATTACTTCTGGTTAAACACTAAAACAAGTTCGCTTTCTTGATCCTTTTTGCTATCCTTATTTTGGTATTAAATTGCTTAACCTGTTAATAAGGCCTTGACAGACTTAGCTTTACAGACACTCTCCCAGCTTTTTTTGAGTCAGGACCTCATGGTGAAAGCTTTACCCCTGAATTCAATTTCACAGCATCATTGATCCCTGTTCTCTTGTCAAGAGTGCCAAAAATTCTCAAGCAATTTTGCTTGCATATAAAACTTGCTGACAGCAGCTCTCAAACATTAGAAACTTAGTGAGCATGCAGTTACTTCCATCAATAGTGTTTCTGAAATTCTTGAAACACACCAAAAATTAACAGCACTTTCAATTTGCATAATAGCATTAGAAAGTTACTTAGCATCTTTTAAAAACTGCACAGAAATCACAAATAAAGAAACAAGCATGATGTAGAACTACTATGAATGAAAAGCAAAATACATGCTTCTGATTTGAAAAAAACCCCAAAAATATATTCTCTAAAGTATCAATATTTGAGTCCATAATAAAATAAAAGCTACTACTAATCTAATTAATAGAGAACTTTGAAAAAAATTTTGCTTCCAAAGCTCATGTGCTCCACGTGGCAAGAACCAAAGCAGTGAGCCTACAGGGGCCACATGAAGAGCAAAACATCCCCACCCTGGAACAGGGAGCAACATGCAGCACTGGGAATAATTCTTGTACCATGGAAGCCCAGCACATCCCTGCCTCCTTCCCCAGCTATGTGAGCCCAGCTCAGGAGAAGGACCAAGGCAGCACATACTGGCAGACTTTCTCCCAGTTGAGACAGTTTCTGGGCAACTCCCTGATTATTCCAGAAATTTGGGAGTCTCTCTACACTAAAGGAGAGACAAGCTAGCTCCAAACTAAACTGGACTCTCCAGTTCTTCAGAATGGAAACTTTCTGTGTGATGGAACACTCCCTAAGGGACCAGGTCCAGTTCTAACAGCTGACAGAATTTAATGGAACAAGTACTGACAGCTACTTCTATGGAAGACATCCCTGTTACCTGAGTGAGGTAAATCATATCCTTGAACTGCTTTACAGGATCTGGGCTCTGGGGAAGCTTGAAATGACGCCCAATCTCTTGAAGCATCTGAATATTGCCACCTTCATGGTGCTGCCGATGGAGAGAAAAATTGCTTGTGTAGGACCAGTCCTCAGGGGAGGAAACCTTTAAAAACCACAAAAAAAGGTATCTGAATGAAAAGGTAGAAGGTACAATGACAGCCAGGATACTGAGGAAAGGATATCCATTACAGCTACTGATATCATCCAAAACCTTAAAACTGGTAGTATATTTCTGAAGTGCCTCATGCAGTCATGCAAAGATTTTTAATCACTAACACCCTTTGCTTACGCTCCTTGTAGAAATAAATGAAAACACACATTGCTGTTGAACCCCGAAGAGCAACTTTTGGCTCAGTGGCATTTAACTTAATTGTCCTAAGGTTGGCCTTAGGGACCTCAGAGTTTTGCTTGCATTCAGAAATTTCAGTAAATCAGAAATACCCTAGATTAATATGGAAGAATGTAATCTAGTCAAACACATTGAGGTATAAAAGTTATATAAGTCAGTAGAGGTATAAATTCTAATAATATGTATATATATTTTCAAAACCTACTTCTGATAACAAATTACCATAAAACAGCTTTTTTCAGCTAAAGACAATGACACAGCCTAACCCATTAAGTTATTATTGCCAAGTTTTCATTGTAATTACTATCGCTAAACAATCTTATCTAAATTTGTTTCTTTTTAGGCCAGATTGAATAATTTTTATTGTTATTAATACAGATGAATGTTCTGATTATGTTTCACATAACAGGCTTTGCCCAGCAAATTGAAAGAAACATTCTGAACTCCTTTTGGTTGCATGCATGACTATCAACATCTCTCCCTGGACAAATGGACAAACAGCATGGTATGTCTCTGCTCCACTTTGATAAATAAGACAGAACATATAATAGCTAAATTTAATGGAGACAAAACCAAATCCTCTCACATGCAATACATTAAGAAATAGATTATTTAAATGAAAGAAATTGGTAAATATACAGAAATCAAAACATTTTAAAACCCAGTGCAATTCAGCTTTTGTCATATTTCTCCTCTTTCTCAAACACATATCCCTAGACACCACAAAAGTAAACAGATGTTAGTCAATCATTACTGAGCTATACATTAAATAGAATTGCTACCAGAAATAACAGTTTCATAATAGTCTCTCATCCAAACCAAGTTCCTCTTGCAACATCAAGGTAAGTATATTGAACACCAAGGAGGGAAACAGAATGGTTCCATCCCCTCCCTCCCCACCAGCACACACCTCTATCCCACTTATGCCATACCATGCCTAACAACACATTACTACAGTTTGGATGCAGAAGGTTTTTGGGAAGAGACTCATTGCCCTCACTAAATGAGAGCAAAGGGGACAGCAAGGAGTGGAAGCCCAGCCTCACCTTTTCAATTGTACTGAAGGAAGGCCAGGACTGAAATCCATACTCTGAAGCAAAACGAGTTTTAGGATACACTGTCCAGTTCCAGCAGTCACTGTTGTAGTCATAAAAGTGTGTATCACCATAATGGGTGTCATAAGGATTCCGGGAGAGCCAGCCTTCTTTAACTGACTCCAAGCCATTGGTGGGACTGGATGCCACAAAAGGACGACTCTTATCTTCCTGGGATTTAAAAAAAACAAATACAACCCAATGTGTCAATACAAAGTGATTGACACTTACTATCTGAATACATAGACTACTATTTGAAAAGAGGGGCTTGGGGGCAGGGAGACCATACTTTTTCCAAATTTCTCAGTCGCTACCTAGGAAACATTCCTTTTTATGTCCTAACATTCATCATCTTTACTTACTTAATTAGCTTCTTACTTATGTTCTTGGAGGACAGCTGGGCTTGATTCTGCTTGCTCTGCTCTTCTGAGGGATTCTCTCCTCACATCAAGAGATTTTCTATCTTTATATGCCTCTAAATTCTTAATGAAGGCTATTTAAAGTGTGCCTTGTGAAATATATACTCAAGGAACATTAATATTTGAGTACTATGACTTCTTTATGGAAAATTATTACTTTTGCAGTGTTTTTACAGGAACAAGGCCATGATTTTCACCTTTCTTATTAAACAGTCACCTAAATTTAGTCCTAACAAATCCAAGGTGTTCTGCTTTTAATACATGCATGGTACCATTACAAGTTACTGTCATTTTAGCTGGCTCTGCATGCTAAGATGGATGAGACTACAAGGAGTGTTACATTTCAAATTGTTCAGAGCTGCCTTTATTTATAGTCTCAGTAGATTTAGAATACTAAATCTTTTAACAATAGCCTACAAAGTACTGAATCCTTTTGCAGGTATAATTCATTTCTGCAGTATCCTTTTGCAGGTATAATTCATTTAACATCCTACTTCTAGTAAGACAGAAGCCCAAGTTAGTCACCAGTAACAAGTTACTGCAATTGGCTCGAACACAGCAATGCACTCGGACACTTGCTTCATTTTAAGAAACAATCCTGTTTCCCACATCATCTTCTTTCTTTTTTTCTTGGCGTGAGTAATTAATAATTAACTGAAACAATTTACTACAGGAAATCCTGGATTCCCTGAAGTCTTTAGCTCAAAGGTAGAAGTCTTTTCAGGTTACCAAGTCCAGGACTACCAGTAGTTTTAAGTTTCCTCAGCTGGCTTGTATTGCACAGGACCTGAAGTTATCTCCCTCTATGGTTCCTTTTTGCACTGAAAATAATTATTCTACTGACTTAAAATAAAAATGGGTCCATCTTGGATGGCAGTGCTGCACAAGTACCAAGCCAGACCACCTCATTTTGTTGCACACACACTGGCCACCCAGCTCATGTAGCTAATCACAAAAACACCACAGCACACCACCTTTACACACAGCTCAGTACAGAAATCTAGAATCTCCTCTTCTAAGAGGATAAGAAACCTAAAAAACCTGTGCAAAATCACACTAGACTTCATCAAGGATTCCAGGTGTTTGTGGCCTGCATACTCGCAGTTTAAATTTTGCATCAAAATATTTTACTTTGCCTTCACATACCGTAGAACACCAACATTTTGTTTACAAAATCAATACAATGACTACACAGCATGAGTTCAATGTTTAGCATCACTTATGCTTTACCTGCTTAGAACAAAAAATATACAGTGACATAGTCAAGAAGTAACATCTTTATAGATTACTTCAACTGCTATTAAAAGACCTGAGGGTTGTTAAATGCTTTTCACAGTGCTCTTCAACAAAACTGGATAAAGGAAACCTGATCATTGAGATTAATTAATTAATGGGCAAGCTGATTTTTGTCCACTGGAAGTGAAGGCACTCATGGACATACTAAAAGCAGGAAAGAAAAAAGAAGCAAGATCTACTACACTTTCAGGTCTTAGTTTACACATCACAAAATGTTAAAGACATGTTTCTTTGTTTTAATTTGGAGAATAACTCTTGAGTTTAGAGAGTTGTTTAGAAGAGTTGGAAAGAGCAATTTCTCAAAACGCTCTTCTTCATGTCTTAAAAGGATTAGAAGAAAAAAAGGAAATCCCAGCTTGCTCCAGTATTAAAACCTTTTGCCAAGCCATATCATCCTGCAGTTTCTTGAGATTACTTACACTAAGAACTATTTCACGTATGTTCTCCACATAAAGGATCACGTAGTCTTTGATATAGACTCCTATGTCAGGATAAGGTATGGAGAACCAGTTGCTTGCAATTGCTGCTTCATTTTCATTGTTACCACTCCACAGAATAATTGATGGATGAGATTTTAAACGTCGCACCTGAAATACAACTTACAGTTTCACAAGTCAAGCAAAATTACTTATATTAACAATGAATTTTTTAAAAAATAATCACTTTATTACTAGTTGAATTACAAGTCCACATGTATATTACATATGCTAAGCCTACAATTCCCTTTTTTTGCCACACGGTTCACTATTCCCTCAGCTTGCCACCAGGCTCAAAGTTTTGTAATATACGCTTTCAGAAGGGAAAACTTCTATATTCTGACATACATCTGCCTTATGCATGTATGTACCACCCACCTCCACTCAGCCATGTGTGAAGGATAAATTCTGTGCAGTCTGCTTGAGTGACAACTCCTGCAATCAGTCAGAGGAGTTCAAGAAGATTTAACAAGGTTACATTTTGTGTCTGCTACATAAAGGTACACTAACAAAAACTTCAAAACAACCATTTCTGGAAAGCTAACTTACACAGTCAACGAAAAACAGAAAATGTGAAATAGAGCTTTGACACATGGATAAAATACCTGATGAGAAACTTCTGCTCTTACGGATTCTAAATAATTCTGGTCGGTTGGATATAGCGCACAAGCAAACATGAAATCCTGCCAAATCTACAAGGGGAAGGAAAGATGAAAAAAACTGTCAGCAAGTTACTTTACATACTTGAAAAATATATGGCTATTGGGATGCACAGTCCTTTCTTCAGACAGCAAACAAATCACATTCACCATGGGGCTCAAGTATGTGCATACTCCACTGTGGTTATCCTCAATATCAGGGTTTCAAAATATTTACCCTTAGGAATCAGCTCCTGACAGCCTACACTGAGGAGCGGAATACGGCTCAGTAGATGAAGTTCTGTGAGTTTCAACAGAATAATCAGAAACATGAACATGTAACAATTTGCAGCTGAACAGAACAATTTCATATTTACTTACTATTTTGCAGGTGTAACACCAAATCCCCATTACTTAATGAGAAGAGACAGTAATTCTTCTGATGTGGTACTGAGCACACTTAACAGACCTTAACGTGTACTTGTTAAGACAACACCTCCATACGAAACTATCAAAAAACCAGCAAATCTTACCCAGTAAGAAAGGCAGAAACAAACTAGATGCTCTAAAAACACTGTGATCTCTCTCTCCAAAGAAAGATCAAGTAGATATTATTAGAGAACAGCAAGCCTTTCAATTCAAGAACAATAAACTCCATTCGTACCTTGCAGGAGAATTACAAAAATGGGAACGGAAGCCCAGTGAGATGGGTAAGATTTCTTGTTTACCTGTCTTGTTTTTTAAATTGCCATGACCTTGGGGCTCCTTCTAGTCTGTCTCAAATTTCTAGAAGGAGCACCTTAACCCAAAGGAGTCTGTAGGAGACTCCACTTTTCTGAGCACCATGCTACATAGAGAGAGACAGAGGCTAGCTCCTCACAAAACTGCATTTTCATTGCAGTGAGAATATGCTTTTCCATGGCTCTTTTCAGCACACATTCCCTTAGGAAACTGAAGATAAAGAATAGGACAGTGGGGGACAATGGAGTCATTAAGAATTGTTACAATCCTAACACTGTACAGCAAAAGCAAAACCATTGCTGCAGAATCACTCATAATCCTTTAGGGGCTGTTGGTGTCAAAACTCTCTGATTGAAAGAAACTTTTTCTCACTATTTCCTTCAGTGAGCTATCACTGTTTTTCCTTAAGCACAGTTTGACTCCAATGCGTTTTTAAGCCTTTACAAGACCATCAGAAGAAACAAAACCAAAAGCCTCCCTAGTGCCCCGTCCAGAAAAAGGGTCTGATTCCCTGCATTTACTGGCTATTTTGGCTGTTAAATAGGATCTACCTCTTGCACTGAGCACTGTACAGACACAGATCTATGTGGCCTACTTAAGGTGCCTAGTGTCAAAAATTAAAGAACTCTAAGTGCTCAGAAGTCTTGAAAATCAGGACACTCATTCAGATCACTAAAATAGATGTAACTTTTTTTTTTTTTTTTGCAAGCACACACATCTGAAAGCAGCAAGGTACAAATACTGTTTCCCTTCTTCTTATGGTGTAGACTATGACCAAACACACTTCTCAGGATTTTTAATACCAGATGCAGCTTGACCTTCATTCATCTAGCCACTGCTTCATCATAACTTATTAATATGTGCCTCCAAGCTTATATAACAAAAGAAAGGTACTCATCTAGGATTAGTGATTGCAGCAGGTGTTCACCTTACAGCTACAGTTATATTCAATTATAGCTTGTTCAAAACGGCCCCTTGGATAATGCCTTCCATGTTTGTCTTTGGGTCAAAAGAAATGTCTGAACCAAAAACACCCAAACTTTTTCAGCTGTTGCTAAAAAGAAGACAATACTTTTAAAATAAATAAAATCCATTTCCATAACTGAGAAGATCATAGCTACCTTCTACCTAACGGCAACCTTCTACTATAAAGTCTCCAAAATATCACTTCCAGATTCAACAGACAGCCTCTGTAATCACAAACCATTCAAATTACAAAGAAATTAAAGAACCCCAACCAGCCATCCAAAAAATTAGGTTAATCTGACCTCTCACGTTGGTACTCTAAAATGTTCTTTGGAAACATGGTTAGAACTTATGTATTAATTATCTTTTTTTTTAAATTTGAAGTGGATTTTCATTTACAAGTTCTTGTCAGTTTTTAAATAAGTAGTCTGTGTTTAGTGTTTTTACCATTATTCCTATTTCATCACAAATATCGTAAAATTCATCTTGTTCATATACTCCTCCTCCCCAAACCCGAAGGGCATTCATGTTAGCATCTGCTGCAGACTTCAAGAGCAGCCTTAGTCTGTCAAATACAAAAAGGAGATATACAGTTTGGTGAAGTTGTATTAGTTAAGAATTTCTAAGGTTATACAAAAAATTAAGAAATGAATGCCCCTACCAAAAAAAACACCCAAATCTAAATCATTAGTAGGCAATCTATGACTTATAACTCTAACAGAAAGTATCAAAATACTCTGGTTTCTAAACCTGCATGCCTGGACAGAGCTCCCAAAAATCAAAATTTTGTGCAGAACAAGTGGCTTGATCCTGTTAGTACTTACAAAATAGATGGAGTGACACAAGTGTAAGTGCTTTTACAGAAGTTTTGGCAGGACTAAATTTAGAAATACTATGTTTTATTAATCATGTTGGTCTTTTCTCCTCTGATATTACTTGCTTTGTATGTAAATTACTTGAATTTAAATTCTCTTTAAACACAGTCAGGAATGTATATCCTCTTCCCAAGTTCCATAATGCATAGCGAGAATAGGGGAGTGAGAGGGTGAGGAGAAATACTGAGACTGGGAATCTCATTTTAAGGGTTTTAGACTTCATTTTTCCTTAAATCATACTGGTAGTAGCCTCTAAATCGCATGTGAATGCACACCACAGCATGCCCTGTTGTCCTGGTTCCCCAATACCCCAGAGCAAAGCTTAGTCCAGGTACAGGACAGCCCCCATCCCACCTGCATCTCTGCAGAGCTGTGCAATGAAATCCAGGTAGTCTAGACAAAATCAGGAAAAGGGGAGAGGCTACCATGCACCTACATAACCCCACATGACATGGGCTAGGACATGGATGAAGTGCACATCTTCTTGACTACCCGTGGATGTGCCCAGATAAGGCCTGAGGATCACCCCTAAAAATACCCAAAAGGCCAGTAACTATGAACTGCAAGCAATCACCTTCCCACCAGCAATTGTGCCTACATGCCTTGAACATCACTCAAATCTGTTCATGTTAATTAAGCACTAATTCTGAAGCCTCCCACTCCCACCCACAACAATTAGTATTCTACCTTGAAAGTTTTACCCACTAAAGCCAACCTTTGATAAAGGGTGTAGAGAGAATCAGGAGGAGGAAAACATTATCCTTTATCCTTAGAGAACATCAAATGTGGCTTACGTGTCATAGGTCACTCTGTCCTGGAAAGAATCTGCTGGAATCCAGTTTGAGCCCTTAATAAAAATGGGTCGGCCATTGATTCTGAAGTAGAAACTCAGACCTGGTGAGCCAGGAATAGGCTCTTGAACAAGTTCTACTGTCCGAAAATAAACCTGTGAAGACATGGAACTTAGATTTAAAGCTGTCAAAAAAAGAATTAAAACTACATAAATAAAGAAAACCATTACAAAAGGGATTGAACTGAACAATAACAGCTTAGAACTGGTCAAGGAGTCAAAAGACATGGATTCATCTCTAAAATTCCTGCTTGCTGAAAACATTCTGTAAGAGTACTAGAAAGAATTCTTTCAATAAGCCTGTTCACTTTTTAAAGCTGCTATCATATTAAGAGAGGGCAAGAGAAAGCATGAGCAAACAACTGTACATGTGCACACAAGTATGTAAGGAAGAGACAGATGAAGTTTGATTGTTGCAGAATCCAGTGAAAAGTCCAGCTGAAGGCCAGAAAGAGGAATATAGGGGTTCCACCAGATCAGAAGCACCAGGTAATCTGCAATTTTCTCTACCAGGAGACTGCAGCAGCTCAGTTTTAAGTCTTATCCCTGAATGGCTAGCATGAGATTCACATAGTACAAGCAAGATCTTCTCCTTTTACTGCTCTGAAATGGTATCTTTTTAATAGGTGCAACACTTAGAGAAAAAAACACGCGTGCAAACAGAAATGCCAGTTTGCAAGTGAAAGGCCCTCTGGCCATCACAGCTGTGTTGGAACAGCAAGATCAGCAATAATGACTCAGAGTGACCAGTTCAGCTAAATAAACACTCTGAGTAAAGTATTAAAGATAAAGCACATTTCGAGCAGAAGCAGAGGCCAAACTTTTCCAGCTGTTCTTTTAGCCTAATATATGGCATTGTGATGCTGAAACAAGAAAACCTTCCTTTCTCCTGTTGCAGGTGGAATTAAAGCTCCCAGGAAACCATTCCAGACGTTTTCTAGGACTTCACTACAAGCAACAACGCTGCTCTGAGGGTATCCTGACTGCACTGACACAGACAGCCATGAAGGAGCAGTTAATGCACTGCAACAGCACTGACCCCTTATTTGTACAGGTGCCTTTCTCACCTGCCACATCAGCTCCTGCAGACCTTCAAACTCTTCCAGAGAACAGCTCTTTCAGAGACACTTTAAACATTTTCTCCTGCATCCTTATTCCAGTTCAACTTCCTTAAGTCAGAAAGAAAACACATTTTCTTTCTTGCACCTGTTGCTCATTATCATAGGGAGAAAACTGGAAAACTAAATAAAGGGAAGGAAAGCTCACGGTAAATTTTAGCCAAAACAGGTTTGGGTCAGAAGGGCAGGAACCAAATTTTTTCTAAACTACTCCTAAGATAGTAACCACTCCTCTCTCAGATGACTATTTGCTTTACCTTTTCAAAAGGTCAGCTTGTACAGTACAGTCTGTTCTCCCTCTGCCACAAGCTTCAGCTGAAGCAAGTATATGTCACTAAACCAGGCTAAAATTAACCTAGTTAAGTGCAAAAGATAATTCTGTTTTTAATACAAAATGCCACTCTTTAATTCACACACTAGACATGGTTGTAATTCAAAAGGGAAATGATTAATCCCACTATGGGACTGCATTTTCTGAATGTTCAGCTTATCAAAAATCACACATATCGACAGAAAACTATTTCTATCAGTAGGGAGGAAAAAGAAGATCACAACTTTTTGCTTCCTCTTTGGTGCTTCTAAGTTAACTGGAAAATTATCAACCAAATACCTGGATAGAGACAATGCATGTGACAAACCAGATGCATTAGCAGAGGTTGCAGATCACTGAGCTCAACCTATACAGCTCTGCATCATGGCAGTGACCATTCCTAGAATTTTGCAGACTTAGTTTAACAGCTGAGTTGAAATAATAACCAAAGTTTCATGCAACTTTCACAGTCACTCTAACTCCTGAAGGCCACAAAAGAGAAACTACAGTATGAGTACTGCACTAGTGAAAAAGTTCTGACCTTCCTACATTGAATTTGATTACTTGGAGAAAAACTCCTCAGTCTCCATTGTGCTCTGTTTTTATGGCACAAAGTGGAATGGGACTTGCAGTTGGAGCTGCCAAAGTATTTGGGATGTCATTAGGCAGGTTGGGACAGTCTCAGAGTGCATTTGTGATGGAGTATTTATATTACTAACAGAAGTAATGAGATATTGCTTTATTCCTGCTCAAGTGGAACTCATGCAACTGGCCAAACTCAAGGCAATCTGAGAGGCTGGAACACTCAGCCAGGACCACCCAGACAGCAGGAGCAAGAGAAAAAGCTCCTTAGCCTCAGCTCACATTCCCAGGCCTTCAAGATTCAGTGGAACCCCACTGTTCCCCCGAGGCCAGCTGGTAACAGCACATCTTCCTGTTCCTAATACAGCTTCCTTCTGCTTTGGGGGGTAAAAGAAGGGCAATGGGAGACAACCAGCACCTGGCATGCTTGGCTACATGCCCTTCTGGCTATCAATATCTTGGCCACCTCAAAATCTGTCTGAGAGTGCTTGCTGCCTGAGGGCTGAGTATTTCTCTCAGTCTCAGGACACACACAAGAGGCTCTCTAGCCACCACAGACCAATCAGCTGATTCTGGGCATAATTATGAAACAGATAACTACCTTTTTAAAGCACATACAAAGGCTTTGTACACAGTTAAGTGACCTGTGGATGACATTTGGTATTCCCATATTTAGCACTAGGAAAAGTAATAAGGATGAAGACGCCTAGAGCTGAACTAAGATCACAGAACAACCCAGCGACCTAACAAATTAGCACACAGCATGAAAGTGGTGTGAAAACTACAAAGCCAGAAAGAAAGACTTCTGGAAGTCATGCTAAAATGCCTGGGGGGAAAAGTGTGTGTGAAGGGATGGAGGAAAAGACTGCTGGAGGTCAAGATCTTGAAAGTACAAAAATAGCCTTAAAAATTAACAACTCTGAGTGCAATGCTGGAGAAAGGAGCATACAGAAAGTCAGAGAAATAGAACTGAGAAGCAAACAAATGCTTCATGGGGCAATGAAAGAGGTAATAAATTCCTTGATGTGGGGATGGCAAGAAATAAATAACTTTTCAATAGCAAACAGGACCCTCCATCAAGAAAACCAGTATCACTGCGAGATATTACTTTGTTTCACATTATCCTGAGAAAAAAAACTCTAGAACAAAATATTCAAATGGAAAACCAAAAGAAAACCAAACCACAGCCCATCCTGGAAGTTGGCTTTTATTCTGCTTTGGTTTTCTGCTACTCTGGACAGGAATGAGTAAGTATTTCTTTGAGCCAAAGAGATTCCCAGCACTGCTGGCTACAGCTCTATACAGCTCCTGCAAATACATACTGGAAGGCCACCCAGAAATATTCCCAAAGCATTAGTTATGAATACTACTCTAGCATGTCAGAATCCAGAAAGTAGTTCAAGTTAGGAGTAGACAAATCTGACATAAGAACAAGCTGTGCTTTCTCACATGTACAGTTCTCGTGCTTCAGTTTTCTCCTATCCAAAGTTGAGTCGACACTCATATGGACACAAAAGACTTGTGAAATGCCTCACCTCTGTTTTTTTCTGAGGGGAAAAGAAAGTGTGAAAGTAGGATATTTATTATTCCTAAATACAGTCAGTACAACGTGGACAACAGATCTGACAACAAAACAACTTCCAGGAACATTAATCCCTGATTGTATCTCCTGAACTACTCAAAGTTCTTATTAAGCTGTATGAATGTTGCTGTTCAGTTCTGCTGACATGAGAGAAAATTATGCTACAACATGAAAAAACTGCGTACAGAGCCTTTTTCCACTCATACAGCTCTCACTGGGGGGTGATGGTGTGTATGCATGTGTGTCTGCCAGAATCTAAAACACAGATTCACAGAACACAGGAAGGATGACCAGACTTCACACTGTAAGCTGTAAAGGCTCCATATGCTGGTTAATTCACAATGCCCACTATGTAGTGCATTTGCTTTTTCCCCCCCTCTTTCCCCTTAAGGAGAAAAAAAAATAAGAGGTTTCTGTTGTAGACCATGAAGTCCTGATGATCATATGCCACAGAGCTCTATGAAATATTCTGACATAAGCACTCAAATGGAAATTATTAGCCTTCCTATCATTGTGCAGTTTTCACACAGTAATAACAGAATTTTGCTTTTTAGAGGCTTTATAACTGTATTTCCTACAACCAGTTTTTCCAAGCAACATATGCTGTGTTTACTTGGTGTGGGTTTTATAATTGTTTCAAAACTAGAACACTAATCATAGCAAATAATTATTATTATTATGACTTCATAATCAAACCAGGGGCTAGTCCAATAAAGATAAAACACCAGAAGGTACTAGTTTGCCTAAGTTTTTTTCACACTAGCAAATATTACAGCAAATAGCAGTTTACATGCCTGGTGACCAGATTAGTTTTTAGTAAAGCAATACGCACCAGAAACATCTAATAAATGCATATATTTATGTGGTTGTTTCCACATGTTCATGGCATAAGGAGGCCAGTCTAATCCCTATGATTTTTTTATTTAATGGACAATTGGAAATTACCTCTTCTAGGCTTCTTAGTAAAACCAAACAGACAATTAAACAGCTGCTGTGTTAGCAGAACTCTTATGCAAAATCCCCCAAATATTACCTTTATGGTTGTATTTAAGACCTTACCTTTTCTTAAGCCTGAAGCACATCTACCACATTCTAATAAATAAATGTATGTTAGGTTTTTAGGAATGTGTCTATCCCATAAATTTTTACAAACTGAATTAGCAAAAAAAAAAAAAAATCTCAGTAATAAACCTTTGCATAATCTTACAGAAATCTAAAAGGGTTTTTCAGTGCATGATACAAAACTAAGAGCATGGTGTTTGAAGTTTAGAAGTACTGTTTTCATAAGCTAGAAAAATTAAGAAGTAAACATCTTTTCTCTTCTGAGGTTTCTGGTTAACTGTAAACCATCCTACAGCCACAATATAAACTAAAGGCATCCACACAAGGTAAGACTATCAGAAAACAGGTATCCATACATTGTGACATTAAAAAACTCATTTCTCATTAGCATTTTCACATGTATGTTACAACTCAGCAAAACATTTAAGAGCTCTAGACACCTGCTATGCAGAGCAGATATCCTAAAACTAACAGTGCAATGCCAGATGCAATTAAACTTTAGGGCTCACCTTTGAAAACTTCTCAATCTGGCATCCTGCCTCCATCATGAAAGTTGTGGTCATGTTGTATCCAGTCTGCTTTCCATGTCCATTTGGCCACCAAGCCTCCACTACAGCACTCTTGAACATACAAGTGAGAAAGCCAGAAAGAACATGTATAAATAACACGAGGTATCAAATGCACCTGGGGCTCAGGTATCTTTGAGTGAATTACCACAAGCCTAACAAGGTTTTGTGCTTCAGCTGAGATATGCTAACATTCTCTCCAGCTGCAGCTCTGAGGTGAAAATCATTTAAAGAGAGAAGTGTGACTTCTTCTGCTCAAGTTCAGCCTATCACTTCATTTTGTGTCCACAACAGGCCATGAGCACGCCTGGACATGCATGCACACATCTAGCTGCTACTCCTCAGCTGAGATGCACTGACACATTGTTCCTCCAAATCCCAAATATCTGTGTCAGGAGCAGCCACTGTTCACTGAGTTCTGTATCATACACCTCTTCTCATTGATCCTTTAACCTATCCCATGCAATATTCAATATACAGCAGTAACACTTTTCAACTGGGATTCTGGTAATATGTGACCATAATGACTGCTTCACTTCTGTCAAGCTTTTAAGTCAAATTCTTTCATTCGTTCAGTGGGTTTTTGCTTTGTCTCTCTGTCTCCTAATCACATCATTAGTACTCCATAATTTTTACAAACATGAAATACAATCTCCAAGATGACAGAATATTTATCTTCACTCTAGCAGCCTAATTCTGCTGCTCATTCCTGTTGCCAGCATTTGCCAATTGAGTGCATAACGCAAAAATTGTGGAAAGAAAGCAATAATGCATGCAACCGAACAATGGAGGGATCAGCACTGAATTTAGTCATGCAAGGAGTGCCTCAACCTTTTCAAACAAACTGAGGCCAGAAAGCAGTCCAGCAATATGTTTTGTTGTAGCTATACCTGAACAAAACCATGAATATGAATATATATATATATATATAAAATGATGTATCATGAATACATCTTTCAGCTTCTCCAATACAGAATTATCTCAACTGCTTGTGAGGAAATCCTGATCTCTGTGCTGCATGGATACAAACAGAACGCAGACTCAGCGAGTGCCCCGACAACAAGGGAGCGTTCTCAGCTGCCTGGGACGACTGGATGTCTCATTGGCCACTAATGATGTCACCCCTCTGCGCACCATTAGCTGATAAGCAAAACGCTGTCACGTTGGCAGCACAGCACTTTGCGTGGCAACCGCAGGAAGGCTGATACACATCTCGGAGATGTGCACCACTCGAACACCTACTGACTCCACAACCTAATCTGCGATAAGCTCTTAACTAGAAATACATTTCTGGCGAGGTCTCGGCATCTAACATGCACCACACAAGTCTGTGAACAGAGTAAGGGCTCTGTTAGCCTCATCAATACATGAGAACACATTTCTAGGCTTCTCATAAAATCAGCTGAATTCATGCAGCAAAGCCTTTTGTGAACAAAGAATAATGAAACACTGCTGCCTCTGCTCTGAAGGAGATGCTTCCTTCCAGACTTGCAGTTGCACTATACTAACAGATCTCTTCTGAGGCTGGGACAACTAAATAAGCAACAATAATTTTTCAAGTTTCACTTTGCAGTGTCTGTTTAATGTAATCCATTAAAAGGCTAAGCAGAGACTCATGGTTGCTTTAAATGAAACTGGGCATTGGTATTTTCTCGGGTAACTTTCATGTCAGATGACAACAGTAACAAAAACTGTATGTTTCTATGCTTCTGTGTCAAAATAAAACAAAGCACATAAGTACACAAGTCACAGAGTGTGCACACTGGAACATAAAACACCCTGCTTGCTTTCTCTCTATGCAAACAACTGGCAAGTGAACTCAAGAACACACACAGACAATGCAGTCAAACTAGCAAAACAGATGCAGAGTCACACAGCAGTGCAGAAAAAGAGCAGAGCCACTAAAATATAGAAGAGCTTGAAGGCAGACCCTCTAATGCTATTAACTGTCAGAAGCCTCAAATTCCTGCTCACAGCACATCACCCACCCACAAATGTGTGTCCTGCAGCAGTGAAGCTCCTGTGGAGAACTGTATCAGGTGTGGCTCCGGCTGCATCTGCCAGGACTCCTACTCTGCCCACTGGCTGAAGCCTGATTTTTTAAATTGAGTTTGCTCCTCATTAGAGTACCTTCTACCAGTCAAAAATTCCTCCTGAGAGATGCCTATCCAAAGGACTACAAGTGAATGTAAGGAGTATTACTCCACAAAATTTTCTTTTGCTTTTATTTACCTGAAAGTAAATATATATCTACTGAGAGGCTTGAGGAGTCTTTCCTCTCTCTCCTGGGAGAATCCTCTGTATTGTAGTACATTCTGGTCCTAATCAATCCAGTAAACAGCAGCATGTGAGATACCTGCTGCCAGTGAAGTGAAGTGACACAGGGTATCCAAAGGTTATTTACCTAAATAACTCAAAACAAGGTCATTTAACAGTGGCCAGTGGCTTTTTCTAAGGCTTCATCACCTTTTGGCAGTGAGCTACATAGCTTCACAGACATCAGATTTTAGAAAAGAAAAGAACTGTTCTCCTACCCTGTAAGGGGTACAGAACTGTTGTGTTAAAGTCAGGAACACCGTAAGGAATGGGAAGGAGGCTTAAAACTGGCATGGAGGCAGAAAGTCTCACTGGAAACCAGGGGAAAATTTTGCAGCTGAACTAGCTCTCCCCACACACCTCTTTACCTTGTTGATGTTTACAAGCAGCACAATGCTGCCTTCTCCAGGTTGAAGCTTCACACTGAATGTTTGCTGCGTTTGTAACTTGGGAATGTTCACAGTCACAAGACCCGCAATTGGCTTGGAGCTGACTACATCAAAAATAGACTCGACTTCAAGACACCACTGCTGAGCACTCTTTGCTAAGTGAAGAAGGACGAAAAAATGGGATTTAAGAGTTATGTTTATATACCTATTAGTTAACATTATCCTTCATTAATGAAAAAATTCAAACACCTAAGATTAAATTTAATAATTTTCAGGCTGTGTCTGAACCAACCTACATAGTTAATCTGCTTATTTAGTGTGTTTGGCATCTGAGTCCAATGAAAGAGAACAATGCAATATGATTTCTGTTTTTTAACTCTTTTTTTTAACTCAGAAGCCATCCAGGCTTTTTTTTTCAGAGCTCTGTACAAAAGTCGGAGACCTCGACACCAGTCACTTCATTAGGAAGGAATTTTTTTCCCACCAACTCCCATAGACATTGTATTTGCTTTTAGTCAGCACTCATATGAACATGGTACTCTTTGGGAAAGATTGTAATCACAAGCCAGTACAATCACTTTTGTCAATGAAACAAAAACAGTATTAACAGAAAACGAGCTGAATTCATCCCAGACTCACTGGACAAAATGAATGGAGCTACACTGGGGATGAATTGGGCCCACTTTGTCTAGACTTGACAGGCTATATCTTTATGTCCCTTCTCCCACCCATGTGTTGGGAAAGAAACAAGTTAATGACTTCCCTGAGATCTCTCTGAAGTTACCACAGAGCATCCTCTCTTTTACAGAGCTTACTGAATAAGGAGAGCCAGGGTCAAGGGTACTCAAGATCTATGTGTAAATTTCCCACTAACTTCAGCAGTTGAATTGCCTAGCTACAAACACAGCCTGGTTAATCCTATACTTCAAATATTGCAGATTAACAAATAAGCAAAAGCAAACAAAACAGAAAAACAAAACAAGGAGAACTAGAACTAAGACACATTTTGTATACCCAAACTACTAATAACTGACTTTCTCTTTTCATTTATATAGTCTAGCTCTCCTTCCTCCACAAGAGAAAGAGAGCTCACTCTAAAAAACAAAGAATTGCATTCAGCCCTGGTGTGGTTTTCACTGTCTTTCACAGAATGAAGAGCAATGATTGAGTTCCCAAGTTTATATTACACCCAGCATTACCCAGTGAACACCAATTCTCTGAAATGTGGAAAAGGTTAAAAAGTACCCACCCTACAAAAGTCAGACATTACAGTGCATTCTTCCTCCCTTACAAAAGCATACAGAAATTCCAACCCATTCCTAACTGCCTGAACTGTGGGGTCCAGGCAGAGAAACCAAGAACAATGAATCTTTTACAGACTCAGTGGTCAAAAGGCTATGACACATAATCTGATGAACAATAAAAGTACATATGCAGCTCAAATTCAGGTTGTTCATTTACTCTTTCCTTTTCAAATGTTATTATGTTTGAATACTAATAAGCTCTTGCTCTGGTTCCAAGCTACTCTCTGCTGAAGGAAAGAGGTCTGCTCTCTCCACTTACCCAGAGAGCAAGACTTTACCTACCAGAAGGTGGAGTTGTGGGAATGTGGGAGGGACCAGAAAAGATTTTTATTGTAACTAAATTTCAGAAAGCACACAGTCTGTGCTGGGGCTTTCCATGGAAATTCCGGTCACGTCAATTCTATTTAAGACCTGCAGCTATTTCAGGACACTTTAAAAGCAGCCATGGAGTGATGTCTTCCTCTTTTATTCATACACAACAAATCTATTCCCAAGGGCCAAAATTCACCCCAGTGCAGAGGACCCACGTGCTAGCCTATACTCCACTGGGCTCAACAGGCAGTGAAAAAAAGCATGTGGGTGGTCTACAACCAGGCATACCACCATTTGCAGAAAGTTTCAAGGGAAAATTAACTACTTCTGCACAGCTGCAATGATCTTCAGGACAAAGGAGAGGAAAATCAGAGACCACTGCAAGAGAGGAAACCAGTTTGGTAGGTTAGGTAGCAAGAATGCAGGAGGTTATTCTGTCCAATTGCAGCTTTAACAATTATCCTTGCATAGCACAACTGCTTTTCTCTCTCAGACTTCATGTTGTGTCCTGAAAACTCAGCACTCTTCGAACTCTGCTCATTGTGCATTTGTCCTTCCAACACAAAACCAAATTCCCATAGCAGCTTTGCCTTTGTTTGAAATGAAAGTGAGATGAAAGTGAGACATATTTACAGGGAGTCTTGGTGAAAACACATGCCAATAGAAAGGAAAAACTGAAGAACAGGTGCTAATCTCAATTATACTACATTTATTTATTCTAACACTTTATACTACATTTATTATATTCTAACACTTTTAACAGTTATTGTTTGTTATGAAGTACTGTTTCAATACCTAATAAAGGTGTGTTCTGGAAAGAACCACACATAAAGTCATAAAAAACCCAGAGAACATTTCCTACCTGACAGTTAATTTGGCTTACCAATAAAATGGTTTGTATTCTAAAGGTGAAACCAGTAACAAGAAGAAATGAGAGACTTACCAAAGAAAGGAGTTATAGAAAAGTAAATCAGATGATAATGGTTATAGGCCTCAATCCTAACATCTTTCCAGATTCCTTGAGTGGGAAAAGAAGGGCCCCAATCCCAACTAAATGAACATTGCTCCTGGAAAACAGAATTATTACATTACAAATGCCTGTTTTTCACATAGACATTGATGCCATGCCAGAAATAAAAGACATTTGCTATCTGGGAATAAAATATTTACAGGCACTGAAAGAATTTTTCCAGTTTCCATAAATCCAGAAGACCCTACAGTATTTTTTTCTTATTTCACAACCAGAACTTGCTGCTACTACCTGTATTATACAAAAAATTAAATTCTCTATTAAACATCCATGTAAGGAGAAATTCTGTGTTACCAAAAGAGCAGAACAACACTTAGCATACCACCAAAAAAACCACCAACAAACACCCAAACAGTAAAGATCAAAAAAACAAGGAGATTACTCTCAATTCAGCTGTGAATTATCTTACTTTGTAATGCCAGTATATAACTGTATACCTAAAAGACAAACTAAGCAGAAAACTGACAATTATAAATGTTACAGTATTCTAGAAGAACAGTATCAAATTAAAAACCATATATGAAATAGTTTATCTCCTATTTTTAGTTTTAACACCACAGAGTAATACAAGGAAAGAAATGGATATGTCTGGAGTATTTGTGTAGTTCAGTCATGTTCGCTGTTTCTCCCCTTTTTATGGTTCTCCTATTCAAAAACAAAGGGAACAAAAACATGGTTGAGAAGTAGCTTAGTTCTGGTACTAACATCAGAATAACTGTCAGAATTATAAAATGCTGGTCAGGCAGAGAAGTGCGTACACTCATTTCCATTTAGCTGTTTTCAAACCTAGTCAGACCTCTGCTTAACAAATCCCTTGACAACATCTATTCAGCTGCCCTCCAAGTTTCACACAGCCCCAGCCCCCAAAGCAAATACAATAGATCTCCTAAAGTCTTGTACAGTGACACACAATTCTAAATTTAGAGACTAATAACTTACAGCCAAGGCATACTAATTTGGGCAAACCACATTGCACAAGCCTGGCCTATCCCTTGCCTTGCCAGTCAGCCTCCCTGTCTATCAAACTGCAAAAGAGCCTTCCAGGAAGCAGACACTGCACCTATTTCAAACAGAAAACCAGGGATATGCTCTTAGAAAACATGCCCAATTGGAAATCATTTCCCCTTTATATAAAATAAACAAATGAATTACTGACAGATTGGCAGGTTTCACTAAAAATACTGCAGAGACTGCTATCAAAAACAGTACATCACAAGAACAATGCCTGTATCACTGCAGTACATCAGCAGTGACAGGTTTGGGTTCTGCCACAAACTCCTAGTCAGATTTAGATAAGTTTACTGCACTTAATACTGCACCTGAAATGTGTAAATAGATCTCCATTACTTTCGGGTGGGAAGCCACCAGCTTATAGCAATGTCCTAGTATGTTTGTTTAGTTTTAGATGTGACATTGCTGCTGTTGTTGCCAATATTTGGAATTCAAAATGTTTCTGGAAATTTCTGGAGCAGTTTCCAAGTACAGTCAAAAAATTCATTTGAGGAAAAAGCACTAGAGTACTTTCTAACAAATTTAAAGGTATAGTTCAGTGAAGCATAAAATCATTCCAGGTCTCTTTTGGTCTATAAATAAGACTCCAGCTGAGTAAGTGCCCTCTTCCTTGCAAGCCTCTCCTTGCACTGATTTCAGAGAAACTCAGTGGACTCAGAAGAACTAATAAACTTTCTAAAATGTAGAGAAAATAAAAGTAGCAGCAAGCAGAAATAAAGACAGCGTCTTAATCCTAAAGGATCTTTCCAGGACAACATGGAGTCCATGTTTACATTAATAAATGATAAAGGAAATTATATCCAGGTTTAAATACCAGATTTACAGAATCCTAGTCATTTTTTGAGGAGGCTCTAGAAGGACTTTATCAGAAAGTTTGAGAATAATTATCAAGAAAGGCATTTAAGTGGAGACAAATATGCAAAAACACCCAAAAAGAGAAATTAGAAAATAAGATCATCTAGACATTACCCCTATCTGCTGCAAAGCTATCAGAAATACATGAGGTGCTACTCAAATAATAGTTTGCCCTGAGTTGTTTTAACAGCAAAGAAGGCGTATCTTAAATCAAAGTTTCTGAGTTTCATTCATTTAAATTACACTGTTGTTTTCATTGAATATGTACATATAAGTCACAATTGACAACACTAATAAGATGAGAACAGGTTCCCTGTTAGGTAACACTTCTTGGGACATGCCAGAGCTTCCCAGTATAAATAGCACAGCACATGAGCAACAGCAAACACTCACAAAGCTGCTTGGATGAGATTTCTACAGCCTTGGCTACAACACACTGGTATTTGCAATAGTGAACTCTATTGTCAGCATACATGGCTAAACCCACCCAGTGGACCAAAATGGAACGATTACACATTTCCCAATGCTGTCCTGCCCTCTTAGCAGCAAGTCTCCTTGCTGACTCTTTGATGAAAACAGCCATTTAAACATTCTTATCACTTAGATATGAAGCCTGGCCTTCTCATGCCTCCTGTATTGTCAACATACAAGACTACAGATTTCTAGGGGGGATGGGAGAAGGAAGCTGCAATGAAAAATATGCCCTACTTATAAAACAACATTGCAGGTTTCAGAATACAACTGTAAGGACAGCTTGTGGTGCATTCCTCTTTCCCAGCCTGAAGCCAGAGACAATTCTGCCCCCACCTTTCTGATGAAATTAACGTGGCACTCTCCTTTCTGCACAGGTGGAGGGCACGCCGGGGGGATGCTGTGTGCTTTGTGACATCTGCTCTGCTCCGCTGCGTAGGAAACGGCTGACAAGAAACGGACTTCAACAAAATTGACCTCCTGGATCACGCTGGTAATATCAAAGCTCTAGGATAAAACACAGAACAAAACCATTACAGTGCTGACATTTATCTATGAGATTTACAATCACTATTACATGGGGATTTTAATACCATACATATATTATTCAAAAGCTTTTGAAATACACTCTCAGAGTGCTCTGGTTTTGAAAGAAAAGAAAAGCTTCTTTGTAAACTGAAAAAAAAGAGAAAATACACAGGAATGTTCTAGATAGAAGATGTTTCTGGGCAAATCACTTTCCTCACACCAAGCTCTCGTTGCAGGCTGCAGCACTTTGCTTGCACAGAGAAGTACCTGAAGGACAAGGACAGCAAGAGAATCTTTACCCTCATTTCTCATCCAGAACCCATCTGCATCTTTGGAAAGACACCCTATTCCAATTCAGAGAGCTGCTCCATACAGGAGCGCTTCCAGCTCACACTCTGCTGCCAGCTCATCTACCGCAAGCCACTGAGTTGCCTTGTCCATGAATGCTGCAAAGCTGCAGTTCATTCCCCAAAATGAAATGACTTCCATTCTAACCCCCAAATGTAAGACACACATTCTATGCCAGCACCAAATGAAGCATTTGGGGGCTTCCTCACCAGGTCACAAAATCCCCTTCAGTGTGGCTGGAGAACAGGAGAAATATTCCATTTCAGAATTATCCTGTGCTATCAATATGGTTCCAGTGGCTAATACCCATTTATTCCTCAGAGTGTACATTTGTGAAAAGTCCAGTCTTGGTAATTTTTCTTTAATTTGGGAGCAGCCCAGACAGAATCACTTACTTCTGTAGCATACAGCAGGATATTAGAAAGCAAATAGCATTCCCCAATCCCGAGCCTTCAGGGAGTCCTTCCTGCAGATGTTGTTGCCATGTGCAACAGGTGAACAAGGCACAAGCCTGGGTCACAGTAACCCTGGACTCAATTTAATGCAGTACACTCTGGTTTTACAGAGAAGGCCATTTCATGAATTGTTGCAATCTGATACAAAATCAAGTTGCAGAAATATGGACAAAATAATACCACTTCCTAACTTTACAGAACCTGCTACTGACAAGCCTTTAGATACTCTCCAAACAGTAAATAATTACAATTTCATAAAAACTATATGAAATTTTTGATTTCACTAATGGTAAAAGTCAGTCAAAGAGAAACTAAGTGGTTTGTCCTAGGTCACACAGACCCAAGTGGCAGAATGTCTTATGTCTCAGTCCAGTGCTTTTGCGATAAAACCTGCCAGAATGGTAAATGCTGAAATATGGATTTCTTTTGTAATTCAGTTAGTCCACTATCAATCTTCCCTTAAGTCTTCAGATTTTTTGATTCTTTTAAGATTATGTTAATACCAGAATAATTTTGTATTTTAAAGCTATAAAATTAGTTTGAATGTTTTTGCCATTCTCAAGATCATTCCACAATGAATACTCTCATCCTGACATACGTGAAGCTCAAAAATGCAAGACATGTTATCCAAAGTACTATATTAAAAATAAACCACCCTCTTTAAAAACAAAAAGCATGAAAACACACACAGGTTTTACAGCACATGCATTTTCATTGCAGTATTGAAATGTAAACCATTCTAATACCAATTAGTAAGCAGATTTACAGCTAATAAAACAGATTCAAGCTTATGTTTTCTTGGAGCTGGGACAGATCCCAAGAAACAAGACACATTATTAGCTGAATCCTCTTGCATTGGTTCTCTCATTTAGGACAAGGCACATTCACCTCTAGATATGACCCTGTTGCTAGTTGGACCCTTCCTAACATTTACCTGATTACACATGCAGTCCTCAAGTCGAAAAGGTAAGTACACTTCCCTTCCTAACATTTACCTGATTACACATGCAGTCCTCAAGTCAACACTTTCTGCATCCAAGCACCTACTTTTATAGGTACTTGAATGCACTTGCTCAGAGAAAAAGGGCTTTGAAGCAAGCACAGAAGCACCTTCACAAATAAACACATTGCTTACATATCTGTTGAACATGTTGTCTGTTCTCCCGAGAGTGACATTGTTGAGCAGGATCTGTGCCACTGTATCTACTCCGTCAAAAACCAAATTCACTTTCTGCCACTTTCTACAAAAGAAAACATACATGCGAAAAACTGTCAGAATACCTAGAGTTAAAAACACACAGTACACAGACAATGTAAAAATGCATATCACTATTATACCAGCAGTTGCTTCAGCTACTTTTGACTCAGTGTAGCTACACTGTACCTTTAAACAGTCAAATTAAGATGACAGCTGAAGTAGCTCAAGTCAGCATGCTCAAGAACACATCAGGCTCATATACCCACCACATATTAGAAGGAACAGCTTTCAATTAGCCTAAGTACTATCTTTTTTTCAGCTGACAATTCATAAGTAATTTTTAATAATCAATTAAAAAAAAAGAAAAAAGCAACAATTGAAGCGTTCTGTAGCAACAGCTTTGCAGCTGCACATGACTGCATAATTTGTTTTATCAGATACAGAAGTATTAAACAGATTTTGAGTGGATGGATTAACTTGCAATTCTTCATGAAAGATGGCACAGAACTATTTTAGACATATCTTTACTGCATACCTGATGTCAAAAGGAGTTTTGAACGTCCTGCTGTAAGTCCAGTTATCTAGTGAGATCCATCTGTACATCACATCATTAAATCTATAGTATGGATCCTAGTAACAGACCAACAAAAAGAAAATTACATTATTTATTTAGTTATAGTGTCACTACATTAAAAGCATCACAATATCCATTAGATGAACACTTCTTATTTCATTCAGTCTCCAAATGCAAAATGCACCTTAGTTAGTCCTGATACTCCTTTTCACCCCTAAAATTTTACCTGAAAGCAAAGCTTTAGTAATATTTGACTTTATTTATATAGCTCAAAACCCTGTCTGCTGTAATCACTCAAACTAGAATTTTGAGCAGGATTTGTTTTTACAGAAGAAATTACTGGTCTGGAAATTAACCAATAAATCCAGAGAGCTTGTGACTTAATGAGAGGAACAGAAACATGATCACACTCATAATTATGGAGAAAGTAAGACGAATAGGATTTTAAGAGGCAGAGAAACAGCATTTCAGGTCTCTAGGGACAGCAGTGAACAGATCTCTAGTTTAAAGTTATTGCAAATAATCCAGTTGTTCCTTGTCAGCTAGACTTGCTGTGGTAAGGATAAATGAAATTGTTGTACGTGGAGAGATGGAGAAAGACAAGAAGGAGAAACAACATCATTCTGGTTTTGGTAAAAAACTAAATGACTATTTTTGAGAATAGTATTGCATTTACACCAAATGTGTCCTTCTCCCTTTAACCACAGTACCTAGGAAGAACAGAAGGCACAGTTGGTCTAAGCTACGTGCTCGGCCTTTCTGGCTTCATGCTGTATTTATTACCTTACAGCGGACCACCCTGTCCCTCACCCAGCTTAAAGGACCTGACACCCCACGGCCACACACCTCATACAAAGGCAGCAGAAAGGTCCCATCCCATGTCAGAGAGCAGAAAGGCACAGTGTCCCATGCCATGTCAGAGAGCAGACAGGCAGTGTCCCATGTGTCAGGGAGCAGAAGGGCAGTGTCCCATCCCATGTCAGAGCAGAAGGGCAGTGTCCCATGCCATGTCAGGGAGCAGAGGAGCAGTGTCCCATGCCGTGTCAGAGTGCCGTACCCGGGTCCCAGCTGACAGCCCCGTTCCATCCCCTGCAGCACTGCAGGGCTGAGCTGCTGCCCCAAACAAAGGCCAATCTCTTCAGGCCTGCGTGACCCAAGCCGGCTCAGAGAGAGGGGAGCTGCGTTCGGGTTTGCTTTGACAGGAATGTTCTAACAGTACCAACACACTTAACTACCCACGCTGAATATCCTCAGTCACACTGAAGAAAATCTGCCCAGCTTTTTTTTCTTTCCTACTTGCTGGAACTTAATTTCTCTCCCCATTCCAGGAGTCCGTACGCATAGTTACAACATTTGGAATTTGAAGTCTTCTGGAAAAAAAAAAATGGTCCTGTACCTCATAATTGTTTTACAACTAACAGGGTCAGGATCCATAATAAACACATAAAACTATTTACATAGCAGAACAAAATCTTAACATCTAAGTGACTCTCCTCAGTAGCACAGACCCTTCTGGAGTCCTAAGCAATACAAACATCATTCCTTGGGTTCATACAGAGGGAAAGATGTCACCTTGCTCCTACATGCCATGCTCAGTCAAATTTCTTACTACAAGGGAAGAGTCAAAAAGGAAAAGCCTTGTCACCAGAGTAAAACTGTGACCTCTGTATTGATAATACAGTGTATTCTCTAAAGGTAAGTCATCATGAGCTTACAGCACTATCACTGAATTTTAAGACATTCATTCCATTACTTTTGGTTAATATATCTCAGACTTCTATTGAGATGCAAAAGTTAAAGCCAAGAAATGCATATTAATATGCAAAATTTAGGCTCATAAAAGAAACTTCACTGAGATCATTGTACTGAGATGAGAGGCAAGTATAGAATGCCAGAGACCATGAAACCCCACAATATGTACTTTAAAAAGCACATTTTTAACAACAGTCTTGCTTTAACATTATATACCATCTTATATATGTTTACATATGCATACATATTCGTATTTAACATTACATACTATTTTATTTCACATTATGCTTTGAAAAATGTGCATGTTAAATTTCAATCTTTGCCACTTTTATGTGTGAAATATTTAACAAAAGGCGTGAGAGGAAAGTTGCAAATGCACTACCAACAGCAGACTGTAAAGCCATTTGGTTAATGGTCAATCAACATCAGTGCCTCAGCAAAGATGCACAAAAGAAACCTGCACCATTTCTCCCACAAAAGCACAGATATTGAGATGTTAGTGGCCAAGTCCTGACTTCTGGAAAACACAAAACTGGTTGTCTAGCAGCAGAAATGCAGGCATATTTTATCAGAGGCAGAAATAATTGCCAAATGGGCTCTTACAGGAGCTTACAGAGTGACATGTTTGAATCTCAGAATACACTGAAGATCCTTTTTCCTGAAGGAGCTTTCTTCTTTACTAGTCTAAAGCCTTCAAACTTCAAGAAATGCACTGACTGCTAAAATAGGTGTCATAGAAAGTGCAAATTAGCCCTTCTGACTCACAGGCATCCACCCTTTTAGATGGAAAGCTCACAGTTCCGTGTACCTTCATGTAGAACTTAACAGTTTACTGCTATCATTGCTACCTAAGCAGTAAGACAGCTCATACATCACATAACAGCTGTTAAATGCTAGTAGCTGGTCAGCCATTTTAACCATGACAAATGTTGAGAGTTGTAAAATCAGTCGTGCCAATTTTCAAGCAATGCTTTTAAGATAATTCTCAAGGTTCAGGAGAAACCCATGATCAAAACAAAGTCCTCTAAGAAAGCAGAATTACTTTGCCAATACATTTGTGAGGTTATTGACTTTTCCATTATTAAATACAATTGTTCTGAGCGCTGGAAGATGTAACTGTGTAAGTCAAATTGTTTGGATTTCTCTGAAACAGAATTTCATCCCACGTTAAATCATTTCACATCAAAATGAAAGGCTTAGTTCAGAAAAGTGCATTAAAAAAAAAAAAAAGACAAATTTAAACCACTTAAAGGTACAGGGAGAAATTGAAAGATGGTAGGAAATAGGCTGCACACCTATTAAATACACTTCACATTCAATAGCTCAATAGCTCAGTGTGTTCCTGGAAGCAATTGATAGAGGGGTGGAGTCAACTATAGTTATTTTTAGATCCCACCAAACATAACAGCCTTGCATTTTCCTGCTCCCTGCAATTTGGGGGAAAAACCTGAAGTATTCAAGCTGCCTGCCTGTTTTGTTCCCTGCTCCCAGACTCAACGCTGTAAGGAAGGAGCAAATCACCTCCTAAGAGAAGGTTAAAAGCCCTGCCACAGATCATCAAAAGGAAGCAATTTCCAGGTCGGCTGGCAGGACATCAGCAGGACTTCAAAAGCACTGGCAGCACTACAATGAAGGACCTGCCAGTGCCCAGATGGAAGCTTCTCCTTGCAGTGATTTTAATGGGATATTGAAAAGCCACGGTGATATAAGCTAAGAGCTTCTCCTGTTAAGCAGGAAATGGATGAGACATGAACACACGAGAAGTGAGTCTCCAAGCCCAAGTGAGTGAGCAGTGGTGCCAGGCATACCCTGGCCCCATGAAAGGACACCTCCTGGTCACCCAGGATCCAGGAGTTCTGAGGGGCATGGCACAAACACCTGAATGACAGCAGACAGAGTCAGTTGTACCCAGGTGGAAGATCTGCACGAAATAAAATGAAATTTAATAAAGAGAACAAAAAACAGATTCCTCTGCCTTACCCTGCTTTTGTTGTGGTCCAATTCAGAGTCACCTTACATGCCCTTCTCATAAATTAACTCTGCTGATATTTTATCATGTACACTGTAAAAAAACTCTGATGGTGTAACAGAGCACCAAAATAAAATTTGCAAGTGATGTTTCATGATTTACTGAAAGTTTAATGATTCTGCTCTGGGCAACTTCAGATGAAAACTAAGTAGTTAATATATACTTATCTATACCCATGTGCTCCTTGACATCACAAGCGATAGCAGTCAGGACATTTATATAATTTTCACAGCTTGAAGTCAGGCTGAACTAACAGCAGTGATGAATGGATCATATCCTTGGAGCATTAGTTTTGAAGTTTCTTCTAAAGTAACTAAATTTCAGTAGCTGCTTTCAGAAAGCAGTAACCTGAATGTCACTGTCAATGTTCAGGATGTGTCACAGCAGAACACTAGGCCAAATATGACTAAAGAGTTAACACAGTAATACCTACTGCTTAATATTACTTGAATACTTGGATGTATTTAACAGACCACTATAAATCTTACCTCCTTTAACATCACAAGCTTTTGAAAGAAAAAAAATAAAGTATCCTTTAATATTTATGCTAAGTTTTACTAAGGGCTTTAAATGTCTGCACATGTGTTTTCACAGTTCAGCAGAGCACGTGTATGTCAGTGGAAAATAACATAATCAACTACTCCAACAATGAATGCCACCTAACCTGAACAGAACCATAGGATACCAAATGGAATTGTTACCTGGCTTGTTGCAAAAAAATCTAAGTTGTGATGAAGCGTCAGAAAATAAACAACAGCATATTTTATACAAATGCAGAACAAGCTACAGAAAACCACATCACTTTCCAGAAATGTAGAGCTATCAGCTATCAGTGCATAAACTTCTGTCTCTTTTAATACATTTTGATATCCAAGTATGACCAAGAGCACTGTTAGCTTCTCTGCCAAGTGCATGCCCTTGTCTAACATGCAGAATTACCCAGCCCCTATATCAGCATCACACTTGCAGACCTCTATAGTACTCCAAACAAGTCTAAGTGACAACTGAGAAGACAGAACAGCCTTATGTATAAATGCAAATGGCTGTCATATGAGAAAATCCAACTACAAGAGCCATATTCCTCAAGAACTGGAAATTTACAGGAGTCACCTTCCAGCAATAAATGGCATAGTGCAGAACCTGGACAGTATGTGGTAGAGGATGCCTATTTCCAGCACACAGACTTAATAAGCAAGTTACCTGTGGGTACATATGGCTTACCAGAACAGTGCCTGAAAGAAAATACTACATTGACAGAGGTCAAAAGCAAAACTTTCAGTCAAAATGGTTTTGGCAAATCTTTTCCCAGAGCTGTAGGGTTAGTAAAACCCTGCAAGTTTGTAAAATGTCTGCATTCAAAACAAAGCTTTGCTCTAACTTTATGCAAGTGACTATTACCCTTCCCTATGTGCATTTCTCATGTGTTTTTTTTTAATTTTACATGTAAATAGTAGTAACAGCTACAGTGTCTTAATGAAATGTTATTGAAACAATCACACCAAACACATACTCTGATGCAATCTCCTGGCCCTAGAGCTTTTATCATAGTTAATCCAGCATTTGAATTACGTTGATTGAACATCAAAAAAAACAACACTTTGGTAGGAAACTCAAGAGTCTTCCCCAAGATCATTTTTTGAGACACATGCATTAGGTGCATCCAAAAGACATGTTCTTCCAATGTATATTTTATGAGCCAGAATAAAGCTATCTCTAGAACAAATGCTAAGAGGATCCAGAGAGATGAGTAATGAACCCTCAGCATCAGAGAGATGTTTTTCAATTCAAGTGTATGGCTTGCACAGCAGATTAAAGTAAGGCTAAAGACACGCAATCAGCTAGAGCATCCCTGTGCAAAAACAGTTTGTGTGTCGACCTAAATTTGAAATGAACCACACAATGATAAATAAATTGCTTGCAGCCTAGTCTTACAATCTAAGCCATGTTCTGAAGGCTTAATATTCATCAGCTTCCTCCTGCTGCCCTCCTTCCCCTAGTTGTGAGATGCCCAGTAAGCTACATTGCTGGAGTAGGCCCTTCCAGACTCTGCTTTAGATTTCTTTTCTGGGTGCTAACCCATTGAAAATCTCACAGATACAAAAGCAAAGGACGGAGTGAGATTTGCCACTTGCAAATCACACAGAAAAACAGCACGTAGATTTCACCAGGTCGCTGAACATAGGGGTCCTGCTATCCAGAAAGGTTTTGTTCTCACTAGCTTTGTTGTCCTATTTCCTGGGTACAGCTTTTCAGATCAATCTCCACTTTTGATTACAAGCTGGGTTACTGATCTAGTGACATCTTCTGTAAGATGAATAAAGATCCTATGTTGCATTGCAAAGAGTAAAAGGAGCAAATGAAAAAAATACTTAAGACCAAAACTTGTATTTAGGCATCCATAATAAATCTCCTACTTCCATACTTACACAACACCAAAAAGGGCTGATTTCCAGAGATAATGAACTCAAGAAATGGAGCAAACAGTGCTCTATGCCTCTACAATTAGGGCAGTGTGCACGCTTTTGTACAAATAGGAATATACGAACATGATTTTAGGCAGCTGCACTTGAAAACCTTTGGTCACATTCACCGCAGCAAAGAAACCTCAGGACAAACAGCTGAGCCCCCCTGTGGAGCATGAAGCCTCACACTGCAATAATGAATGATGTCACTGACTCCCTCCAAACAACCCAGGCTTGCTGCTTTGCACAATGCAAAGCATTTACCACCATCCGCAACAGATTTCAAGTCTGCTCAGGTTGCTTCACTGTTTTGGTACGGTCTGCATTCTATCTTTTGAACAAAAGTGTGATTTTGAAACAATTTAGTTATCCAAGTGCAAATTTGTCTGAATGCTTCTTTCTGTAAACCGAGCTCTGCTAAACTGAGTAAGAACGTGTTTACACTGACTTGAGTTACCTGCACACACCTATACATAGAAACAGGTTACCTCATTCTGGGCTTAGAACGAGCCAGACACCAGCTGGGTCCAGTCCAGAGATCAAGCAACCACACTAGTGAACCATTTTGGCTAACTCAGCACTTCAACAGCAACATCACCAACCTGGCAACAGCTTCCAGTTCACCAGCTGTACCAGCACGTGTTCGGAGCAAGTTCTTACTTGTATTCAAGTAAACGTGTTCTAAGTGACCACAACCAACCATCATCGATTTAATTAGCCAAGCACCCACTGCTGCCCAGCTGGCTGACTAAGCTCTCATGCCTCTGTGCAGGCTTGGGATTCTGCCCAGGCACATGAGAGTTCATGATCCTCATTTCCAAATATACTCCTAAATTACAAGTCAGTTTGCAGCAATGCATTTAAATTAGCAATCGCATCTTCTCACTTCGTACGTGTACTTAGTGTGAGTAGTCAAATGTGAGTATTTCATTACATCACTGTCTTGTGTGCCTGAGTCAGTGCATTGGTCACAGTTTCTCCTGATGATTATTCACACTTCTTGCAGCAACACCTCCCAGCACAACCAAACATCCCAGACCTTCAGCTCACCTCGTGCACTTTTGCATCAGAGAAACCAGCACAGTTCCCTTCACCGGTCCTCCACATAAAGTCATAAAGTCTCCCTGCCCCCTCCATAATTGACGGCAGTAGAAGAGCCCTTCTGAAACCTTAGTTCTCAACGTCCAAGATGTCACATCACTTAGCACACAGATGTTAAAACAACATCATCATAGCTCTGCCTATCTCTTCATAGCACAGTTCTTTTTCAAATGTTGATGCTCTGTATCTGGCAGTGACACTCTTTGGAATCTATTATTAGTGCTGGGATTCCCAACCTGTGCCAACACAGAAAATGCTAAAATTATCCTGCCCAAATGGTGTCACTTTCTCCTTTTACTTCTCTAACTTTAATCACAGTATAATAGGCTGAAGGATAAAACACAAGAAATAAAAAATACAAAATGCATACATCCAGTACGTTTTTTAAAAATAAATGATGCACAAGAACTGCACCACTGGGCCCACAATAAAGGAGGGGTAATATGATATACTCACACCATACAACAGTCATTTTCCAGCACAGAACTCTATTTATCTTTATAGATGACTTTGTTAACTTCACTGAGTTTTAATTTCTTTCTTTGTTCCAGGTACACAAGAACCTTTTCCTTGTTACAGGTACACAAGAACATTTTCCTTGTTTCCTTTTGAAAAGGGATCTTATTTCAACAATGATCCAGTTAGTGCCACGTTTCATGTCAGGTCTGAGTCACAGGCACCTTATGCTAGTATCAGATTACTTTGCTACCCATCTGCAACGGCAGTTTTGAAAAATTTTCCAAGAAAGTGGTTGCTGTGTTTCTGTAACTTTAAAAATCTAATAGAGACAAGTGTTAACAGAAGCACAAAGGCTTCTTCAAAGTCTTAAGACAGGAGTTAGTCCTTTAAACTTCTGTTTTAGACTATATTTTCCTTAGGCAGAATGGATGCATATGACCTCAACCATTCTTATACTCCCTGCAAGTTTTAAAAGGGCTGAATTCCCTAAACGAGTCAAACTTTAGGAGTGTGGGTTCTGAATTCCCTAAACATATTGCATCAACGAGTCAAACTTTAGGAGTGTGGGTTTAACTTTCCACTCTTTGAGGTACCACTATAGGTAGGCATGACTTACACGCTGTGAGGGTATTGCAGGTATCTGGTGTCAGCACCTTGGCTGCGTGTCAAAACCACAATCTCACATACTGCACAACTTCCATTTGTATCCTCGGCCTTTTGCGGGACTGAGGACACCGCAGCCACCAAAGGTACCCTGGCCGCTGCCCCGGCGATGCCAACCACGCCTGCAGTGGCCGGGCAGCGGCGGGGACGGGGCTGTGTTTTGGAGGGCTGTGTTCTCCCCTCCGGGCAGGGCTGCTCCAGGGCCCGGCTCTCGGCGTACCGTACCTGGATGAGGCCCCGGCAGAGCAGCGCGGTGTGAACGCAGCCCGGCACCTCCGCTCGGAGCGACACCGAGCCGTTCCCGCTGCGGAGCCGCCAGCTCCCCCGCAAGCTGCGCACCTCCGGGCCGCCCGCGGCCACCGCCAGCGGCAATAGCAGCACCGGCAGCAGCAGCGCCGCAGCACCCATGACGACAGCCGCCCGAAGCAGCGAGCTGGGGCGGTGCTTCCAAGGAAGGAAGGGAGGGAAGAGGAGGGAGGACGCCGGCGCTGCTGAGGGCGGTGCAGCGCGGCTGCGCGCGGGGCCTGCGGGCGGCCGGGACGGCGCTGCCCGGGGCTGAGCGCGAGGGGCAACGGGCGGGCTGCGCTGCCGCCCCCGCTGCTGCGGCTGCCGGCGCTCTGCCCCGCACCGGCACGTCGGCAAAGGGCGGGTTGGTTTTCTTCGCGGAACAGCGATAAGAGGAGCTCTAATACGGCTACGAGTCTCTCAGATGTAGCAAATGCACTCGGAGCTCTAGAAAACAGCAGGGAGGCGGGAAGGGATGAGGAAGAGCTGTGACACCACACTGAGGGTTCTCAATATTGGCTCCTTCGAGTCGTGAGGCTTTTATATGGCCTCAGTCTTCCACTTTTTTTTTTTTTTTCCATAAAATTACAGAGGCATATAAAACTGTAACAAATGTCATGGACATCTCAAAGTACTGTGGTTTCCTCATAAAGCGGGGCTGTGGTAAATTCCTCTGCGAAAGGACAGAAGCATCAGCTCCTAGGAAAGAATATGGTTTTCAAATCACACTGTAGCTTTCCTGTGGTGCCCTTGCTAGGTTGTTCCCTTCATTCGCAGCCCAAAGGCAGGGATTAAAGCAACAAGTTTTTAAATAGCTCCCAGGAAGGCCTTAGCTCCTCTCCAGGTGTAACACCCCTGGTACTTCATGCTCTGCTCCTGCTGCACCAGGGGGTGCAAGGGGGTCCTAGCTCACCTCCATGAACTGGGAATGTTTCACACCAGGCCCCCCCAGCCTGAGAAGAACAGAAACACCAGAGTCTTGTTTTAGCTCCTGGCTTTCACACACCTATTTCAGCATACCGTAGGAATCCACCCTAAAATCTGTCTTTAAGGCATGACTGAACATGGTCAACATGTCTATATATTTTTGATGCAAATCCTTTCAAGCTGACAACCCTTTGTTTCAATGCAATATAAAAATGTCAGTCCTTCCATTCACATTCAATAAAAAGTACACAATCCAGCCACAGGTAATTTTTGTCACCTGTGAGAGCCCAAGAGAGGGTGCAGTTCTGAGAAATACTGACTCAAAGAGAAAGACAGTAGCTAATCCTTTTTTCTCTTAAAAAATTTCTGCTGCAAACTTCAAAATGGGATAGCTGGGACACACACTTTTGGGCAGCAAAAGGCCATGCAGAAACTTAGCTGATAGAACAGTTACCATACATGTAATTTTAGGACAGAGTAAGCCACATTCAATACACTGACTAAGTGAAATGATGGTCCCATTTCAGTTCAATTCCCAGCTGTCTTTTAGTGAGATTGCCAAAAAAGGCCATTATCCTAGACTGGGTTACTCCAAGTGGCTTTGCATGCTGTAGAATTCAGTCAAAATTAGTGTCTTCTCACCTTTAAGAGTCCAGACTATAAAATAATTATACATTAATAGTATAAAGCCTTATTCTGTTTCTGTCCTCATCTGTCAGTGAGTAATGTTTTCAGGGCAATCAAACATTTCAGTGTTCTTTCCTTAAATTCACTGATATAACACTAAAACCATTTAAACCTTATAGTTTATAGTTTAATATCGTTTAATGCTTGAGAGATCTTGCTGGATATTATTTCTCAAGAAGCAGATTTACAGCTGTCAAAAAAGAAACTGCCTTTTTTTTTTTTTTTAGTAAATCTTTTCCAGCAAGTCACATGATAGGTTCCCAGTAAGAAGGAAACTGCATTTCAAGATGTTTACTGTACTTCCGTGCTTTGCCTTTTATTCTTTCTGCTTAAGACTGACTGGAGCAACACACACACCAAAAAACCTCAACCTAAAAACAATGCTGTAATTAAGTATTCTGAGAACATGCTGTTTCCTTGTTCAAGGTTTATAATTAAGTTAAATCATGTATCATTTTCATGTCCCAGTTTTAGGGTTTGTTTTTTGTTTGTTTGAGGGTATTTTTAAACAAATGACATTTTTGCTGTTTCAGGATATGAATTTTAAAGGCTGTGGTTTAATCTTTTTGAATCTTAAGACCTAAAACAAGATAAACCAAGTACTTTCTTTTACTGTGTACTATATTAACCCTCTTTCTGAAATACCACAAATTTAGGAGGTCATTACAATTCTTACTTTATGATACTGCAAGCAGATATTCTTTATCACCTAAGACACAAAGCTGAAGGCAAAACCATGCCTTTGGCTCTATTAGAATAAATTCAGAGCAGTTCCACTGTAGCTGCCCAAATTCTGCCATGTTAATCCAGAAGTCCTTTGTTTCCAAATGCTATGCAATCTCTATCATTACAGCAGGCTGCTGCTATTTTCTCTTTCAAATTCATGTTCAATGAGTTTATGCAAAGGTTTTAAACAAGGTTCTCACAGGTTTGGATGCAGTACTTCAAGATATTACTGCCACCACCTGTCCACCCTGTACCATTCTTCTGCTGAAGGTAAACACCTCTGAAGGCAAACAGGACTTGTGCTCACAGCAGTCTGTATCAGGGCGTGCTCTCTCTCTCTCTTTTGGTAACTGTGTGCTGCTGAGGATACCACCACCACAGACCATTTGTCAAAGATGCAAAGCAACTAAGGGATCATCTACCTTAGGGAACTTTCCACAGATGCAGCAATATCACTGTATACATGTTTGTATGAGGGCAAATACCTTCAGGCAGCACAGAATATCCAGAAGAAAGCTCCACAGTTCCTCAACATAACACCAGACCTCTGTTTTCTGACTGCATCTGCAGAACAGAACCACAGTGCAGAACAGTTACTCTCTGCTCTGGAGTAAAGACAATATGATGCAGGGAGCTCTCCAGCTATGGATTTCTAAAGGACATTATTCTGTACTTGTCTTGAACTCTATCCAAAAGGATGTTAACAATAAAATGAGGAAATAAATTCAGATTGCTTTTAGATGAGGACACTATTAATACATCACTAGAAGACAATGTTGTAGTAGGTTATCATGAACAAAATACAAAGTGACAATCTAAATGGTAGGCCTGGAGTTTCTGTCATAATTATGGCAAAGTCTGTAGGCCACTGCAAGGGGATTTCCTTAGCAAACAAAATTACCCAACACCAACAATCATGAGTAATTAAAAATAAGTATGTAGAAGCAAAGCTACTGCTCCAGGCAAATGCCGTAATGGAAGGGGGAAAGCAAAAAATACGTAATAATAACTTTAAAATTTCAGAAGCAAAAAGACAGGTGATGCCTTCAGTATAACCTTCAACTTCATCAGGCATGCTGGGGCAAATGCCTGTATTTGTACCTCTACATAACATCTTGCTTTGAGATGCACTTAAACCAGATTTAGGTGTCAGGTCACCACCTTCCACAGAACAGACCCAAAAAAGCCTAAGGATCTTCAAAGCCAGCATGGCCAGATTTCTAAAGTCATGTTATTTAGAAAGTGGAATTCCCACAGCTTTTATTCTCTTCATTTTATAAATAATTTTGAATCAATCCTAATCTATTTATAAAATTACGTAACACTGATTATTGCCATTTACCCTTTGTTCCATAAGCAGCAAAATCAGTGTCTTGTACAGTGCTGTCCAAGCTCCCCTTCAATTCTCAGTAAAGCTTACTTAAAACATACAGATTCTCTGGCACTTACAGAAAATAAGCAGCACAAATGCAGACATTATGAAACAGGTTGCTTAGCCTTTCTTAGAGACTTAAAACTAGACAGTCATCTGTGACCACAGTACAATGTACAACTTGTCCCTGAATGCCTAAAATGAAATCCCTCAACATGTGGGAATCTGTAGGTAGCAAATTTTCCCCCATGATGGAAGTTTGAGAGGCTTCACTGAGCCCATGTGCATGGCACTTCACCAGCTGAGAGCAGGACATACCAGATAGATCACACCACATATGAAGCACACATCCAGCCTACTGTTTTAATGAATGTTTTCTGTGCAGGTGAGTATTAAGAGAATGTCAACAAAGGTTTGTAGCTGATAAATTGGATGACTAAATGCAAATGGATTTGGAGGTGCTGAAACAGCTGGGAGCTTCATTTCTTTTTCTAACTTAAGTGACTCCAAACAAACCACTGGGGCAGGTCAGGACCTCTGTTTCTCAGACATTCAGTGTGGCTAATGCTCCTGACTTCAGGACAAATTGTCCCTTTATTTCTACCAAAATGACTCTAATGACTCTAAAGAACCAGAGAATATTCAACATAACTTCACTGAAAACTGTGGGTACTCGAGAGACACTTTTTTTTTCCTCTTGAAAGATTAATGATTATTTCATCACCTGTAAGAATTTCCAGAATTCCTAATCAACAAAGTTCTCACTGAATCAACTCAAGCCCCACTTAGACAACAGCATAGGCCGAGAGCATGGCTAGACAGGCAAAAATATCCACTTGTCTGAATTATTCCAGTGAAAACCCTTGTACGTAACAGAGCTTCATCCTCATGCAGTCCAGGAAGCTACATGTCCTATCACTGCACTGGTACAAATGTCTCAGGAGTAACATTTACAGAAACTGTCTCTTGCACATTCATGAAACAGGCATACTTTAATATGGGCTCTATTTTTTTTTTCCCAAATGACTTCATACACAAACAGCACTAAAAATACTACTTTATATATACACCCTTCTGTTAAAAAAAAAAAAAGCATTATGTGCTTGATTCTCATGGCAACAAAAAGGAAAGGACTACTGCAGTATAGAAAAAGAGTACTGGAAGGATCAGAGAATATCTCAAATTGGAAAGGACTCATAAGGATCATCAAAAGTCGAACTCCCTTTTCCTTGGAGGACTGAATAAAACTAAACCATATGACTAAAAGTAACATCTACATGTTTTTTGAACTCTGTCAGGCTTGATGTTGTTACCATTTCCCAGGGGAGCCTGTTCCAGTGACCAACCAACCTCTCAGCAAAGAACCTTTCCTTAATGTCCAACCTGAACTTCCTTTACACACCTTCTACCCATTTCCTTG